GGGTTAGTCTAGATCAGGGGTCGGCAACCTTTCCAGAAGTGGTGTGCCGAGTCTTCATTTATTCACTCTGATTTAAGGTTTCGCGTGCCAGTAATACATTTTAATGTTTTTAGAAGGTCTCTTTCTATAAGTCTATAATATATAACTAAACTATTGTTGTATGTAAAGTAAATAAGGTTTTTTAAAATGTTTAAGAAGCTTCATTTAAAATTAAATTAAAATGCAGAGCCCCCCCGGACCGGTGGCCAGGAGCCGGGCAGTGTGAGTGCCACTGAAAATCAGCTCGCGTGCCGCCTTCGGCACGTGTGCCATAGGTTGCCTACCCCTGGTCTAGATAATACTTAGTCCTGCCATGAGAGCAAGGGACTGGACTAGATGACCTCTCGAGGTCCCTTCCATTCCTATGATTCTATGAAAAAAAATGCATGTGTTAACAGTTAAGGTTGTGGCAGGACACAATCCATCCACGCAAAACCTTGAAAGCATGGAGATAAGAAGTAAAGGGGAAAGACTCATGCATTCCCTTCCGCCTTCATATTGCCTGGGATGGTTTTGGTATTCACTGCCCAAGACATTCATTTCCATCTCCAGCAAATACCAAAAAGCTGTGCATACGCTGGCTTCATCAAACTTGCACTCTAATGCAAAACCTTACCAGTGACGTCCTAGTCTCTTATATCCAGCACATCTGATGCTCTTTAACATTTTTATCAATGGCCTGGAAGAAAACACAAAATTGTCACTGATAAAGTTTGCAGATGACCCAAGAATTGGGGGCGTGGTAAATAATGAAAAGGACAAGTCACTGTTGCAGAGCAATCTGACTCGCTGGTAAACTGGGCACAAGCAAACAGTACAGCTAAATGTAAATCTATACATGGAGGAACACAGACTGCAGGCCATACTTAAAGGATGGGGGACTCCATCCTGGGAAGCAGTGACTCTGAAAAAGATTTGGGGGTCATGGTGGATAATTAGCTAAACATGAGCTCCCAGTGTGATACTGTGACCAAAAGAGCTAATACAATCCTGGAATGCATAAACAGGGGAATCTCGAGTAGGAGCAGTGAGGTTATTTTCCCTCTATATAGGGCACTGATGCAACCACCACTGGAATATTGTGTCCAGTTCTGGTGTCCACAATTCAAGGATGTTGATAAGCTGGGGAGGGGTCAGAAAAGAGCCACAAGAATGATTAAAGGATTAGAAAACTTGCCTTATAATGGTAGACTCAAAGAGCTCAATCTATTTAGCTTAGCAAAGAGAAGGTTAAGGGGTAACTTGATTACAGTCTATATATGTATAATCTTCATGGAAAACAAATATTTAACAATGGGCTCTTCACTCTAGCAGAGAAACGTCTAACATGATCCAATGGCTGGAAGTGGAAGCTAGACAAATTCAGATCAGAAATAAGGCGTACATTTTTAACTGAGAGTAATTAACCACTGGAACAATTTACCAGGGGTTGTGGTGGATTCTCATTAATGACAATTTTTAAATCAAGATGGATGTTTTTCTAAAAGCTCTGCTCTAGGGGTTATTGTGGGGCAGGTCTCTGGCCTGTGTTATACAGGCGGTCAGACTAGATGATCATAGTGCTACTTCCTGGCCTTGGAATCTATAAATCTGACCCACACATTTCCCAACATTTGGGAAGTCATTTTGCCGTAACATTGCTGAGGTCCTGCGGTTACTAGTTTGCAAGAAATGCAACTTCCCTATTCCACATATCTGCTTCCTGTGCATACAAGCCACTTCTGCTGGCTTTGCTGACACACACAAGATTTTGTGGAATTATTACAACCAGAGGGGGGAGAACTGGATTCTCTTCTGCCTCATGCATTATCCACTGAATTTTTTCAGCCACATTCTGATGGGCAGAATCTCTGTTACTAGCGTCGATGGGGGAAAGAACAACCTAGATGGATTTGCAGAATCCTTGCGACATTAGAGAAACCATCCTTTGGCTTGTACCCTGACCGAATTTGATCTGGCGGCTAGCAAGAGAGGATCAGTATAGAACCCCACAATGCTATTTTTACAGCTCCGTCCTGCCCCTGTTTAAGTCAATAGGAATTCCCCAGTGGCGTGTTGTTACCTAGAGTGTAGGGATGGTTAAAAATCCACATATTCCTGTGTTGGAGTCGGAGCTAGGCTGCTTTCAATCCTATCCACGCATCACTTTGCCTTTTTTTTTTTCCTCTCACATCAAATTAAAGCACAGACCTGTGAGCCAGGAGATCTGGGTTTTCTTCCCATCTCTGCCCCCATTTTCCCTGGGTGGATCCCTTCACTTCTGTGCTGTGGTTTTCCCATCTGTACACAGGCGGTGCACATGCCTACCTCTCCGGGTCAGGGTGAAGATCAATGAGTTAATGCTTTGGGCACTGGAGAAATGCCAGGTACTGTTGTTATTTACTGGCTGTACTCCTGTTGGTACAGGAGCAATGGGCTCGAGGCGGGGAAGGGGCCTCATCAAGGAAATCCTGCTCTTATATCCCCCCTGCACAGTGGAGAACCTCAGACGCAAAACTCCCTCTTGGAGGAGCCCTGTGTGTGCTGCCGTCCAGCAAAAAGGAAGCCATGTCACATTACAATGTCCACACTCTGCTCTCTTTGTTCCAGGCTACAACAGGCAAGCTTGGCTTTCAGCGCATGCAATCAGATGGATGCAATCAGAACTACTCCTGGCTCTGTAGTTCTCAAACATTTTAGTATGGCGGCCCTCCCAACTGCATTTTGTCTTTGGTTGCAGCGCCATTCAGGTTTGGCCTGCGACAGAGGGGTGGCCGGGCCAAACCTGAGTAGATTGCAACATCCGGAGCAGGGCACTAGGCCCAGCGCTGCTCTTTGAGGTGGGCTTGCTCTCCAACACCCACTCCTGTGGGCTTCCCATCTGCACTGGGCCAGGAGAAGTGTTTGTTTACCTAGGCCGGGTGCCAGTGATAAATTAATCCAGCCCTGGATGTGGTGACCCATCTGGAACCTTCCCATGACCTACTGGTGCGTGACCCACGCTTTGGAAAACTCTGTCACAGTCCCTTATTGCTGAGTGCTTAAAGAGATTCCCTTTGAGCTGAGCTGGGGAGGGATCTGTGGGTCATGGACACATGGATGTGGATCTTCTTTCTATCCCCTGCTGTCACTGTGGCACAGTGACAACCTTGAAGTTCTGGGTAGCCGTGGCTTTGTTATGATAGTGTTGTCGACCTTAAACTGGAATTAATTCAGGGAAGTCCTCTAGCTTGTGTTATACAGGTGGGCAGATTAGATGATCACAGCAGTCCCTTCTAGCCATGCGATCTATGTGCGATGGAGCTGGAAGAGAGGGTCTCGCAGAGCTGGGTCGCAACCTTTGTGGTTTAGTCTGATTGAAATGGGTGTAGAGACTTTCTGTGGTGAACAGAAGCTTTTACACTTGCTCAGTAATGCATCCAGAGGGCTTCAGGATTGCAGCCTGGATACCAGAATCGCACCCTTTCCAGGGTGCTGAGTGGAACTTAGATAAATTATTGGAAGCAGAGTGTGTGTGGACTGTTTAGGAAAAGAATTTACCTTGGGAAATATTCCTTAGGACTCTCCACAGTCAGAATTTACCAGTGTGTGCTCTTAGTTTAGAGCTGCTGTAATGAAAGCAAATTCCCTGAAAAGAAAATCCAAACATTACAATCAAACGTCGGTGCATCGAGGGTTAACACTAAGATATGCAAACCATTTCGTTCCAAAGAATGTTGGTTTTTAATCAGCCTATTAGACCCACTACAAAGGGACTTTTAAAGTTTTTCATGAAGCTTAGTGGTCGCCGTTAACTCCTGCTTTTGCTTATTCCAATCTGTATCGGAGGAGTGGTTTTATTATTGTTTTATTTTTTTTTTCCGTTTGGATTTAAAAGATTAGAATGGGGGGAGCTTGCCACCCAGCTCACATGCCTCTCCTCATGCTGGCATATAGATTATAATAACATCCTGCCTGGGTTCGTATTGAACCCTTTTATGCTAATAATGAAAGGGCTGCAGGGGACAAGAGACCCAAGGATCAATCTATGAAATGAGGCCACCGCCTACAATTATTTGCTCCCTTTCCAAAGAAGAGATCTGGGGGAATGAACTACAAAATGGAAGCTCAAGCTACTTATTACTATGAATCTTCCTTCCTTATTACACGTGGGGAGCCGGCAGGGGCTGCTGGAAGGGAAAGAGGCTCCAAGACATGCTCTTTCGTCATACTTGAGTGTGGGTTTTTTGTGGGTCCAATTTGGAAGGTGGTATGTTTTGTTATGTGTTTATTTAGGCCCTTATTCAGGACAGCACTAAAGCATGTGCTGAACTTGCTTCAATGCGCTCAAGTCCAATTTGAAGCGTCTCAGATTTAAGCACTTACAGTTTAGCGCATGCTTATGGGCTGTTCCCAGCGAGGATGGACTTCAATGTTGCCCACTCTGACCATTTTATCATGAGTGCGTTTCTCGAAGCCCCAGCTCCTGGAGTCATGGGGATGCGTGAGAATCTCCGCTTTCAGCGAGAGTCGGCACCACCGTAGGTATTTCTCCACTGCAGTCCAGTGGTGTTTTGGGCACATGTAGATCAAAGCTAGCTGGGGCATGCCTACCTGAGCTGCAATCAATCAATCCTGATTGCAGTGGAGACATACCTTGTCATGGTGCTGCATGGGATGTGAAACTTGCCAAGGAGGATTAAGTTACAGAAACTAAGGCCACTTTACTCCTGATTGAGAAGCATCCACACCGAGGTGGGTTTAAAATGCTTTAACTCATGTACATTGACTTCACACTTTTGATTTGCCTTAACTTAGTAACTCGTACCCAAGTGCTACTATATGCTTAGAGGAAAGGAGAAACTCCAATTCCACAGCAGGAGCTCAGCAATTTTTAGCATCCTAAATGTCAAGCAGAAATAGGTTGTCATGGTGTTATTAAAAAAAAAAAAAACGTAAAGGAAGATCTGACCCATCATTGAACTTTCTTTTTCCCCCAACAGCTAAAAAATAAATTCATAAAGAAGATCCCCAAAGATGCGGAAGCCTCCAATGTCCTGGTGGGAGAGGTGGACTTCCTGGAGAAGCCATTCGTGGCATTCGTGAGGCTCATACAGTCCACCATGCTGGGCGGGGTGACGGAAGTTCCCGTCCCCACTAGGTGCGCAGCTGTTTAAACAAACAAAATGTGCTTTTGCAAGAACTGAAGAAAGGTATTGGTGGTTCAGAACTGGGGCTTCAGCTGTAAACTCTCATGTAAACCTGATGCGGTATAGCACACCTTACCTTCCAGATTAGGTGGGACAATATTTTCTTCCCCTGTCTCTGGATGGCTACAGATTCCTAAGGGGTCTAATTAGAGCTGTGTGAATAACAGACTTTTGGATTCGCTGGCCATTTTGAAAAATCAAGGTTAAAAATAATCGTTGCGGGTCAACCCAAAATGAACCATGTTTAAAAAGATTTCGGCAAACCAGAAAGTAAAAAGTAAAATAAAATAGTTTTGGGCCAAACATAATGTTTCATTTGACCTGAAACAAAACATTTTATTTTGATTGCTAGTGTTTTTCAAACCATTTCAACGTTTGAAATAAAATTGGAGGAAATTTCAAAGCAAACAGTCATTTCAAATGGAGAGAAGAATTTTCAGTATTTTGGTGGGTTGTTTACAAATTTTGGAGGGACGGGGGTTCCCCAAACAAACAATTCAACAAAACTGACATGAATTTGCAAAATGTTTCAGTGTCGCCAAATCTGCATTTTTTTCGACAAAGAAAAGTTTCAGCCAAAAAACTTTGCCCACCTCTAGCAGTATAGCATGTTACCTTCCATGTTAGCTGGAACAACATTTTCTTCCCTTGTCTCAGAAGGCTATGGATTCCTAAGGTCTAATGCACTGTTCAAATGGCTCATGTAACTTTCACTAATGATAGTGGGGCAGTCAGGTCCTACATGAACTGGAGAGAGACTAGAGCTTTTATTAACCTATATTTTCTTGCAGCGTTTGGTGGATAATTTGGGAATCAGGACTCCTAGGTTCAGTTCCCAGCTCTGCCACTAAATGGTATATGAATCCCCTTTCCTGCTCTGTGCCTTAGTTTCTCCATGTGTAGAATGGGTATAATGATACTGACCTTAAGTGTTTTGATATTTACAAATGAAAAGGGCACAGTGGATGAAAGGGGTCTGCGCAAAGCATATGCACCACTTAAATGCTGCTTATACTCTTTAACTAGTGGGCTGCAGATTTCTGGGTCTGCTTTGCTCAGGGGCATAGAATATTCTGCAGGTCCCTTGGTCCACCCCCGCTCAGCTCCATACGTCAGTGCCCAGAAAGATGAAGATGCACGTCTCTGAACTCTAAGCTGTGATGTTGGCTCTTGCTCAGAGGAAGGTTAATGTGGCACATAGCCTTGTGCTGGCCCACAGAACAGGGGTGAATTTCACTCGCTACTAATATTCCAAACTGTGCTTCGCTTCAACTGGTTATGTAACTTGTTTATTCGCAAAATAACTTCTTCCAATTATCATCTAATTGTTGGTTCTGATGATCAACATGGATTTGCAATTAGGCATCCTCAGTGGAGAGGAACTCAGGAAGCACATCTGCCAGTATTGCATCAGATATAGGGCAGGGGTGGGCAAACTATGGCCTGGGGGGTCACATCCAGCCCTTCAGACGTTTTAATCCAGCCGTCGAACTCCAGCTGGGGAGCGAGGTCCGGGGCTTGCCCCGCTCCAGCAGGGGAGCGGGGCTGGGGGCTTGCCCTGCTCCATGCATGCCGGGTCTCTTCGCGGCTCCTGGAAGCAGCAGCATGTCCCCTCTCCGCCTCCTATGCGTGGGGGCAGCCAGGGGGCTCCACACACGGCCCCTGCAGCTCCCATTGGCTGGCAACTGTGGCCAATGGGAGCTGCAGGGGTTGCACCTGTGGATGGGGAAGACACAGAGCCTCCTGGCTCCGTCTCTGCCTAGAAGCCAGAGGGGGGACATGCTGCTGCTTCCGGGAGCTGCTTGAGGTAAATGCCCCCCCCCCCCAGAACCTGCATCCCTGCTCCGCTCCTTTGCCCCTGCCCCAGCCCTGATCCCCCTCCGAACCCCTCAGTCACAGCCCGGAGCACCCTCCTGCACCTTCAACCCCTCATTCCGAGCCCCACTCCAGAACCCACACCCCCAGCCGAAGCCCTCACCCCGTCCCGCACCCCAACCCCCAATTTTGTGAGCATTCATGGCCCGCCATACAATTTCCATACCCAGATGTGGCCCTCGGGCCAAAAAGTTTGCCCACCCTGTTATAGGGAGTTTAAATGCCTCTTTGGAAAAGTAACACTTGACACTTGGGTTCTGGAGGAACCCACATAAAATCACATGTTTATATTAGTATGTTTGATATAATATTTAGTATTTTTGTAGGTATTATTCTAAATATTTAAGTACTTTAATCAGTTTCTTTTTAAATTTTAACCCAGGGCCCTGTTTGGTGGAGCCAGAGTGAATCATAGAATATCGGGGTTGGAAGGGACCTTAGGAGGTCATCTAGTCCAACCCCCTGCTCAAAGCAGGACCAACCCGAACTAAATCCCTAAATTGCTCCCTCAAGGATTGAGCTCATAACCCTGGGTTTAGCAGGCCAATGCTCAAACCATTGAGCTATCCCTCCCCACCGACATTGCCCACTGCTTAGGCACTAGCTTAGGACTTGAGTGACCTGGATTCAGTTCCCTGCTCTATCCACTATTTCCTGTGTGACCTTGGGCACATCACTTGACTTACCCATCTGTAAAGTGGGGATAATAACACTTCCCTTCCTCTCAGTGGTGTTGTGAGGATAAATCAGTTAAAGGTTGTGAGGCTCAGAGATTAGAGTAATGGGGGGCCAGATAAGGACCTAAGATAATAACTGTAGCACAAGATCTGGTCTCCTGATGGTATTTTCACCATTCAGGAACTGACAGACCATCAGAAGAGCAGATCACATTTTGGGGATCCAGAAGTGCCTCCTTGAGACTTTTAAAACATATTTCCAAAAGCCACGAATGAAACCAAGGCAAATATTTAGCCCCATGGGCATCCCTGCCAGGAACTCGTAGACATCAATAGGATCTGGCTTGCGTTGCCAGAACTTGGCGGGGCTGCATACAGCAGTAATAGTGGAATGCTTTGGGGCGAGATTCTCAAAAACTCTCCACGGTGGCCTAACTCTGCTCCCATTAAAGTCAGTGGGAGCTTTAACGTTGTTGCCAGTGGGAGCAAAGTTGGGCCAGCTCTGAGAGGTTTTTGGAAAGCTCACCTTTTGCATAGTGATCAGAAACGCTGAGTTGTTCCCGTTCGGATAGCCTGCGTATTCGTCTCCAAACTGCCTTGTGTCCATAGGTGCTGGAACTGGGGGAGCCGAAGGTGCTGCAGCACCCCCTGGCTTGAAGTTGTTTCCATCATATCCAGGGTTTACTGTTGGTTTCAATGGTTCTCAACACCCCCACTATACAAATTGTTCCAGCATCCCTGCTTGAGTCTGCAAAACAGTGCTGGGATTCTCATGAGAACAGGATTTCTGGTACTTGTGGGTATTCAAGGTTTCCTACATGTCAGGTCACACATCCCAGTGACCAGCCACTATTTGGAGGGGAGGGGATCCTTGTGTAGTTGTAACCACAACCCTGATTACATTATCTGTGGGATTGAACCTGGGCTCTCTGGGCCTACAAGCCTCTCTTGCTTGTAATAAAGGGCCAGATCCATTAACTCAAAGTCAGTAGCAGGCTCATTACGTGTTCTGTGCTTTCTGGCCATTAGAAGGGGACAAAGAGCCATGCTGCATTAGTGTGGGTTGACACACAAACTAAAGCTCCCATTGAACTCGATGGAGAGAAGAGAAGAGTGAGGGGGGATTTGATAGCAGCCTTCAACTACCTGAAGGGGGGTTCCAAAGAGGATGGAGTTCGGCTGTTCTCAGTGGTGGCAGATGACAGAACCAGGAGCAATGGTCTCAAGTTGCAGTAGGGGAGGTCTAGGTTGGATATTGGGAAACACTATTTCAGTAGGAGGGTGGTGAAGCACTGGAATGGGTTACCTAGGGAGGTGGTGGAATCCCCTTCCTTAGAGGTTTTTAAGGCCCAGCTTGACAAAGCCCTGGCTGGGATGATTGAGTTGGTGTTGGTCCTGCTTTCAGCAGGGAGTGGGACTAGATGACCTCCTGAGGTCTCTTCCAACCCTGATATTCTATAATTCTATGTGAGACTCCCCTGGGGTTGCAGTAGGAGCTGGATTAGGCTGTATCTGAGAGAACCAACTGGTGAAAATCAAAGGGCCTAATCCTGTATTTCTTGAGCAGCTAAACTTAGTGTTTAGACAACTGCTTACATAGGAGCTCAGGACTGGAAGGGACATCTTGGGCCATTGAGACCAGTCCCCTGCTATTGCAGGTAACCTTGTCATATAACCCTGCTCGTAACTTTATCAAGCTCCATCTTGAAACTAGTTAGATTGATTGTTTAGACCAGATCCTGCATACTGGCAAGAATTGTAATTTAAACCACAGACTGCAAAGATGGCCATTAGCTCATGAGTTCTGTTCTTTTACCAGGTTCCTTTTTATTCTCCTGGGTCCTTCAGGAAAGGCAAAATCCTACAATGAAATCGGCCGAGCTATCGCCACCCTCATGGTAGATGACGTAAGTAAATCTTATGATATGGCAGAGCCGTGCTCCTGTTGCATTCCCTTCACGTGCACTACATCCAGGCGGTCCGTACATTTATGGGTTTTCCCAAAGATGAAATGAGACGTCTCATCAGAGCTCCAGGACCAGAATGAAAATCATAAGACCAGTTTGGCAGGTGCTGTAAAAATCTGTGCAATTCCGTGGAAGTCAATGGAGCTACATCAGCTGAGGGATCTGCCCATAGGAATAAAGTTAAAATATTGTAGTGTGTGTGTGTGTGTGTGTGTGTGTGTGTGTGTGCGTGCCTATCCACTGCTGTCCTCCCCTGGATAGAATCCTTTCAGCTGTGTGTCATAGGTTCCATATTGCCAACACTTAGCGAAGATTCTTCTTTCGTTCAGATGACAGGGAACTGGGCTTTTGGAGCAGGAGGGTCTGAGTCAAGTCCCAGCAAATGTGTGACATTCCAGCATGCAACAGACTGACACCCATGAAGTCCTAGCTAGCCATGGATTCATTCAGATATTGTTCACTAGCACAAATGTTCATGCTAGCAATTGGTTCTTCCATCTCTCCTCCTGCCTAGCTAACAGTTTACCTAAACCGTTTGTCTTCTCTGTGTATTTCCAGCTTTTCAGTGATGTGGCCTACAAAGCCAGGGACCGAGATGACCTGATTGCAGGAATAGATGAGTTTCTGGATGAAGTCATTGTCCTCCCGCCAGGGGAGTGGGATCCAAACATTAGAATAGAGCCACCCAAAAAAGTACCTTCCGCTGAGAAGAGGTAGGTGGTGTTAATTGCAGTGCAGTTCATAGTACATTGGACTGGGACTCAGGAGACCTGGGTTCTAGTCCTGGCTCTGCTACTCGGTAAACTTAGGCAACTCCCTGTGCCTCAATTTCCCCATCTATAAAATGGCGGTAATGTTAATGACCTCCCTCTGTAAAGCACTTTGAAATCTATGGATTAAAAAGCACTATAAAAGAGCTAAGTATTATTATTAGCAGCATAATGAGCTTGATTCTGTTCATAGTTACAGTGGTGTAAACCAGGTCAATAGAATTACACTGGTGTAAAACCAGCACGACCAGTTGAGCAGCATCAGACTCGATTAGCTGGAGCTGCGCTGAATTTTGGGTAACAAATCCAATGAAATGGATGAAATATGGCAATTTATTAGCAGAATTTGTATTAGCCTGGCCATTACTAACCTAGCATTTCAGCTTCCATGGTTAGGAACTCAGCATTATCCCTTTATAGACAAATGTAAACGTAGCTAATATGAGGACTCTTTAAGGAATCTGCCTTGTATAATATTTTGTGTCTCAATGCAAAATTACTTTAGTGCCATCTCTTCTTTCAAGCCTAGATACAAGCATTGCACTCAGATGCTAAGTAATCTGTGAGCATGTAACCCTCTAAGCTGAGAGGTACGGATTATGCAGGGGTCCGTCCGTCTCTTGTGCCAGGGCCGGAACGCTCTGGAACAGCATTCCGGCACTTTTGCTGCATGGAGGACCTCATTTTGCGAGGATAAATACACTAAAGATTGTGAGGTGCTCCCTTACTGTGGCATAAGATAGAAAGCTTCCATAGCACTTTTAAGACTTGCCAAACTCAAGTGTTTTTATTCACCTTCCGGGTTTTGAGCCTTTTAGGGTGGCATCTGCACAGCGAGCAGCAGCCCATGGCAGCAAGCCTCAGAGCCCGCGTCTACAGATCCAGGCTGGCGCTAGAGTGCTAAAAATAGCCACACAGACATTTGGGTTCAGGCTGGAGATCAGGCTCCGAAGACTACAGAGGGGGAGTAGCTCTTTTTAGCACCTTAGCAGGAGCCCCATGAGTTTGTAGAGCCTGACTCTGAGGCTCGCTGCTCCGGAGCGCTGCTCACTCTGTAGACACACCCTTAGAGGTCACATTTTCAAGTTTTTCTCTGCAACTGGTTTCTCTGGAAACTTACTTTTTAAAGTAAAAGCTAGCTCATCCCCTGCCTCCAGCAGCTGGCACTTTAAGGAAAAAAACACCAAATTTCGCAACTTACAGGACAATCACAGGCAGTGAAGAGTTGCTTTTTGGAGCAAGAGAAATGCTAGATCCAAATGACATCTTACCGAAATATATCCCACTTTTGGCTACAGTACGCTCCATTTTTCATGATGTATTAATCCAATAACTAAAGGTCGATTATCTCGCAGTGTGTGCACATGAGCTAAACTGGAGTATGTGTGAGTTTTTCTCTTCCTATTGGTAGGAAAAACTCCAGGAACAGGGAAGATGGGTGGAGAGTGGAACTAATTTCCCAGCTACATCTCCTGGGTGACCCCCTGGTGGCCAGGTTTTGCAGAAGAGCAGTGTGTCGGGTGCTAGTGAAGAGAACGCTGGGGGCTGGGTTAGATCTCTGTCCCTCATGGAAAGCTTTGTGTTCTCAAGGAAATCCAAATGTGGGCTTTGTGATTCTGCAATATGCACCATTCCTCACCTCTTGTGCTGGCCGTTGATGCAATGTGGCTGGCAGCGGTACAAGGGCTGCTTGTGGGTCAGTGGAAGCAATTTCTATACATATCATCTATAATCTTCTAAGGTGACTGTGAGGCTTGTGGAGGTTCTGTGTAAATCGATAAATAATAATAGGGTAATGATCTATACTGTTAAAAGAAATAACAGGCACGTGGTAGCTGGTATAAAACTCAAGGCTCCTACACAACCCTTGGCTTTTGTGTAGACTAGACCAGGTTGTGCAAGAATCTGTCTGCCTCATCCGCAATCACAGAGTCAAGTCATTCTGTACTTCAGTCTGCAATAAACAGGCAGAGCTCTCCAGTCTGGCCCAGTGTCCAGAGCCCTGGACTGGGGCTTAGGAGGCCTGGGATCTATTCCTGGCTCTGCCACTGGTGTGTTGGGTGACCTTGGCCAAATTGATGTGCCTCAGTTTCCCCATCTATAAAATAGAGATGATCCTGTGAAGTGCTTTGAGATTAGATAAAACATGCTCTAGGAGAGCTAGGTGTTTTTACCTACTATTGGAAGCCCTAGATTATCCTAAAGGCAAATCCAACCAAAAATCAAAATGCTGCCCCAGACACAACTGTGCTAAAGGGAGGACCTGTGTGTACAGCCGGGCTCTTGGGAGTCAAGACTCCTGGAAGTCCTGATTCTCCGTGTGACCTTGGAGAAGTTGCTTCACCTCCATGTGACTCGATTATCCCGTCTACAAAGGGGAATTAAGAATGACCAACACCTCAGGGGTGCAGGAAGGCTAAACTCCCGCTGGTTGCAAAGTGCTTTGAGTCCTTCCTGGGGCGAGGGGAGATGCTGCTGAAGCGCTGTCGTTCCAATCATGCCCCCAACATCTCTCAGGAAATCAGTGTTCTCGCTGAACGAAGCAGGGCAGATGAACGGCACCGCGGGAGGAGCGGCAGGAGGGGGCGGCGGCGGAGGTGGAGGGGGCGGCAGTGGCAGTGACGACGGAGAAATGCCAGCTGTTCATGAAGTTGGGGAAGAGCTTGTCTGGACAGGCAGGTAAGCAGAGCCTCAGCCCCTGAAACATTGTGCAGTGCACTGGTGAGAGTGCCGCATGGTGCCAGCCTGGGTCCTGTGCTTTGGGGCAATATGCTGTCAGCCCTCTCCTACAACCTCCTCCACCTTCTGGCCTGGCATCTTCCCTTCCCCTTCAAGGATAAATGAAATTCCCCTCCCCACCCCAGATACAAGCACCTCTGCCCCTCTCCCTGCACACTCCCCAGCGCCCCTAATGGTGATAATGGTCCTAGTCCTCGCCTCCCAAACTGCCCTCCCCCACAAGTGTCCATGAGGCCTCAGTCATGCTTTGTTTTACACAGATCCTTACAAAGGTGAAGGCCAGCACTGATGAGTATTGGTGCAAAAGTGCTTTTGAGTGTGCAAAATGGGGAGTTGCCCACCCAAGGGCTCACATGTGTGCACAATTGCTTATGCTTGCAGCTGAATGCCAAGAAGCAAAATTTGCTTGACCTAGTCTCCTGGCTAAACGCTTCCAGGAAAAGTAGGAACAAGTGTCAGGCTAGATTCCACCTTGGGGTCGGCATGTGCCACAGAAACATCCGTGCCTTAGAACGCAATCCCTGATGCGTACGGATTACCTAGGCCTCATTGGTTGCTTGTGCCCTCCTCATCTGTTCGTTGCATTCACCTGTTCTCTCATACTTAAGGTATGTCTATACTGCAATCACAGGGTGTGTTTGCAGCTTTTGTAGCCATACCTGAGCGAGCTTTAATCAAGCTACCACAGCAACTGGACCAAGAGAGCTGGAGCAACACCAGCTCCAGTACCCAGTACTCCAAGCCCGCCTGGAACTGTGGGTATTTACTTGTGAGGCTAATCCACTAAAGCTTGATTAAAGCCAGCCTCGGGTAGGTCTGCATAAACTGCAGTCACCCCCTGCTATCACAGGGTAAAACACACCCTCGTGAACTCTTCAGGACAGGGCCGCATCCTTGTTATGCATTTATACCTAGGGTGACCAGACAGCAAGTGTGAAAAATCAGGACAGGGGGTGAGGGGGTAATAGAAGCCTATATAAGAAAAAGACCCAAAAATCGTGACTGTCCCTATAAAATCGGGACATCTGGTCACCCTATTTATACAATACCTAGTGCAGCGGGGTCCTGAGCCATGACTGGGGCTCCCAGGCATTACGACAATGCAAATAATAATCCTAAATGGCCTAGTTCCACTCAGAGCTCATGGGATTGCCACACCTGGGACCCTTCTGCGTGTCTCCCCCAGGTTTTGCGGCGGCCTGTATTTGGATATCAAGAGGAAGCTGCCCTGGTTCCCCAGTGATTTCTACGAAGGCTTTCATATCCAGTCTATCTCCGCCATCCTCTTCATTTACCTGGGCTGCATCACAAATGCCATAACATTTGGGGGGCTGCTTGGTGATGCTACAGACAACTACCAGGTAAACCAAAGAGCTGCCCGGGGAGCTCTCCTCCTCCTCCGAAGGATTATTAGAGCTGGATCCCAGCCAGAAAGTTTGGACGCAGATGCCCCGATGTTTGCAGGGTGGCTTTTTTGGCATGTACCTTAGCTGTGCTGCATGGTGAGACGTTGCAGCTCCTGCCCCTTGCTAACACATGTGGCAGGTAGCAGGATTCACAGCAGATGGCCATAACCCCTATGCAGCAGGCCACGTTCCTTTGGAGCTGCAGCCAGTTCTCCTCCCTAATGTGGTAGGTAAATACCCCTGCCCTGTTGCTGGGAGAGATTTCCACTCCACTGCGGTCCGTGGTGTGAAAAGCCATTCCTAGCTAAGACATGGACATAACTGTCACTCAGCCTGAGGGGGAGACTTGAGGGATTGCAGACTCCAAACCTCCACGTCCGAGTCCCACAGATACCTCACAGTGTGACGAATGTGTAATGAAATCACTGCTTCTGCCAGCGTTTGCCCTGCCTGTGTGTCGCACGGCACCTGTGCTAAGTGGGGTAATTCACCAACGCCCATTCAGCTTAGTATCAGCCCCAAAGCGCTGACCCGTGTCTTGAGGAACCAAGTGGGGATTCTTGCGCTGCCTGATTCCAGTGAGAGACAGGCCGGGAAGAACGTGCAGGAGAACTGGCGCGAGTGTGTTCTGCAGCCGCGCTCTGTGATTAGACCTCCCCTCAGCACGACTCCTCTGGTGCAACCCAGGGCACGTGTCTGACTGTCTCCTCACATTGTTTCTCTTCCCAAAGGGGGTCATGGAGAGCTTCCTCGGCACGGCGATGGCGGGCTCCCTGTTCTGCTTCTTTGCCGGGCAGCCGCTCATTATCCTGAGCAGCACAGGGCCCATCCTCATCTTCGAAAAGCTACTCTTCGACTTCAGCAAGTAGGTGGAGCTCGCTCAGAATCGCGGCCCTCACAGCAGTAACACCAAAGGGGGCGGAGGCACAAGAGCAGGGCAGGTTCAGTCACTGTTGAGGCCTACATAGCGTCCTTCTAGCCATGTCATTATGGCGGTGGGCAGCACTCCAGGTGGGTCTACCATAGAGAAGAGAGCCTAGAGAGCCTTCTCCACAGCTCTGCGGGTCTCCCAGTGAGAACAGGAGCTTGAAGCAGGTGCTCAGGAGACAGAGGGAGCTCCTCCGTCTTCTCCCTGGCTTCTCCACAGTTCTCTCTACTCCTTGGCGGCTGCTGGGAGAGCTCCCCCAGCGGGTTTGCTTACTGGGCAGGGCATCAGCAATCGATCCAGGAGACTTAACAGGGCGCCCAGCGCTCCCCGGCCCAGTCTTGGCAGTCTCAGCCCGGTGGCCGAAGACTGGATGGGCCATGGAGACTGAGTCACCTCTGACCCTTGTCAGTGGCAGCCACTGCGCTGGTTAGGGGCACGTTGGCAGGGCAGAGTGAGGAAACTCGTGCCAGACCTGTCCTGTGAATGACTCCCTTGATCTCCTCTTGGAGCAGAGACCCTCTCTGGCGTTCTCTGCTTGGTGTCCCCTACTGGGGTTCTTCTATTGCTCCTTTGATTCCATCCCCATCCCTGTGCCTCTTATTTGTACCTCACAGAGCTAGAGAGGAAGGATGAGCCAGTGATTAGGGCACTAGACTGGGACTTTGGAGGCCTAGGTTCAATTCCCTGTTCTGCCACAGACTTCTTGTGTGACCTTGGGCAAGTCACGTAGTCTCTGTGCTTCAGTTCCCCCTCTGAGTTGGGGATACGAGCACTGCCCCATTTCACATGGGTGTTGCAAGGATAGATAAGGATGGAAATGGAGGCCATATAAGTACACAGACTCTGGTTTCTTTTCCCAAGAAGGTGGCCATTATCATTGGTGTGAAAGGACCCCTGTGGGGGGCGGGCTCTTCCTTTCACTGGAGATCAGATACGGTGACACTTTCCATGAGCCCTCAGTTCCCGTATCTCTCTTTCCTGAGCAGAGCTGTTGTTTTGTTCTGACCTTCTGTTGTGCACAATTCCAGAGGCAACAGCATAGACTACATGGAGTTCCGTCTGTGGATCGGCTTACACTCTGCCCTACAGTGCCTTATCTTGGTGGCTACAGACGCCAGCTTCATTATAAAGTACATCACACGCTTCACTGAGGAGGGGTTCTCCACCCTCATCAGCTTTATATTCATCTATGATGCTATCAAGAAGATGATCGGCGCCTTTAAGTATTACCCTATCAATGCAGACTTCAAACCAGACTACGTGACTATGTACAAATGCGAATGCATTGCTCCTGACCCAGGTGAGTCCAAGTCCTATTCCCTGTTGAGAATTTCACTGTGAAATTGCCTATTTGCTTGAACCACACAGCTGTCATGCTGAGGTCCAGTTCTTGAGAGAAAGTGCTGCACAGCTTCCTGATTGGTCCTTGCAAATTGCGACCTGGTGGAGGGGCGGGTAGCCTTTGCTGCATGAGCTTCATTTGGTGATTTACTCCAGCAGCTTGTTTTAAATGGAAGCAGTGCTGCCTAGTTGTTAGAACACTGGACTGGAACTTAGGAGACCTAGATTCTCTTCCCAGCTCTGTCACTGGCCTGCTGGGTGAACTTGGACAAGTCTCTGTGCCTCAGTTTCCCCATCAGTAAAAATGGGGGAAATGATACTGACCTGCTTTGTAAAGTGCTTTTGAGATCTCCTGACAATAAGATTATTAAATCTTGGCCAGCTGCACTTTCAAAGGACATTCCTGGATACGAGTTTCACCCCTCCTCCCCACAATAGAGCGGTTATGATGGCAGTGCCCGTTCGCCTATGGGCACAGTATCTCTGGGTGGATTACAGTGTCATCCCACAAAGTATGGTCTCTGTCCAACGGGGATTTGGGGAGTGACCTCCCCACCAGCAATATGTTCTCTACCCTGGTTCCCTAGAGCAGTGCTCCCAAAAGGGAGCAAAAAATTAAAAAAAAAACAAAAACATCTCCTTGGCAGACCAGCCCATCCCCGGTCACTGAGGTCGTGTAGCAAAATACCTCCTCTATAGATGGCCAGACCTAAAACCATAGGAATTAGAGATGGAGAAGACTTGTTAGATCCAACTTCCAGCCAATGCTGGATTATTCCCAAGAGTATATCCTTGAATGGCTTTATCATCTCCAGTTTTAAGTGTGCTCAATGACAGGACTTCCAGTGGGACATTCACTAGGTTTCCACAACCCTTTTGACTGGTTCACCCCTGGGTCCTTTTCTAGAAATGCGTCTGTCTCGGAGTTGGGGGTGGGGTTTTTTGTTCTGATTTTTAACAGCTTCGTCCAGTATTGTGCTGATTTCTACCACCGCAAAGATACAAAGGGATAGGGCAATTAAAGCAAAACGACATTGGGTGAGAGGAAACCAAACTTTTTCCAGAGCCAAGATGTACCCATTCTCTGCCAATGGCTGTATTGAAGAAGGCTGTAATTCAGGCTCATTTCTATCACACCAAAACCAACCCAAACAGCTTTTTATTTTCATTTCATCCTCAATATTCATATTTGCTCTTTGGAAGTTAATTTCCAAATTCTCCAGAATTCAGATTACACTACTCAGAAGCGCAAAAGTACTACTAGCACTCAGAAGAGAACAGAGTCATTTATTGTAATGTTATCAGGAAACGTTTTCCCTCAAAATTGCTGATTTATTTAAGGGGAGAAAAACGCTCTGGGAGATTTTAAAATAACTATGGAAGGAGAAGGTAGAAAGGTTCGACAACACACACTCTGGAAATAGAAATGTAGAAATAAGCACTGGCATGCCAAATAACCTCCATAGACATCTATCTGATTGCACTTCATTACCTGTTTAGCTGCTTATCTGATATGCTAGAAGTAACATCCGTCACTTTTTTTTGGTTTCTTTTCTTGACTCATGGTTATCAACAATTGGCATTTGTGCTACTGAACAACCACAACACTGTGTACAGTGTCACCTCCAGCTCAGAGACCATGCTGATGAGCACAGTTACGGATACCTAGACTGACCATATTGCATCATCTCATTGTGACACAGTGGGTACGTCTACACAGCAGCCTGGGGTGTGATTTGCAGCTCCTGTAGGTGTACTTCTGGACTAGCTGTACTCTAGCTAGGTCTGCGAAGCTTCTGGGTCCAATACACGTTGGTGCAGCCACATCACTATTTTTTAGCAAGCTTTTTATGTCACATGTTGACGTATCATCCTAACAGGAGGACACTGGGTTGTGATGCTGTACCATGATGTCACGATTTCACTTGTGAAACCATTGACTGTGCCACCAGCCTCGTGTGTTTTTTCTTTTTCTTCTTACGAAGAGTGTCACATTATAACAACCTTGCAGCCATTCATCTCTAAACTAAGGGCTTGACCCTGCAAGGGCTGAGCACTTGGGCCTTATCCAGTGAAAGTCTTAAGATGCGCTTAAAGTTAAGCACACAAGTAGCCTGACTGAAGTTGATGAAACTATGCAGATGTTTAAAGTTAAGCACCTGTTTAAGTGTTCTGCTGAATTCAGCTAGAATGCTTGGTAGAGGCTTAAATCGATATAGGACTCTCCACTCACATTCCCCATATCTGGAGATTCTTAGGGACTATATTTGTTTCCTCTCAAGCTGAGCAGGCAGAAACATGCTACTGACTGCTGCAAGTTCTTCCAGGGTTGTTTTGGTCTGGAAGCATCTCTACGTTTTTTTTTCACCAACAGTTCATTCAGGGCTAATCTACACTACCGCACTCCATCGGCCCAGCTGCACTGCTGGAGTGCATCTGGCGAAGACACACCGTGGCAACAGGAGAGCACTTTCCTGTCGACGACATTACTCCACCTCAACGAGAGGGGGAAGCTATATCAGCAGGAGAGCGTCTCCCGCTGATCTAGCGCAGTGTGCACACCACTTTAAGTCGAGTTACGTCGCTCAGAGGAGTGGCTTTTTCACATGCCTGAGCGACGTCACTTACATCGACTTAAGCAGTAGTGGAGATAAGCCCTCAGCGAAGACCAGAAAAAGTGAATGGACTCTTGGAATTCTTCGGTGGTGTCATTATTGTGTTTTCTCATGTTGGCAGCACCCTGCTCTGCATTGCAGTGGCTGTTTTGCTTCTTGTGCTCATCCTGCCAAAGTTGCCTTGTTGGAACTTCAGTTTGCACCTTTGAGCTGACTGAGGAAAAAAGTAATATCCCATCTTGAAATCTATCTGCACTGAACTGCATCACTGAGCATTTGTGCACAGTTTGGTTTGTTTGGTCCTTTGCCATCTTTATTCTTGTAAAATCATAGAAACTAGTGACTGACGGGGCCACCTTTCCATATCCTCAGCCAGTGCTGGCTTGTTTCCTACAGTGTGTTCTAAATGTCTTGGCCAAAGTTGGTAAACTGGTCTGATCCGAATATTAAATCTGCTGAGCAGTAAATGCTGCCAGTGAAGCTTTTAGTTGGCTTTGCTCGTGTTAAATATTGGTTTGTTGAAGCTTTTTCCTACATCAGTAGCAAGTAACCTTTCAGAAAGACCTGCTGTCAGCATAAGCATTCTTCCCCTTTTTTGTAGGAACATAGGAATGCCCATATACCAGACAGAACAATTGTCCATCGACCCATGTCTCTAGCATCCTATCTCTAGCATCCTTTACTAGATGCTTCAGAGGAAATTGAAAAATTCCTGTTCCGATACACAATTGCATTCAGTCCAAGTTCTGCAGAAACCCGCTGGATTGTCTCCTTGCCAGGCGATAATCAGTGGTGTTCTGTTCTCACTTGATTCACGTGTATCCTTTTTGCAGTGGTATAATGCAGCAGTGTGCTTTGAAGTACCAGCATGCCATTGGAGCATTGGTGTTGGAGCTTGGGGTAGTGGTTAGAGCAGGGAACTCGGAGCTAGGACTTTTGGGTACTATTCTTAGCTCTCCCACGGAAGCGCTGTGTGTGTGCATGGGCCCATTGCTCAGTTTACCTAATGAAACATTGACACTTCAAGGGTAATATACTTGGTGCATGGGCATCACTGGAGTTAGGTTTCTCCATGATATACATGATGTATCAGATAGAGTCAAGGCAGCTGATGAGAGAGGGCAAGGGACATTTCCACAGTATATATTAAAGGTCGAATAGAGCTGTAATACAGTGGCAGGTTCCAGGTAGGTGCACAGGCATGCAGAGATCTGCAGGTGCGTTAAGATGCAGAGCTGTTTCCGACACCTCATACTGTCAGATGGGATCCTGTTAGTTCCCACTTACAGTATTAGAGGGGCAAAAAGAAATAGGGCCTGAGATGGTGTGTGGTTCTCTAGGATAAAAACTATAGGAACAACCCTACAGAAAGCTTAAGAGATTTATGTTTGGTTGTTATAAGATAACAGTAAAGACAGACTCCAGGAAGGGGAGGAGCTAAGTTTGGATCAGATCTGGGGTGTGCATGTCCTGTTTGCAGCAGAGTGGGGACTTCGCCTGCTTCTTCGAGTCCTACGGACAATTTCCTTTTGCTGCCTTGCTGACACGTACCTTCACATTCTCTAAATGTGGACAGAAAACAGCAGCTCTTTTCTTTTTGAAAAACAAAATATTTTCTGACTTGGAATTTACAGTTTAATATGATTGGAAACCTGTTCCTGTTAACATGCAATTGGTGAGGTCACTTCAGTGATATGTACAGTGCCATCCTGAAAGATGCATGTCAAAATATTGCCGGCTGCTGTCTGCCAGGAATTCTCCGGCAGAACACTGAGTACATGACACAACCATATGGAATGCAGATGGAGAGACAGAGGAAGCTAGAGAAGGAAACCAGCCCCCTTACAAGTCTATGTCCTTTCGTTGATTTAGAAATAATAGACTACCTGGTTTGGGCTACTGGCTCCTATTGCTGAGCTATAGTTCTCTGAGAAATAATATATATATATATATATGACTATATGTATTTTTACTGCCCATTCCAAGTCCTGCTAGCTACTACAGTTAGTGCAACCACTAGCTCACATACCATCTCCAATTTCTTCCCTTCAGAATCATCCATCCCGGCTGGTTTGAGAATTTTCTATCTGAACTTTTGTCTAATGGAAAAACTGGATTTTTGACCCAAAAATGAACATTTTACCAGAATGGGTCTGTGTTTCTTGAAAAATTTCAGTTTCTCATTGGAAAACTAAAGTCTTGATAAAAAAAATTTCAACTTTTTGGCCAAAATTTTATTAGTTTTCAGTTGCCAAAAACTGGGGGGAAATCAGGGGTTTTTTTTAATGAAGAGTCAGAATTTTCTGCAGGAAAACCCCTTCATTTTCCAGCCAGCTCTCTCATGCAGATCTCAGTAACTTTTTCTTTTCCAGGTCTATCTTTAATCACTTTTCTTATATCTTCCCATGTTTTAAAACTCTTGACTAGAGAGGCTGCAATTTCTTGCCACCAGGGGATCAAATTCTGTTCTTGGTGAAGTCACTGCATATCTAGAGTCACTCCACAGACTTCAGTGGAGTGATTCTCATTTAAAGTGATGTAAGGACCTGATGCTGTAGGATCAGGCCCTCCCTGAGAGTAGAATTTGACCCTTTGAGTCTTCTTTTCTGAAACAGCACTTCCCACTCAGTGGCCACAGGTCTGCTAGTGATAGTAGGGTCTGGAAAAGTGCTTCCCCTGCGTGGGCACAGTCTGAGTGACCTTTTGAAGCATTAAATATAAAAAAGGGCCCTCTCTTCAGATTTCCCTATCTCTGTCTGGTGCAATGCAGAGGGAGAAAAGGGCCGTTTTAAAAAAGAAATGGACTATCGTATGTGCAAAGTTACCCCCCAAAATATTCCCCAAACGATGGTGAACTTTTCCAATTTGATTAAATGTTGCACATACACACACCTTTCTGCAGAAATTTGCTAACACTTTCTTTTTCATACGTTGCTGAGCAATACCCAAATGGAAGGCATCAGTAGACAGAGACAACAGCTGTGCAAGCTGAAATCCACTAGTCATCCAAAGCACGGGTGTGACAGTGCAGGCTTCCCCCATGCAACCCCGGAGACATCACTCGGTTCTGACTGGGAAAAACTCCAAGCATGGAGTTACATTGGTTTAAAATCAGTGTGAGAACAGAATCAGGCCCTTCATCTCTAGGGATGATTTGCTAGCATAGTCTCCATGTCTCATTTGACCTCTGAGACCGCCCATCTATTACAACCAGTTGTAATGGTGGGTTAGTGGGTTCCCACAAACTGCTCTGAGACCCACCCACACATTTCACATGTGTCTCCTGTGAACACCATCTGGGATCCAGGTTTGAACTAGAGGGAACTAAATCAACTGTCTGATTTCTGAGGACATTAGCACAAAAGAATGTTTCTTTTTGGCTTCATCATAATATTCTTTTTAGCAGGATGGTCTCCTGTAGTAATAGCTTCCTTTGAACTCAAACCCATATAGGGGTGTAGTGACAGGTGAACTATACAGAAGCGCGTGGGAGTCACAGGGCACTTTCTGCCTTTGGACTGTGTCTAAACAACATGATCTAGCCCACAGAGACTGAATTACTCTCACTCCCAGTGGCAGTCCCTTCAGGACAAAGTTTGAGGCATGTTGGTGAAGTCTGTGTGGACAACTAGCCTTCTTTTCATCCATGCAGTATCTGTTCTTTGGACAGACAAAGGATTTCAGTCTCCAGAGCTGTCAAGCTGGCATCTTTTACCATCATTGAGTTAATTTAATAATAAAATGTATTTTAAGTGACTTAAAACAGCTGAGCAAACCAAAACCACACGTATCTCCTTTGTTACACGCAACCCCAAAGTCCACATGGAAACGCCATTCTTCTCTAGAAGTTTTTCTACGCTGTAAACCCTCAGTCTCCTCCCAACAGCAGCCACACTTAAACTTGTTCTTTCACCCATGTTGCTCTGGGCATCTAGTAAAATGGTGTCAGATTTGGACATTTCACTCTTCCAGATATTGAGAGTGTGTGTTAATCTCCTTTTGGTCCTTTTATTTATTTTTGTTAGTTAGTTCTGATTTTTGACTATTGTAACTGATTTGTACCATATTTGTCTCTGCTGCACACATCTATTTGGCTGCTTTCAATCTCAAGTGAGTATCACTTTATAAATATTAAAATTATTTAATATTTGATACTCTTACCCTTTTGTTTTATTTTTATTTTTTTAATGTCTCCTACTTTTATCTCGAGTCCAATATATCCATTTGTGTAAAGCACTTTTATGGGCCTTCTCATAAAAATACAGCCAATGCTACAGTGTTCTTTAAGATGGGCAATGAACAATTTAAAGCAGTAGAAATCGCAAATATGTCTGGTTCTGGAAAAGCTAAAGGTTATCGAAAGAAACCTTTAACATTGTAAAGTCTGGAGTTAATCGAACCAAAAGTCACATTAGTTCAGTTTTCCCTTCTTTTTCTCTGGTGGTGGAGTATTGTTTTGATAGCACCAAGGGCTCTGATTCTAATCCAGCAATCACTTCTCCTTCATTAATTATCCTGTGTAGTTCATCGGGGAAAGGAATGACAGCATCTTGAGGCAGGACATTAGATGTTATGTGTTTGCCACCTTCAGAATTATAGAAATGTTGGGCTGGAAGGGATCTCAAGAGGTCATCTGGTCCAGTCCCTTGAGCTGAGACAGGACCAAGTCAACTTTAGACCATCTCTGACAGGTGTTTGTCTAACCTGTTCTTAAAGACCTCCCCTGACGGGGATTCCACGACCTCCCTTGGAAGCCTATTCCAGGGCCTAACTCTCCTTATAGTTAAACAGTTTTTTCTAATATCTAATCTAAATCTCCTTTGCTGCAGATTAAGCCCATTACTCTTGGTTCTGCCTGCAGTGGTCATGGAGAACAATTGATCGCTGCCCTCTTTATAACAACCTTTAACATATATGAAGAATTGTTAACTGGATGGGTGGCCCATGGAGACTACAGCTCCCATAATGAATCCATGCCTGCCAAAAGAAACCTCATGACTTTAACAAGTTCATCTGCAGCAGTGAGACAATTAGGTTCAAAACGCATGTAAATATGCATAGGGTTTTTTTCAGTAAGTTTATCCTTCTGCAGGGTATTCTTTAAGCAGGCAATGGGTGTTGCTTACAACAGAAATTCCCAGCTCGTGTTCAGTTCCTACTTCTGAGTCATTCTGCCTCCTTAGGAAAGTCACTTAAACTCTCGGTCCTTCAGTTTCCATCTATACAATGGGTGGAATAATACCCACATACCAAGGATATTGCCGCTTAATTAAGCACTTTAAAATCCTCCAACAGAAGGCGCCAGAGAAGTGCTCTAAGTACCATCCTTAGTGCTGTGGTTTTGTTTTTCTCCATTCGGGTTTCCAAGTGCGAGAGGTCCAAGTCTCTCCATCCATTTTCTCCTTGAAAAGGGCTGGGTGGGGTTAGAGAGGGAAGCCTCTTTCTTGCAGAGAGAATCCAGGATGGCAACGGAAGAAATATGCCCTAGACGAGAGGTGACCAGTTGAGCAAACGCAGCTTCTGGAGAGAGAAGGGTTTCTTTTTCCCCAGCTTGTTTCTAAAAAGGTGGTCCCCAGTGGATCTCTCCAAAAGCCACAAAGTTCTTGCAGAAGGAGTGACCCTCTAAGAATGAGGGTAAGCCCCCCTCCAGGAGAAAGAGACATTGGGTTCTCTCCAGCACCCTCTCCCCCAAGAATGGCAATTCTTTCAGATGGACATCTTAACTTTCAAACTATGATCCCCTCCCCATACCACATCCAGAAAAGTGAAGGCTTTGAAGAAGGGACCCCATCTGCGTCATGCGTTCTCTGAATTGGTGGTAAGCACAACTGTATGTTATAATGGCAAAGAACACAATGAACAACTGAGGGGGCATTCAGGGAGCTGGGAGAGGTCTCCTAATGGATGGCAGGGGGCATTGCTTGATTTGATTCGGGGGGGGAGGGGCTCCCATTGGTATATCTCCCTGGGAGCTACCCAGAAAACCAAAACGGGTTCTTTTATATGGCCACTCTTTTCTGTAGGCTGAGAGGCAACACTTCTGACAGTGGCCTAGGTTGCAGCCAAATGTGGTCCATGGACCAAATGTGGTCATTTAAAGTGAAGGGGAAGCCCACTGACACCACAAATCCCAAGATGCATGGGAGCTGAGTCTGAGGTCACATGACCTAAGATGACGTGTTGCACCATGGGACCTGTAGTCTCCATGGGCCGCCCGTCCTCGGATAATGAAGTAAGATGCAATCTGTTCCATTTTCTTACAATGAAGTGCATCTCTGGGGCTCCTGGCAAGTTGCTAATGAGGCCCTCGGGGGGTCATTTTCTGGTCTAAATGGAAGGCCACACACCATATTAATCCGGGAGAAGTCGCTGCTGGAATTAGAACCAGGGTTTACATTCTAGCTCCCAAAATCTGTGTTCTTCCCTTCGTGCTGGTTTCACTCCTGGGTCCCGTCCCCCTCCCTTTCCAACAGGTCTGTAATAATGTGCTTATCCTAGACTTCATTACATTCTTTCCCTTCCATGTAGACAGAGCTGTCTAAATGGCCCACATCTGTGTGGGATACTAGGTAACCCTTGCTGGGAACTGAACACAGAGTTTTTTGCTCTCTCCTGGGAATGGAAGGGCGGTTACTGGTTCAAGCCAGCAGGGTCTGCTCGGCTTAAACAGGATTTCCATGCTGGATTGAATTTGACTATTTGTTTTATATATATAAAACCTTAATAACAAACTCCTTTTCTGCAGTGAATACAACATTGTTCAATGCTTCAGCTCCGCTGGCACCAAACAACACTAACATTTCTGTGGTAAGTACTTTTGTTTTATGTATATTCAAGTAGGGGGTAGCTGAGCCCTCTGGATCCTTACTTTCTTTCTGGGCTAAGAAAGTGGGACAACTGGGGATCCGCCAGCTAAAGCAGTCACTCAGTCTTCTTCCAGGGATGCTATCAAAGCCTACAGCGATCGCTTTAGAAATCAACTTCTTAGTTATATGACTTGCCAACCGAATGAATTAAATCACGGCATGGAATTAATGTTCAGCTTTGGGGAAGGAGCGGAATGGGAACCGTGTGTCTCTTCGTTCCAGTTGCAATGGCCTGGCGACATCCCTTCACGTGCCCAACCAGGATATTATAAACCACCAAAGAACAGACTGCGCCAAAGAATCCACGGCAGTGCACGCTGGGCTAGTTAATCTCCGCTGTGTGGCTGTGTATGCAGTGCATACACAATTAGTCAAGCACTTATAAAGCATGTACCTCACCATTGAATGTGAGGCCTCTCTATGCACAAACTTGCACTGGCTTATTTAAACCAGAGCAAACCTCTGCATGGACACGCTTATTTCCATTTAAGAGCAGGTTATTTCAGTTGAATTTAAAGCTGTTCCTAGCTGACTTACTTGAAATTGAAATGAGCCTGGTTTAAACCGAAAAAAGATCCTCCACAGTGGTTTAACTCAATTTAAAATCACACTTTAAGTTAAACCAGTGAAACTCTGTGTGCTGTGGCTTAAGGAGCTCCCAGCCACATGGGACATGCACCAGAGCAAGGGTTTGTCTACACACGGTTATTCAGGAGTAGCTATTAGACTTTAAATTCACACCCTACCTTAGTCCAAGTTAACTTTCAAGGGTAGACAAGCCCTTAGAAAAGTTGCACCAATTTATAAACCAGTTTAGGGCTTGTCTACACTCAAGTTAGAATAAGTAGAGAATCCAAGACCATGGGACAGATTGTTACTGTTATACTGGTGTGTATTTTACCCTAGTCAAGATACAAACAATGACCAAGACTTTCAGAAGTTGTGAGTGATTCTGGGTGCCCCAGGTTGCGGGTGCCCAACTTGAGATACCTTAAAGGGGTCTGACTTTCACAGGCGGGTGCTGAGCACTTTCCAAAAATCAGGCCCTTTTTAACAGTCTCAAGTTGGGGATCCAAAAATCACTAGGCACTTCTTGAAAAAATGTTTAATACCTGGGCACCAGATAAGCTCTGGATGCCTCATTATTAAGAGACATGTATCAGAGGGGTAGCTGTTTTAGTCTGAATCTTTAAAAAGCAACAGAGGGTCCTGTGGCTCCTTTAAGACTAACAGAAGTATTGGAGCATAAGCTTTCGTGGGTGAATGCCCACTTCATCAGACGCAAGTAATGGAAATTTCCAGAGGCAGGTATAAATCAGTATGGAGATAACGAGGTTTGTTCAATCAGGGAGGGTGAGGTGCTCTGCTAGCATAATGAGGCATTACTTGCGTCTGATGAAGTGGGCATTCACCCACGAAAGCTTATGCTCCAATACTTCTGTTAGTCTTAAAGGTGCCACAGGACCCTCTGTTGCTTATTAAGAGACATGGTTCTTATCTGGTTTAGCGCCGCTGACGTTTAATGTCACGACAGTGGTCACCCTTAAAAAGTTGCCAATTTTGCTGTTGGATAAAGGGATATCGTTACTTCTATTTACAGTTATCCTTATACTTACTGTAGGAAATACGTTGAATACTACAAATTCTGAAATAAAGTTGATTCTGAGTCAAGTTCTTACGGGTGACGGTGATGTGTTGCACTATATGTTTGATGGCGCACTTTAACTTTCCACAGAATTATAGTGGCGCTCCTAAGCAGTGCCATATGACTAATTGCATTTGCCTGCACACTAGAATTGCTCAATGTATTAATAATATTTTGGTTTATTCTCTTCAACACTTCGATTCCAAGTACAATGCTATTAATGTAACAGCTCTGGACTGGACCCAGCTGAGTAAGAAGGAATGTCTAAAGTATGGCGGAAGCCTAGTAGGGAAATCCTGTAAATTTGTTCCTGACTTAGCCCTCATGTCCTTCATCCTCTTCTTTGGGACTTATTCCATGACTGTAACGCTGAAGAAATTCAAGTTCAGTCGCTACTTTCCTACAAAGGTAAGAAAAAATACAAAGACCATGAAACCCATCTATATTTCAGTTTCCACCATAAGTTGTAAGCTGGTCCCTTTCAGAGAGACATGGGGAACTTGAAATACAGATCTTGGCTCCAATCCTGCATTTGGATCTGCATGGACAGACTCTTATGCCTGTGTGTTGTCCCATCAAAGTCAGAGGGCTTCTCTACAGGCACAGATTTGGGTAGATCTAATTGCAGGATCAGGGTCTTATTGAACAAATGTGCGGGTCAGAGTGGGGATGGGGGGAGGAATATGAAAAAGAAGTAGAAGCATGCAAGATTTCTAGTTTGGGTGTTTGGGGTTTTTATTATTATGAACATCTCTTTAGCTTGCCCCATGATTTGTAATTAGACACCTGTTCAAAAGAATGTGCAATAGAGTACAGAAGATTAATTTTATTTTATAGAAATCCATGCAAACATTTTCATATTAGCTTTTAGCCTTCCCTTCCACACACTTTATTTTACAACAACAAAATTCTGAGCTTAACCTATCCAGCAGGCGTCCTTTAAATTATTAAACATGAAAGAATTTTAAATATCCCATCTGCTTCTTGCTGTGGATGTTCTCTGTTGATTTTTTTGCATTTCACCTACTTTGGACAATGAAAATCTATGAAGCCAGTTTTGCTTTTATTTATGGCCTATTTCACTTTCAGATGTAGCAATGTTTGGGCTGCAAACACTGCATACTGCTTTCATTAGGAGGCCTTTTTTGAGTTGTCCTTTTGTTGGTCTTAGCTCCTTTTATAATGGCAAGTTTTTAACAACATTTAAAATTCAGGGTAAATTTAAGATGCCCATATACTTTTCACTTCCCATTTCTGTGAAGTCTGCATCTCTCTAAAAGATTCTTGAACTTTTTCTATGCATACAATTCATTTAAAAGTAGCAGAATCCGAGCCACCACTGGCTGATATTTCTGCCAATTATGAGGAATAGAGGCTGATCCATGTTTCTGGGTTTATTTTTTCTACATCTGATAAATGAACTTTCTTCAAACTTTGCATTAACTTGCTAAAAACTACAAGTTGCTGCAATTTAAAAACGCTCTTCCAGATTTCAGTTGAGGATTTGATGTTTTAATAAAGCAATATGCCAATATTGCCAACCTGAAATCATAAGCTTTTTTTTTAACTGTTTTATTTTAATTTGCCTTCTGATTTGTGAGCTTTTAAGCTGCGCTTGGGTCACATTTCCAAGCTTTTCTCCACAACCAGAAGGACTAGGAACATTTAAATGAAAGCTGAGAGTCTCACATATTCACATGACTCCAGGAGCTTGGGATTTAATAATAAAATCATGAGAACTGGTAAGGCTGATGTGGATGCTCTGACTTACACCAGTGAAAATCAAAAGTAACTCCTTTGACGTCAACAGAGTTACACCTGGATGAGAAGGAGATCGGGCCTGTTTGTCTCTTAATGTCCCAGTGGTGTACTGCATGCTTGGAGATCTGTAAGCCACCCTGTTTAACCAGCCTTTCCCTCCCAACCCCATCTGCCTCCAGGTCAGGGCCTTCATTGCTGATTTTTCCATTGTCTTCTCCATTCTGCTGTTCTGTGGAATAGATGCCTGGTTTGGCCTGGACACTCCAAAGCTGCATGTTCCCAGTATAATTAAGGTTCGAATGTAGCGGTTTTGAGGTTCTTTTCTCTCCTGATTTCTGTCCCTTCCAATTCCTTTCCAGCTAACCCTTGAGACTGTCCTTCCAACAGCTACATTAGGAATGGGATGAAAGGGATTCAGTTTCCAAGACACTTTATTGGCTGATCTGATTTTTTCAGTGGTGAAATTATTGGCAAAAACATTTCTTGAGCACCCCATCTCCCCCAGTCATCAAATTTATGGACATTGAACATCCAGCCTCAGTGATATATGTGTAAACATCACATAGAAAGAAGTTTATCCCTGGCACACAATATACATTGATTAGAGCAGGGGATGGGAAGGTTGGGTCAGTGGTTAGGGAGCCAGGATGGGACTAGACCTGTGGTCAATTCCCTGCTTTGCCACAGACTTCTTATGCGACCTTGGGCAAGTCACTTAGCCTCTCTGTGCTTAAGTTTCCCCTCTGAAATATGGGGATTATAGCATCCCCATTAAAGAATGGGAGGTGCTCACAAGGTAACAGAGTCCATATGAGTACCTTAGGTAGATATTCATGATTCACTAGGGAATGACTCCGACCCCTGCTGAAGCAAGATGATATTGATATCAGTAAATATCCATTCCATTTCTCTGTTGAAATGAATTAGCTAACACTGCGTCTCACATGAATTATTTTCATTCTCTGATTAATGCTCAAACTCCGCCACTTTTCTGCCTTTTCTTTGTGTTGATTTGTGTTCTCTCCCTCTCTCTGTAGCTACGTAAACTTATTAGTGACTTCTCTATCTTCATGTCCATACTAATGTTTGTTGGTCTCGATGTATTGTTTGGACTGAATACTCCTAAACTGCAAGTGCCTACTGATTTTAAGGTAAAAGAACTAGCGTCCCTTTCGAAGTATTCAGCGTTCTCTGACAATATGCGTATTGTTACAAATCTGCGGCTGTGTTAGGATGTCAGTTATTTATTGTTACTGTTAATTATTTTATGATAATAGCGCCTGGAGGGGTGGTGGTGGAAGGAACCCCTGATGGACGTAGCTATGTTGACCTCACTTTTAAGTGTAGACCAAGCCTAAGCATAAAGCTATGTCTACACTGCAGGGGTGTGAAGAGGTGTGATCCCTGACCGACAGAGTAGTGCCAGCAAAAGTCTCTAGTGTAGACACAGCTAAGCTGCGTTTTTACCAATCTAGCTTGTTTCCCTCGTGCGGGATGGTTTAACAATGCCAGTCCAGAGTGCAGCTTTGCTGACATAAGTAGTATCCATGCCAGGAGCGCTTTGCCCATATAGCATATCAGGAAAGTGCTCCTAGTGTAGACGTGGTCTGTGACTCAGGGCGTGTCTACACTACACTGGCTAGAGTCCCCTTGTGGAGACGCAGGGTATACCAGCAAAAGGACTCTTGCTGTTATAAGCTGTAACTACACATTTTGTCGGCATAGCGGTGTCTGTTAGAGGTGTTTTTTTTCACACCCCTAACCAACATAGCTATGCTGGTAAAACTTTGTAGTGTAGACCGGGCCATGCAGTAAATAGATAGGGGGAGCACGAGACACAATGAGACAATGTTTGTCACTATGCTCTGCACTAGGGTCATTCAGAAAACCATGCTGGAAGGGAGACAGAACGCCCGCAGCACTTCCGGCTGCCAAAGCCCAGGCCCCTAGCACTTGAGCTCAAGGAGGATCTCTTGAATGTTAGTGGCACAGTGCCTGTGGCTATGACCCACATTTGAGCAATTCTAATTCCATCCGGTGGGGGAAGTGATGTGCGTACCTGCTAGCCAGTTCCCCCCACTGTGATTGTGGGTTAGAATGGTTATCCAGTGGCTCAGGAGGGTGGCGGTCAGTTCCCAATGTAGATTAGGTACCGATTGTCCTGGAACAAGATTGCACTCCCAACAGACTCAGGTTTTCGTACTCTTCCGAGATTTCATACAAATTTGCCCAAATGCAATGGCATTTTCCTGAAATGTAATTTTTATGACCCGGAGTCAGAAAGCATCATGCAATAACCCTTGCCTTGCTCTGTTTTTAGCCCACTCGCTTAGATCGAGGATGGTTTGTGTTCCCATTCGGTAAGAATCCATGGTGGATCTACTTGGCCAGCGCCCTTCCAGCTCTGCTGGTTACCATCTTGATCTTCATGGACCAGCAAATCACAGCTGTCATAGTCAATAGGAAGGAGCACAAACTGAGGGTATGGCTTTTAACAGTATCTGGAGGGATACTCAGTGGTTTGAGCATTGGCCTACTAAACCCAGGGTTGTGAGTTCAATCCTTGAGGAGGCTATTTAGGGATCTGGGGCAAAAAAAATCTGTCAGATTGGGGATTGGTCCTGCTTTGAGACGGGAGTTGGACTAGATGACCTCATAAGGTCCCTTCCAACCCTGATATTCTATGATTCTATGAACTGATGTAAACCTATTCAACGAACCATAGAGAAGACCAGAAACTGGGCCATCTTCTACCCTTGATTACACATGTGCTTCAACAGAAGTAACACGGCACATGTAAGGGTAGAATTTGGTACTCTATTGATTGGAATCAGTGCTTACCTATCCATTTGTTCATTTGGGGTGAGCTTCACCCCTGAACAGAAGGCCAGGACTATGCTACTCAAAACTAGGGTCTAGGTGGGATTCAAGAAGTTCATGAATTCTGTGCTGCTCCTTTTATTCAACAAAGGCAGGGTATCTGTAATTATTTAAGTGTGGTGTGTCCTGGTGCATTCTAAAGTGTGTTCTCTGAAGAAATGAATCTTAAATGTTGGAGAAATGTGGAGAGGCGATAGGGATTTTGGATGTGAGCTCTGCATTGTGCAGATTATCAAAGGGAGAACTAGCAAGGTCCTACTACAACAGAATTCCAGCGTGTCACCCACCATATGGCCACTAAAACTATGGCTGTTTTGTTAACCTTTTGGATCTTAATACCAGGGATTAGCTGCAAAAACTGAGCTCTTTAATTATCAAGATAATAAGGTATGGGAGGGATATAAGCCAAACTCTAAAAGGAGGTCAGGGATGCAACTGCATTGATTCCGTAATTGTCCATGCGGGGATATCTTACACCTTCCTCTGAAGCAGCAGATACTGCCCATTGTCAGAGATAGGATGCTGGGCAATGTGGACCGCTGGTCTGATCCAGTCTGGCAATTAGAGAATCAGCACTTGGGGCAGGAACTGTCTTATTGTTCTGTTTGTACAGTGCCAGGCACAGCAAGGGTCCATGACTGGGGTTCCTAGGAGCTGCGGGAATACAAATAAATAATAATTCCTATGTTCTCCTCAAACTGGTTCTATTTTCAGGTGTAAACCCCTTACATTTCATTGGGTTTTTTTGGTGAAATTAGAGCACTTCTGAAATTGAAGAGAGAAAAGCTCAGTCTCTGTAGTTCTTTAGACAGGGATGTTCAAAGGAACTGAAGGGAGTTTGGCCTCCAACTTCCACTGAAACTCAATGGGAGCTGAGTACCGAGCTCCGTTGGTCTCCTCTTGAAAATCCCCACTTGGAAGCTGTGTTAAACATTTCACACTCCGGAGCAGAGAGGATGGGGCCAGGCCCCCGTTGCCTAACCAGAAATCTGCTCTGCCACTCTGTTGCAGAAAGCGGCAGGCTATCACCTGGACTTGTTCTGGGTGGGGGTCCTGATGGCCGTGTGCTCATTCATGGGGCTGCCTTGGTACGTAGCTGCCACGGTCATTTCCATAGCCCACATCGACAGCTTAAGGATGGAGACGGAGACCAGCGCGCCAGGGGAGCAGCCACAGTTCCTGGGAGTGAGGTGAGGACTCTCACAAGGCCGTGCCACTATCCGTTCACTTCCAAGTCTAGCGTGCAGCTGCTTTGATTTGGAGAGCGGAGGCCAAGGGCATGCGGGTCGGGTAGGTTGTAATCCCGGCATGTTTCTAGCTACAGAAATGGGAGCCACATTTCCAGCACCTCCAATAGTTGATATGCGATGTTCCACAGAAGAGCTGTATTCTGCACCATCTCATTGCAGGGCAGTAAATTGTGGGCGCCTGCAAAGTGATTCCATTAAGAGCCTCTGGGTGCAATGGGCAGGGTGCAGCATGCAAACCCTTTTCCTCCCCACCTGCCCCAAACCTCTTTGCAGTAGGGGCAGACCTAAGTAACAGTCCAGATTCTCCCCTGCCCTTTGTGTCTTTTGTAGCCACTGACTCCCATGCATAGTGACTGTAAAACACCCCCAGAGCAGAGCTCTCCCCTCCAGTGCTAGTGTGTGGCACCCATTTCTTGCTCACTTAGCACGGAGGTAAAGTACGAGGTGTAAGACATGTGGAGAATCAGGCCCAGAGGCTGGGCTGTGTTGGCAGTGTGTGGAGGAAGATGATAGGAACTTGTTCAGCCAAATTAAAATGGAAACCCCCTAATTCCCATGCTCTCTCCATGCCATCCAGCTCCTGCTCTGGACCACATGGACCAGGAGCAGGAAACCTCACACTAGCATTTCAGCCTATCCCTGGTGGGGTCCCCAAGCATCTGGTCTCTCCCTGTAGCTTAAGGTGTGGCAGCATTATCCGCTGAGAGTAGATGTGTCACAATGGAGCACAGCAGAGGGAAAGACCCAGAATATACTGTGTGCCAGAATGCACAAGGGTTAAGTTCAGTGTGAGCCAAAGACCCTGCCACAGATGTGGAGCCCTGCAGCTCTAGCAGCAAAATAAGGAGAGGCCCAGGATTGGCTGAAATTTGGCAGATTTACCAAAAAGCCTTCTTCAAAAGGAGGCTAAGTCTCATTGAAAGTCAGTGGGACATACGGGCTTTCCCTCTTTAGCTAAACTCCTGTCTGGTGATGTGATGACTTTGGGAGTGCCACGAAAGTGCTTTTAAGGCCCAATAAAATGTTGCAAACTGGTGCGTTTGCAGGACCAGTGGGGTCGAGGCAATCTCTGGATTTGTTTTGCCTAATACTGAATCCTCTCAAATGCTGTGGGTTTTAAAGTTCGACTCAGACCTCGAAGGTTTCTGGGTTTTATTTCTCACAAAGAAAAGGCTATGAGAGGGGGAGAGAAATTCAGTAAAGAAATGGGCTGACAAACAGACCAGAGTAGGAGGGAGTTAAGGATCACACCAGAGAGACTGCTACAGGAGCAGAGAGCAGAAGAGAGGAATGTTGTAATGAAAACCTAACTAGATGCAGGCTGGCTGGCTGTCTATCCCCATATATGTCCATCTGTCTAGATTCCTCTCCATAGATATCTGGCACTATAACAGGGTCATCTTTAAAGGCCAGCGGGCATGTGGCCAGCTTGGCCTGTTTCGATTATCAGACCCAGCTGGAAGGGGTCAGGTGTTTTCTATGAAGGGCAGAGAGAGCTCAGTTGGGAGGAGGGAGAGCTAGAGGTGGAGGTTAGTGCTTGTGGCAGGTGCCGGAGTTAGGGGGAAGAGATGCATGGGGAAAGGCCTCTGGGTCCTGCGGCCTGCTTAGGTTGGGAGTTTTGTGTTTGAATGAATAAATCATGCTCCTAGAGACTGGGCATGGTGTTGGTCTTTCCTGGGCTAGGGAGACAGGCCAGCAGCCCCACACACACCCATTGGTTCTCAATGTCCCAGCCATTCATTTCATCGTAGGAACATAAGGCAAACACAAGAAATTGTCCTACCCGATGCCACATTTCACTCTGCCTGTCTTTGTTCTTTGCCAGAGAGCAGAGAATCACCGGAATCATTGTCTTTGTCCTGACTGGGATATCCGTCTTCCTGGCTCCAATTCTGAAGGTAAAATTTCCTCTTTCTACTTCACACAACATTCTTCACTGCACAGTTTGCTGATGAAGGCCCAGGGGCCCAGTCAGCGTTCAGATACCTATAAGACACCAAGCAGAATACAGGTCTATGCTGAAATAATGGCCCAGTGAGGTATTGTTGGGATACAGTGGAAAGCGCTTATTTTGTCTTCTGGATAACTGTGTCAGAGAAGGGTCTCGGAATCCCACAGCATATTATCCCATTCACTGGATCGTAGCCTGGCTCCCATCCCATTTTGGCTCGCTATGCTATGTGCCATGGTCACTCAGAACTTCATGTGGAGAGAACGCAGATCCTTCTTCTCCTTGCCACTTGAGCTAAAGGAGAATCTTCTTTAGTGATATAGGGCCTATGACACACAGTTGTGCAGTTCTTTCTGTCTCATAGAAGGAACACTAACCAGTTGACCATAATAGTAGTAATCTCTTCTTGATATATGAGTACCAAATAAATTCAGGATGGCTTTGACTGTTACAGTGTTTACAAATGAGTGTTAGCCATTATTTTCAAACTGTTACCATCAGATTTTCTAGGTCCTGTTCAAACAGCAAATAGTGATCCTAAATGTAGTAAAACATTGTGCACCACTAATGCAATGGTGGATTAGCCACTGGGCCAACGGGGCCCATGCCCAGGGGCCCCGGGCCAATTGATGGGCCCCGGAAAAATAGGTGCCCCCCGCACCCCGACCTGCTCCCCAGCAGGAGCGCAGGGGGAGGGACGACTGCAGGTGGAAGAGGTGGGGAGGAGCCCCGACTTGCTCTGGCCCAGGGCCCCACAAAATGGTAATCCGCCTCTGCACTAATATGTCAGCATCTCTTGTCAGGCCTGACTCACTCACTACACCTAACGCACTGTTTTCATGATATTTACCCAAAAGGTGGCAGGTAATATATCCTTGAACAACTAATAACTCACTGATCGTTAACATTATTGCATGATGTGTGTATGGTAAATCCACAAAGGACTTTATAAATATATGCCGAAAATGTGTGACTAAAATGTGTTTAAACCAGGCATCTCGAGGGGGAGTCGATAAACAGGTTTTCTTCCGGCAAAGGAAAGAGGCCAACACCTTGCCCAAAATGTGGCCAAATTCAGTGGACTATTCATTTGTATCGAAGGTGCGGGAAGAGAATATTTGCATTGTAAAACTCATCTGCGGGGAGGAAAACAGCATGGAGGCTACACCAGTCAGCACAGAAAGGGGCCTTTGGCTAGGCTTGCTTGTCAAAGAATACTTTTCCAAGGTTTACTGGCCTGTGAAAAGAAAGGGGAGAGAACCCCATAATTATTCCTTACTGGGCAGATAAGAGGCCAGGCCTCTTGTTCATCTGAGAAAAGTGGATCCTTCAACCAAGGGGGTTAAAGTCTCTGGAAACTGAACATAGATGAGAAACCTGCTTAGACAAAGACTGTAACTGGCTGAAATTAAATTTTCATTTTAGAAGTGTATGTTTACCTTTGTTTGCTGGCAATCCTTTCTATCTTTATTGTTGGTATCCCTTAATCCTATGTCCTTCTGTTAAATATACTCGATCCACTTTTACTCTAAACCAATTCAGTGCTGTGACTGAAATTGTCAAATCCCCTTCAATTAGGAAACTGCTGTTCATGTCTCTTTAAAGGAGCAGCGAACTTAATAACTTCTGTGAGTGACCCAGGAGGAGGCTGGACGCTGCAGGGAAGTGTCTCTGGGGATCTTGAGACTTGGGGGTCACTGTTTATTATCTGAAGGCAAGGTTTGGCCTGGCAGAGTACTGAAGAGTTTGCTGGCAAGGCAGACGAGCTGGTGTGTCAGGGACGGTCCCAGAGCCCAGGGTCCAGCCTGAACCCAAACGTCTGCATTGCAATTTTATAGCCCCTTTTAAAGCCCCATAGCCCGAGCTCCGCTGATCTGGGCCAGCCGCAGCTGTGCCATGGGTCTTTTATCACAGTGTAGATGTATCCAGTAACTCTCAGTTCTGGGAACATCAGCAGAGCGTCACGCTGGCAGATGGTTTGGGGGGAATTCAGGACTGGGAGGGTGTTGGGGTCAAGCTGCAAAAAAGAACTGGGCAGGGGAAGCCAAGGGGTAACCTGCATGCTTGCCTGCTGGCACTCTGTGTCAGGGCTGTGAGCCAGACCAGCATAGCATTTCACGGCACCCAGAGTAACCGGGCAGGTGGTGACACGGCCCCTTACAGGTCTGGCTTGGCCTCCGCAAAACATCAGAGCTGTATCCTGTGTGCTCGGCTCAGATGTGGGCCACTTCAAGTCAAGCGCAGTAGAAAACTTTGAACATTTTTACAAAAGGGAAAAAAACCTCCAAATGTAGGGCTCAATTGAGACTTGAGTAAGGGACAGCGTGTGGCTGCATCTCCCCAGAAGCAACCCCGGGCATTCGTTGTGCCTCTTCTCTATATGGTATCGGTAATACCCTGTCACTCTAGCATCTATCTGCTTGATTATGGACCAGGGTTGTTTTTCAGCCAGGATTTCCCCAGGTTGTCGTTCTGGACAAACACTGCTAGAAATGTCCTTTCTGCAGTAGTTCACAGGAGACATCTAAGCACTGCATGCTTGTTTTTCCTCTGCCCGCAGTATATTCCGATGCCGGTGCTGTATGGTGTCTTTCTCTACATGGGAGTTGCCTCTCTGAATGGCATTCAGGTAAGAATTTAATCTGTGCTACTGAGCTTGTTCCCTTCATGTGCTGCTACCATATTCCCAGTCCCCATCATTCTCCTCCTCATCTGTTTACGCCACTTCGATAAAACGGAATCATCTATTGCTCATACTAATGAGTTGGCTGCAGAGGAAACTGAATGGACCCACAGGCAACTCCCTGTATAGGTAAGGGCGGAATTGGGTCCTTCCAATTGCTAGAGAGATCTGTGGTCAAGGGGAGGCTCAGAGCACTGAGAGTAAATGGGATACATTTCCTGAGACCTCTGTCTGTCTTAGGGTTTGGTACTGTGGCCCATCAGCATAGTATCTGAGCATTTTCCACATAAAGAAGATTGGCCGTAAGAGAATTTCAGGGAGTCTCTGGATGTTTGCCCTTTCTCAGTTATAGAAAGCTCTGCTTGGGGGAGAGGGAGAAGGCAGTGGTTGATGCTATGAACGTCGTTCTGCTTATGGTGGAAAAGCTTTCTCAAATCCCTCTTCCCTTTCGGCGCATAATCCACCCCTGCCCATCAGCTGCAGACATGCCTTGCATTGGGAAACTGACACACAACTTGGAGCCCGAGTGAAGGTCCTACAAGGTGCAAGGAGATTGACTCATCTAGACACATGGTTTATTGCCTGACCGATTAAGGGCTGTTCCTGGAAAGGAGAGGCTGAAATGTAATCAGGCCATATTTGAAATTACTAAAACGTTGAGCTTTTAAAGAGCCTTTGGCTCAGCACCAAGAATTGGTCATTCTGGGAACATTCTGTGAGCGCTGCTGGATTTAGCTGGCAGTGGACCCCTGGATGCAGCAAAGCCCTCCATGGGACTCACGCCCACTTGCTTCACTCCGAGCTCTGCAGGGTGGTGTCTGAACGCAAACATCCCAGCTCTTGTGGTGCTCAGATACTACAGTGATGAAGGGTGGATGGATAGAAGTGAGGTTGGGTCAGTTGGACAGGAGCTGCCCTCCGGATATATGATATACAGCAATTCCTTAAATGACAACCAGGATTTTTTGACATGCAATTCATGTTAACCCTAAGGATAATTTCAGTTTAAACATAGTGGGACAGAGTTTATCCCTCGTGTAATGTCACTGACTGTAATGGTGTTACCGGAAAGGAATTTGGCCCACTGAGTCTTAATCACTTTGTTTTGTTGGGTTTTGTTGTTGTTTTCTGAAATGGAGGTTAAAGCTATATTTAAGCTAAAATTAGGCTCCAGGTTAATATGGTCTGAACTTCAGAAACTATTTTAAGGCGGATGCCGTAGCTTTAGCTCCCGGGAGCATAAATCCGAACTGAAGAGTTTGTTTGTGGAAACCACCAATGAGTATTAGCACTGCACAAACAAGGAAAGATCATTTTCCTGGCTAATGCTTTATATGATTAGAACGTAGGATTTCCAGAGCAGATCCTGCTCCTGTCTCTAGCTGTGACCAATGCCAGAGGCTTCAGAGGAAGGTAATCCCCGCCCCCCAACTCTTACCCAATAATTCACTTGGCCAGGCATACAGTGATACATCTGGCAGGGAGTTAGATGGGGGCTGGAATTCCTTCCTGACCTCTAGTGACAATCAGTATATGCCCTGAAGCATGAGGTCCAATTACCCAGTCTTAACATGTGCAACCACAAACTGGATTGCAATGACCCTCTCCAGTTGAGAGCGTATCGTGTAAAAGATACAAAGAGTTGATCTACTTCAGAAGGCATTATTCGGGGGGAGTTTTCTGGCCTGTGTAATGCAGGAGGTCAGACTAGCTGATCACAATGGTCCCTTCTGGCCTTGAAATCTTTGTAGCAGCCCATTGGGCTAGAGCTGAAGTCCTCATTCAGGCAAATCTCCCATTGGACTTAGTGGGAAGTTGGCCTAATTTTGGGCCAAGTAAGGACCATTCTGAACCAAAACCTTCAGCAGGTGTCCATGCAGCACTCTCCTCTCCAGCCAGCATGGAGCACTTGACAGTTGCTCGTTTCAGAACCAAGCCCAGCTCAGCCTTTACTCAGGGATGGCGAATAACGTGCTGCTTTTCCCTGGCAGTTCTGGGACCGCTGCAAGCTCTTCCTGATGCCAGCCAAGCACCAGCCTGACTACGCCTTCCTGCGCCATGTGCCCCTGCGGCGGATCCACCTCTTCACCCTGGTGCAGGTCATCTGCCTAGCTATCCTCTGGATCCTGAAGTCCACTGTGGCGGCTATTATCTTCCCTGTGATGGTAGGGCCTCCACGCTCACTCGGGAGATCCTTGGGATAGACGGTGTGGGGAGGGGGTGAGCAGCTGGGGTCCCCATGCAGTCCCCTCTGCCCCATCCCCAATAGGGATACAACCACTGATCTTCCTGGGCTTTATCTTTAGTTTTAAAGACCAGAGCCTTAAGGTCTGTTAAGCAGGTCTGTTTTTCTGAGTGTCAAAAGCCTTCTATCAGCTGATCTTCCTGGCTTCCCTCTAGCTCAGCCTTTCACCGTATCCTTGAGTTAGAACTAAAGAGACTAGCTCGTCTTCCTGGGACGCAGTCAGCACTCCATGAAGTGACCGGTATTAGTAGGGCGACCAGACAGCAAGTGTGAAAAATCGGGACGGGGTGGGGGGTAATAGGAGCCTATATAAGAAAAAGACCCAAAAATCGGGACTGTCCCTATAAAATCGGGACATCTGGTCACCCTAGGTATTATCAGGTGCCTTATCCAAAGATGAAAGGAGGTGTCAGCCTGGGGTTTGACATCCCTTGAATCCCTTGGTTCGAGTCACTTCAGCCCTTCTGATGCAGATCCATTAAGTTCCATAAAGTTTCCCGCATGGGGAGTGTTTTGTGTCACCAGCCACGGTTCTCTGTGGGGCCGCCAAGGTTCCATAGCGCGTCCTGAGAGGATAGCAGCTGTTCTTGGTGCCCTCAGCCAGAAGCTCCATGCCCCCTTCTCTGTTCTGCACTGGTCAGCCCCGCAACTGCCCCTCCCCCACTGTGTTTTGTCACTGTAGCGCCATTCGGAGTCTGGCCTGTTTTCTTCAATGGAATCTAGTCCCGAATCTGGATCTACTCTGTTTACCTTGGCAGCGGTTGTTTAAATCTCTCTCCCTTCCTCTCCCCCCCCCCTTAGATTTTAGCCTTAATCTTAGTGAGGAAAATGCTGGATTTCGTCTTTTCCCAACACGACCTGGCCTGGATTGATAACATCATCCCCGAGAGAGAGAAAAAGAAGGAAGACGACAAGAAGAAGAAGAAGAAAGGCAACAAAGGGGAAGAGGAGAGTGAGGATGAGGTGTGTCCATGCTCGGGAGGAACAGCAAGGGGCTTACAGTCCATTAGTGTTGTAGATGTTCAGGGATGTTAATGTCACTCACCGATGAGGCCCTTAGTTCTGTTCTGAAAAATAGCTCTGTCCAAACGGTATTGTGAGGGTCCATCATTATCGTGCCTCAGTTTTCCCATCTGTAAAATGGAGAGAACAATACAGACCTCCTTTGTAAAGCGCTTATAGATCTACTCATGAAAGGTGCTTGAGAAGAGGTAGATGGTGTCGTTGTTGTCTCCTTGATTTCCAGATTCAGTGTGCTCAATTTCCAAGTTGAGAAGGTTTTTTTTCCCCAACCTGCCAACGCTTGCAACTGGGAACTTGCACATCTCCCAGGAATAAAGCCACATTTTCCGCTGACTGACACCCTGCGCAGTCCTTCAGTGAGGAGCCCCAAATGCAACTGATTGCAACTTAAACAATTCTGTAGATGATGCAGAATCCAGCTCCCTCTCTCAGGGCGGGGTTGGCTCTGAAAGGATAACGGGAATCAAAATCAGTAAATACCTGTTTATAGTACTAAATTGAGCAGGGCTGCCTCCAACACAAACAGGGAGCAGATCTGCTAAGGAGGTACCATCTCTTACACAGTCACTCTTTGAGTAGAACCACACTTTAAATACAGTTTCCAAGTAGGGTTGCCAGGTGTCCGGTTTTCGACTGGAATGTCCAGTCGAAAAGGGACCCTGGTGGCTCCGGTCAGCACCGCTGACCGGGCTGTTAAAAGTCCGGTTGGTGGGGCTGGCAGGCTCCCTACCTGGCTCCGCGTGGCTCCCAGAAGCAGCGACATGTCCCTCTGGCTCCTAGGCGGAGGGACAGCCGGGGGGCTCCGTGTGCTGCCCCTGCCCCTGCCCCTGCCCCGTGCACTGGCTCCGCAGCTCCCATTGGCTGGGAACCGCAGCCAATGGGAGCTGTGGGGGCAGCACCTGCAGGTGGAGGCACTGCACAGAGCTGCCTGGCCACACCTCTGCCTAGGAGCTGCAGCCAAGGGACATGCTGCCACTTCTGGGGAGCCTCCCAAGGTAAGCACCGCCTGGATCCTGCTCCTCGCACTCCCTCCCAAACCCCTGCCCCAGCCGTAAGCCCCCTCCCACACCCAAACTCCCTCCCACAGCCTGCACCCCCCACCCGCTCCCGCGGCCCCCAGACACGCCCCCCCCCCCACAAACTCCCTCCCGGAGCCCGCACCCCAACCCCCTGCCCCAGCCTGGAGCCCCCTCCCGCACCTGAACCCCTCATTTCTGGCCCCACCGCAGAACCTGCACCCCCAGCCTAGAGTCCGTACCCCCCTCCCACACTCCTGCCTCAGCCCAGAGCCCCCTCCCATACTCCCGAACCCCTCGGCTCCACACACCCCAGCCCAGAGCCCCCTCCCACACCCCGAACCCCTCATTTCTGGCCACACCCCAACCCCCGCCCTCATCCCCTCCTGCACCCCAACCCCCTGACCCACCCCGGTGAAAACGAGTGAGGGAGGGTGGGGGAGAGCGAGTGATAGAGTGGGGAGGGTTGGAGTGAGCAAGGGTGGGGCCTCAGAGAAGGAGTGGGGTAGGGGGGCGGGGCAAGGGTGTTCGGTTTTGTGCGATTAGAAAGTTGGCAACCCTAGTTCCAAGTCTCTCCAAATGTTATTGCAGGGTTACAATAAACAACCTCCAGGCTAAGGAAATCCATTAGCCCCACGATAAGGATACATGCAGAACATCTGTTAGCGCTATTGACAGTCTTGCACGTGTCTCAAGGGATGTCTAGAGCCCTTGCTGCAGGCTGCATGCAGCTGTACGTAAGAGAGACCTTCTGTCACCTGAGTAATAAAAGCATGTGGCTGAACTACCAAAACGCCAGCGTTAGCCTTGAAAATCCTTAGCGGAGTTATCGATAGAGATTGGGAGCTAATGGAACCCCTCCTGTGGATTCTTCTTCTGACCGTATCTCTGAGACAGCTGCACTTCCAGCAAAGGATTTTTAAGGCAAAATGCAACAGTGACTAGCACCACTTAGTGTTATATAAATGGAAGAGAAGGGAAAACAAAAATCTGATGGCTGGACTGTCAGCAAAGGGCTAGGAACAGAAAGGACTATTGGGTACTGAATGCAAACAAACCCCTCCAACTACACTACCCCGTAAAAGGGAGAGTCACAAAGGGCAGTAGGCACCCAGCTTCCACTGGAGTTGGGCACCCAGGGTCCCATTTGTGGCTGCCCATCAGCACATTTGGGAAGGGTGAGGGAGAGCACCTAACGGGTGCCCCGATTCAGGAAAGCACTGAGGCATGTGCTTAAGTTTTTTTGACTTCAATGGGACTTGAGCACTGTCTCGAATAGGGGCCTGGGCAAGCAGTTTTGAGATAAAGGATGATTTCAAATATGTTTTGAATGTTGTGTTCAGTTTTGGTCACCTCATCCTCAAAAGACCTAGCAACCAAAATGATTAGAAGCCTCAAGGGAAGGACTTCAGTCGGGTGGGAGACTCAAGAGGCTAGGATAATCCATTCAAAAACAACGCACTTAAAATGAATAGAAAGACATACTTTGTTAATTCAACACATAATTAACCTGTGGAACTCACCTCTGCAGGGTAGTATTGAAGCAATTTTCTCAGTAAGAATTAAAGGAGGAGGTATTTATATGACTAAAACTATCAGTGACAGTTATACGACTAGCTAAGGTAAAAGTTACAAGGGCCATTAGAGCTTATGCTTTTGGGCATAAACTGATCGCCAAACTCCTTGTGTTTTTTGTTAAGCGTCTGGATGAAATTTTGTAGACACATCCGAGCTTTACAAACTCCATGGTTTATTTCCCAGTTGATTCTACCTGTGTAGTCTCTCCTTGCGGTTTGAATTGGATACAATGGTTCTCTTCACTGCCTGTCTTAAACTGATGCATAGCATTCATTGTTAAAGAGCTGCCACATTCCCCCTTCCTCCCCCCAGAGCTGGCTGCATTTTAGTGGAGGGTGACTTCTGTGTGTAGGAGAATCTCATTTATCCAAATATCTCTGACCCAGAAATCTTGCTTATTCTAATCTTAGTTACGTCCACTTATGTGAAATATTTACTAAGTAATGTAACTCTCTCATCCAATCCCCTTGTTTAGCCAGATGTTTCTGATGTCCCCAAACCACTTCAGATAAATGGCTTTACCATAGTTAATGGTATCCTTTAGCATGAATGGTGTGAGAAATGTAAGCTATTGTTATGGGCAGGCAACATATTACCCTGATTAATGTTAATTGGTGTTACTGATGCTGATCTTTCCACCATGCAAATAGATACATAGATGTCTAGGATGGGATTTTCAATGGGAACTGGGTACCCAATCCTTTAGACTCCTTTGAAAATCCTGGCCTTCTGCCATATGCATGAGAATGATCCATTTAATGCGGAAGGGCATGAGTATGTTTTCAGGCATGCTAACCCCGGACATGTCTGTATGAATCATTGTATTCACTGGCTCTTCCCACTCTTTTCCCAGCCTCGGTTCCCAACACCCTCAGTTATAAAGATCCCAATGGAACCCGTCCAATCAGACCCCCAAAATGGTATCCATTGCATTACCAGTAAGTACAGTGCTTAGGTTCTAACGTTATTACCACTTACTAACCCTCAACATCTTGGTCTATTTTGTGACTAATCAAAGTAACCCGCTGCAGGTGCTTGGCTTGTTTTGAAGCTGTAGATATGTGTAGATAAGAGATCCGCAAACAGGCTTGAGGAAAAGAACACACACAGATCCTTCAGCTGCTTTTTAAATCCAAACTTGATTTTAAAATTGTTTTGCTGCCTGAAAACTCTGCATTCTTGGCCTAGGAATGCCAGAAACCTCTCACAAGAACCTGTTCCTCTGGGGTTACCAGCCCACAGGTGGATCAAGAACCAGGAACTCCATAGAACTAATCCTGGCTCTGATACTGACATACTGCATGCCCTTGGGCAAGTCACTTGACCATAGTGATGGGTGCGTTTGTCAGAAACTGGATGGAGAACGAACCTTCTTGTGCCTATTTCCCCATATGGAAATATGCAGAGGATAACCTGTTAGCTACCCCACAGCAGGGGTGGAGGAGGAGAATTTTGTTAGTTAATGGGTGTAAAGTGTTGCACAAAGTTCATTGGCGAAGTGGAAAGTGCGGCTTGCTGTTGTTAAAGATTCAAAAATGCCAGATGGTTTGGGATTCAAGAGACCTGGGTTCTAGCCTTCGCTTCAGTACTGTCTCCCTGTGGGACGACAGGCAAGTGACCAACAGCCAAGGGGCCTCTGATTTTGCCTGCCCAACTTCGGGCACCTTGGACGTGGTTTTCAGGAGTGTTGGGCCCGTGCCGAGCTCTGTTGGAACTGCGGGTGCTCAGCACCTGAAATGACAGGTCTTTTGGGGGAAACGTTCATTCTGTCTTCTCTGGGCCTGGGCCCTCTGCCATTGCAGCCTGGTACAGGAAGCAGTGACAGCCCAGGAAAATCATTAACCAAAGCTGCATTTGTGCACAATAGATGTTGGATTCCCGTGCATTTGTCGGATTAAAGGTGACTTCCTTGCATTCTTGAAAGATAGTTGTGCTAATAGCCCTCCCCCTCTGCCGTCTCTCCTGTCCCAGGCTACTGCACATCAGAGGGACACCCGAGTCCTTCAGTAAAACGTTATCTTGTCACTTTGGTAAAGGGCTGGCTTATTTGGAATGTGCCTTTTTCTGGGGGGGGAGACTGGTGGAGAGCCAACGCTTGCTTCTGAACGTTCCCAAGTTCTGCTCCACTCCAAGCGCCTGAAAGGTCCAACCTCTGCAATGCTGGTAGCTGCGCCCGTCTCTCTTGTATGTGAGTGGGCTGGAGGCGCAGCACTTGCATCCAGTTCCTAGCAGTGCTCGTAATGGGAATTGGCAACTCAGCTGCCCCGTGAGGGGAAGGGCTGGGCCAAAATTCAATGAGCCAGATTCCGAGGTGGAGTCTGAGGCTTAAAGCTGGTATACTTCACTGTGTGGTCTCCTCGGTGTGTGATCTACACCATCTTCCACTCACCCTCTTGGAATCCCTCAGGTTCAGTGAGCAAAATCCAGATGTGGTGATGTCTGGGGAGTGTTAAGTTACCCATCAACATGTCTGACTGCCTGAGTCTAAGTTGGTGCAGGCTGCACACTGAGGGGCGCAGTGGAAGGCGTAAGAGACACCAGCTCTAAATTCAGTTACTGTCCTGACTTTGGCCCCTCACGTCCATCTGATCCACCTTATACCATGGGAGTCCCCTGCCGTCAGTCATATGGAGGCTGAACTTCTTAGAACTGATAAATTATTCCACACTGTGGTATCCTGACACATGGGGTGACCCAGCTTTTGCTGGGATATTAGGGAAAGGCCTTTACTTCTCCTGGAAGAGACATAAATGGTCAGCGTTCACGTCTGGTTCTCTGTAGCTGTCATTGTTTATGGTTTCTTCTCTCTTTCCTCATGGTCGCTGTATGGGACAATCTCTTATGGGGTTTCAGAAGGACTAAAGTACTTAAGGTCACAACTCCCAGTGGGATTTGGGCACCTTTTTGCCTTAGGCTGCTTTGAAAACCCCTAACCATAACATTTTATCCTCTATTGGGAGGTGAATTGGACTTGACATTGTCAACAACTAATGCGGACTCCAGGCTTTATCCAAATGGCACCCCATTTATGGCTTCCGGTTCCTATTTAGATGGAGATTCAGGATATTTATTGTCTCTCTAAATAGTCCTGTTTCCAATGAGCCCGGAGTCTCCCAAGTGTGTTCTCCAAGAATGAAACTCCTTTCAGGATCAATCCTCTGACCCATTGTCCTTCAAGTGTCACTGAGGCAATTGGCCTCCATTTTTGTTGCAAGCCTTGTAGAGACACATTCTACTGATCAGTGGGTTGGCAATAGGATGCACAGAGCCTTTTGGCTTGAGGAGACAGGTTTGAAGCCAGCCTGGCTAGACTGTGATGCAGAGTTGATACCATCTGAGGGGTGTTTTGTTGCCTATAAAAGAGAAGCTAAGAGTCTAGTTCTGTTCCCAGTGGATAGAGGCCAGCATCATCATTGGCACTAGCTTAGTGGCAATCTCAGCAGGAAGGCCAGCGATTGAATTGTGACGTGCACTGAACTTCCCTTCCCTTTTGTCTGATAAACATGCCTTTCCTTCATGGTTCTCCATCAAGAGGATCCCAGCAACCCTGAACTTGGGAGCAGTTTGCATCTGGATTGAAAGGTTGAACCTCAGGCCTACAGAGTGTCGACTTTGTGGCTAGCTGGTGGATTTGTTTTTCCTGTTTGTGAGGAAACCAATGGCAATTCTTTGAGCAGAATCCTGTTCCCATTGCAGTTAGGGAGTGTTTCGCCACTGATTTCAATGGGATCAAGATTTGTCCCCAAAGAATAAGCACTTATGTGATTTAGGAGCCTAGCTTCCATTGACTTTCAATGCAGTTTACGCTCCTAACTCCAAAAGCACTTTTGAAAATGGCACTTGGGCTCCTAAGTCACTTAGACACTTTTAAAAATTGCACCCTTTGACCCTACATTTACTAACTCTCAGAGATTAGCTCCTTTTTGCTTTTCCTCTAGTTTTTTTTTATTTGCCCAAAGTTAAACTCCCTAAACCCACATTTTGCCACCTAAATAAAAGTGGCTGGACTTTGAGTTTCTGAGCCTCCACAACTCCCACTGAAATCTGTGGGTGCTAGAGGCGTTCAGCAACATTTTACTTGGGTTCCTAAATCCTTATTTAGGCACCTAACTTGAGGCTCCCATGCTTGAAAAAGTGGGTTTAGAAATTTAAAAGGAAAACCTAGTCAGGTGAATCGGGACTCAAAGACCGCACGGAAGGTAAAAGCAGCAGATTTCTGTAGCCAGGTCTTCCCTTTTGCATCAATTAGGGGATGATTTCCAAAGACACAAAAGCACCTCGACGTTCAGCGGAGAGTTGGATGCTTAACTCTCATTTGTGTCTTTGACGCTCCCTCCCCTTTGTTGCCGTATTCATTTAAAAATGCAGCATTTCCAATGAGTTTTTTTCTCACCCCAATTAGTCGGTGGAGAGAGATGACCATGCAAGTTCACTGAACTTCATGGTTGAGGTCTCGGAGCTGCTGGAGGTTCCACAGTGCAGCGCCAGCCTTTTCCCTCTAACTGGGATGGTCTTGGGGGATTTTTGGTTTTTGTTTTGTTCCTTCCTCACCCTGAAACGGTTTCATATGCATCTGTGTTTCCCTTCAGGAAAGAGGTCCTCCAGCTGGAGCTTTGCGTTCTGATTCCTCTCCTAACGGTTCAGACTTGGATCGCAGGTAAATGACATTTAACAGGCTCATCATCCCTCCCCAATTCTAAGCCCTGCCCCCAAACCTGTTGGAGTCCGGCACCTCCACGGTTGTGAACGCCAGGCAGGAATCGGAATTGGTTCAGGCAACAGGAGAGGGTCTAGTTAGGAGCAACGGGGTAAAGTGAAGGGAGGGAAAATTCAGGCTGATCGGGGGAAGAAAAATTCTAACCCTGGGCTCTGTGGGTGGAATTCACCGTTGTGCAGAGGGGGCAAGCACAAGCCCATCGGCCGCTTAAATCACAGGGGTTTAAATGGGGCATCAGGCCTGTGCTTGCCTTCTGCAAAGGGGTGATTTATGGGTGTGTCTCCGTTGCAATCCCAGGATATGACTGCAGCTTGAGCAGACATATCTGAGCCAGCTTGAATCTACCTAGTTCGGATACCAGGGCAGTGAAACTGCAGCAGCAGCACAGGCTGTACAAGCCCATCTGGAACCCTGGATAACTCCTCGAGCAGCCAGCAGCTCCACTGCTCCAGTACCCAAGCAAGCTAGATTAAAGCTAACTTGGGCATGTCTACACAAGCTGTAATAACTCCCCATCATTGCTGAGCGAACATACTTGAAAGGGTATAAATCTCCTCTCAAGGGCAGTGGTGTCACCCCCTTGCTTGGGAGATTTAAAACAAAGCTAGATAAAAATCACTGTCTAACTTGCTGTAAGAAGCACTACATCGGCCAGCGGATCAGGCTAGAAAATAGACTGTCTTTAAAGATCTGTGATTCTCTCCAGCCTCTTCTACTGTGGCCCCGTACCATGGCTGATGGTGCTTGCATGAGCCAACACGCTGCTACAGTCTATTGGAGAAATGAGGTCTGCGTTCAGTTAGGGGGTTGGATGTGTATGTGTGTCTGTTAATAGCATCTGTCGATAACAGAGTAGGAAATAAAAGACCCTAGGTCCCCTGAATCATACAATCACTTGTAACCAGACCAAGTGTATGATGCAAACTGACAAAAGCCACAGTGGAGGTTGACTCAGTCGCTGGTTCAAATCCAGCATAGGTTGTTGCTGTCTGCTGGCCTCGCGGTGCCTGGGTTGGCAGAGCTGGGAGATCTCCGTCTCATTTCAAAACTGTCAAGAGAATTGACATGAACTGATCCCTTCACTGGTAGAGAAACCAAGGACTGAGCTTCCTCCCTCTCTTGCCTAGTGAGCCCTTCCAAGGAAGAGTGAGAAAAGCTGGTCAGTGCTACCCCTGTTCTGCAGATAAAAAGAGGACTTTAGCCTCCAGGGCTGTGACCTGCACACCAGTCCCTGCTGTTTCTTTTTTTGTCCCCTATGAGCTGTTGATTTCTAGGTTCTGGGCCTCCTTCCTCAGTGAAGGGGGCAAGGCCTTCCTTTGCCTTGATTGACTCTGTCCACCAGTCCCAGTTATCAAATAGGCTGATGTGTACCCAGCAGCATGAAATTCATGATGCCCACAAAGAAAACGGAGATGGATGTTCCTGTGTGTACTGCGTGTGTAGTACCAGCTGTCAGGATCTTCTTTCTGTGTACAGGGCCTTGCAGTCTTTTCCCATTAGTGTGACTATATTTGGATGTCGTGATTTATGGAAATAGGTAAGCAGAGGTTAAACTTCCAAACGGGAGCCAGTGTGAGTTAAAGATAAGACATCAGTCTTGCATTCAGATTTTTCTGGCTTGTAGCTTTTGTGCTGCACCATTCCAGATGTATGTCATTAGCTAGGTTCTGAAACATGAGTCAAATTCAGCCCTGGTGTAACTCCAGTGAGTCTGTTCTGAAACATGACATCGTAAAGATCAGATAGAACTTTTATTCAAAGGGACACTGTCACATTAAGTTGGTCTCATTATTTTGGACTTTGTGAAAACTGAGCTTTTATTAAACAAAAAGGCTGGTACAAACGTTCTCATTTTTTTTTAAATTTAATTCTAATGGAAACTAGGCTTTTTAAAGCAAATCAGGATCCCCCTTGTATCACTAAAGATTGCAGCATTGGATTTGATGCATGAGATCCTGAAGGTGAAATTGATCAGAACCTGATTGTTAGCAAAAATGAAATTGAGCGGTGTGTCTTCATTATCCCAAATGAGAGACACGAACAAGTAAAGGGTGCAAATTAGATTATTTTTTTTCTTTCTGATTTCATAATCAAGGTCTCATTTGTAACATAAGTATGGAAACTTGTTGGGTTTTTTTTCTAATTAAACACTGGTTTCTTTTACGATCGTTAGAGAGAGTGAAGTGGTGCTCTTCTCCCAAAGCTAAAGAGAACTTGGCTTGAATCAGGGTGAACAGAGACATGAGCGGCCTTCGCTGTTTTGCAAGCCAGGGTGGAAAACATTTTCAGCCCCCTCCTGACTTCCACCAATTTCCTCAGCGGCCGAACAAAAATTAAAACCAGCCAGTCAGTGAGCAGCATAGTGGTTTGGCAGCCACGCCCACCCTCTAGAACTGGGTCTGAATAGGGATATGTCTGTGCCATACCTACATTGCACTGCTGTCCAGAGGTTATTGTTTATAACAAAAAGTGGACACTAGGGGGCAGCAGTTAGGCTTTACTAAGAACATAATCCTGGAAAATGTATCCCAGCTTCACGTTTTACATCGGCGCAGCACATTTTCACTAGGGGTTTGCAGATACACCTGTGCAAAACCAAGGGGAAAAAAAACCAACATAAACAGTCGCACCGACTGCTGCAGACGAGAAGAGAATTGGGCCTTATCTTCAAAAGTTATTGCATTGCCAGACAGATTCCAAACAGCCTGGTCATTTAGTCACAGCTATTAAAGGTCATAAAGTTTAATGCCAGAAAGGATCACCAGATCATCTAGTCTGTCCTCCTGCATATCACAGGTCACCAATACTGCACCCAGCACCCACACACCATTCATTACACTATTCATAAACGCTGACACTATCAAAACATGGGGGGCACAACCTTAATCTGTAGCACCTCCTGCTGTGTCGGTCCACTCCTGGGATCCCCCCCCCCCCCCAGCTCTGCCAGTGCACCACAGTCCTAACTCATGGACTCCCCTGCTGTTCCAGCCCAGGGCTCCCCCGCTATTCCAGTCCTCTAAGGTTTTGTTATTGCTATGGCATATTAGATCATAGCAGACCACGCTGCCATAGCAGATCTCATCAGTCAGAGAAAGGAGTGGGCGGAAGGGAAAGCCCAACCATAATGCACCTGAGAGGTTGCACAATGCTGCACGTAATGGAAAAAATGTCCTTCCTGCTCCTTGTGCTGCTGATGTAGCGAATTCCCCAGGCTGTCTGTGTATCTGGCACGTGCAGGTAAAACAGTGTTTCTGCATCCCCCTTGTCATGCAATATGTCTCCGCTTTCCAAAGTGGCACATGGAGAACCGCGCCCCATTGGCGCACTCTCCTCTCCCTGCAGCTAACGCTCCACTGGCCACTCTGCAAATGTGTCTAATCAGATGGTGTTTTAGTGGGATGGGCAAAGGTCAAAAGGCCTAGAGGTCAGGTCAGATACTGGGCCGAATTATCCAGAGCTCAGCAAAATTTGGGCAGGAACTCTTGCTGGACAGAACATTCACTTGTGAAAATTCTAGTATCTCCACTTCCCTGTTGGGCCAGAAATATCCCAGGAAAACGCTTTCCCCTCTGGTAGTTTAACACAGCTGGGCCCAGAATGAACCCTGTCAAAGCAACAGCAAGTAGCTCCGATGCTATGGTGTAAATATCTAGGGCACTAATGCTATGAATGCCTGTAGATAGTTGTATAAATACCTGGAGGGATGATTGGCTGTGTAAGACAGAGCAGCTGGCTAGTTGGCTGGGTGAAAATGCCTAGAAAGGAACAAGAAAAGTTTTTAGGTTGTTTTATTAAGTACCAGTTTTTTTTCCATCTTCAGATTAGGGGTGATCTGAGTATAAGGTGAAGGTTTGTTCATATTTTCCTTCTACTCTATAGTGTGGTACAGTAGACCTGTCTAGGAGAAATGGAATGGAGTTACAAAAGGGAAAGTTTAGACTGAATAGCAAGAAAGAGCTTCCCAGCAGTGAGATGCAGAATCTTCTCCGGAGGGTAAAGGGATGGGAGCCCCTTCACTTGGGCCATTTGTAACTAGACTAGGCAGCGCACTAGGAAAAGGGCTGTAGACAATAATTGTGCATTGGCGAAGGGGACGGACCAGATTGTCATTGGGTTTGATCCTTCCTTTGATGGCAGTTTGGAGTTTGCAAGATTTGGCTCTAAATTCTTAGGAATCCTGTCTCCAATCCTTCCTTTCCAAGAACTTTAATGCTTAGTGCTACATGTGGCAACCATCCAGCTGGATTTTGGGAACTCATTTTGGGAAGACCATCCGCTTACTTGACTGAATAACTTGTGTCCCACTTTGAATTCATTGGATTGTTGAACCTCCGGTTCTCTTGTGTCCTCCTTTCTTCTGTTCCTGTCTTACTCCTGCTTCACGGGAAGGTTTTAATCCTGATACTGAAGCCCTTTCACTTCAGAGCACTCGCATCTGCATAATAGCAGTACTGCCAGCACCCGGCTTTTGAAATCATAAATTGGCTTAAAAAGCATGAGATTTTTTAAAATAATTTTGGGTTTGTTTTTCTTTCTGCTTTTAAGAGTCTTTAGGGTTCATATTTTCTTGCCTTTCTCCTCAGCCATGAGCGCTAGAAACTTCCTCTCTATTTTTAATGAAAGCTGAGCTTCTCACCTAATCACATGATTCCAGGAGCTGGGGCTTTAAGGAAGACATCAGGTATCCAAGACTTGTAATAAAATCATGAGAGTCGGCAACACTGAAATAGAAAGAAATGGGCCTGAGCTGCAACATTCAGGTCCAGATCCACCAAAGTTCAGAGCCAGGGTTTTGGTTGGGCCTACAATAAATATGGCAGGCCATTCACAGAGTTTGGATCCGCTCTTCCCCAGGACTGTTTTGCCCTGGTGCAGGTGTTGACTGGCTGGGTCACAGGCCGAGATGCTACTCTGCAAGTATTAGATGCAGTGGCCGTGCATGAGTGTAAGCTGAATGGTGTGATTCTTAGTCTGACATTTCTAGCACCCCAAAGCTAGTACACACCTCTGTCGTGCATTGGTTAGCTGGCATCCCTACATATAGTGAGAGGGGATAGCGAGAGTTTCTGGGCCTGGTGGTTCATGAGGGATTGTACCATGAAATGTTTACTGATGCCTTGGCTTTTTTTGGGGGTGGGGGCGGGTGTAATCCATTTACCAGTCAGGCCAGGATGCTTTCAGCACCGCAGTCTCTTCTGGCATCCAGGGTTTTGGTTTGGGGTCAGTTCCAGTACTCTGGTTCATGTGCACATGCCTGGTTGACATTTGCACCCAATGAGACGCGTTTGTATTGTCTCCACTTCACGTGTGTCCTGTCTAAATGCTGAGGTTTTGTTCACCGTGATGGAATTTCTCCAGCCAATGGGATTTGCATTGTTGATTGTCTAGTGCATACAAAAGCTTAAGGCTTTGTTGTTCTAGGATGGGAGTTTCAAAGGTAGCTACGTGACTTAGGAGCACAAGTCCCATTGACCGTAGCGCCTCTACGCCTTAGTTTAGCCTTCTGTATAGTGGAGATACTTGCCTTTCTTTGAGGTGTGTGGTGAAAATGTTGGCTTAATTTTTAGAAGTGCCCAATCATTGTGGAAGCCTTCATTTTTGGGTCCCAGGTTGAAACACGCAGGAGTTCATTGGCAGAGGACTTCATTGGCATTGTCAATTTCACAGTCATAGGATTTTAAAAATCATAAATTTCATGATTTCAGATATTTATATCTGAAATTTCAGGGTAGTGTAATTGTCAGGGTCCTGACCCAAAAAGGAGTTGTGGAGGGTGGGGGTCGCAAGGTTATCCTTGCTTCTGCTGTCAGAGCTGGGTGGTCAGAAAATGGCAGCTGCTGGCTGGGAGCCCAGCTCTGAAGGCAGAGCTACCGCCAGCCACAGCACAGAAGTAAGGATGGCATGGTATGGTATTGCCAACCTAACTTCTGTGCTCCTGCCTTCAGAGTTGGGCCATTGGTCAGCAGCTGCTGCTTTCTGGCCGCCCAGCTCTGAAGGCAGCGCAGAAGTAAGGGTGGTAATACTGCGGCACCCCTAAAATAACCATGTGACCCCCCTGAAACTCCCTTTTGGGTCAGGACCCCAAATTTGAGGAACGCTGGTCTCCCCCATGAAATCTGTATAGAACAGGGTAAAAGCACACAAAAGACCAGATTTCACGGTCCATGACGTGTTTTTTATGGCCATGAATTTGGTAGAGAATCAATAGCCCTTGAAATTCTGATCATATTCAGTTTAACATCCTTACAATTAGGTGTGTATATCATTTTTGAACAGCTTGCCAACAACATTATCTGTCTCGTCATATCCTGTAGCTGAGAGTTCCACAGATTAACACATGAGAACAGCATTTCCTTCTTTCTTATTAGATTTCTGCCCTTTTATTCTGCCTCCCGAGCTCAGAAAACATGGAGCAGCTCAGGAGGTGTTTTGAAAAAGATTTGAACATGAATTAATATACGGGACTCTTCATCTTTTAAAGTACTTTACAAATCTTAACTAATCCTCTCAAGACCTCTGTGAGGCAGGTATTCTCTGTAGCAGAGCTGGGCCCAGGCTGCACAGTCGGACATCTGGATCCAGGTTTCCCCATAAGCTCATTATACAGATGGGGAAAATGAGCCACGAAGAACTTGTCCAAAGCTCTAAGTAGCCAGTGTCAGAGGTGGGATTAGATCTCAGGACTTCCCCCCCTCCCCCCCCCCCCCCCCCCCCCCCCCGTTAGATAAAGACTATGGCTTTAACCCAGCCTCCTGGATTGTAACCCCTTTTTTGTGCCTTCTTCCCTTCCAGTATTACGCTTCACCTGAAGATTTCCTGCCCATCATCTCCTGCATTTAACTACTCCCGAAACCCTCTCTGCGCCATGCCCCAGGTGAAGATAGAGATGGAGTCGGACTATGAAGACAGTGACACAGAAAAGCACCCTCGGGACATGGGCAGCGAGACCACACTGTAGTCCCACACTGTCCTTCCTTTGTGATGATATATAAATAAGAAAATTGGGCCTATTTTTCTATGTGACAAACTGAGGAGATCATTGGTCCCCAGGACCCATTTCTCCATTAGATTTTAGCAGAATAAATTAGAACTGCTGTGGAATTCCACCCCATTCAGTTGGGCCAAGAAACCACCGCCAGCTTCAGAGCAATGCTAGGAATGTGGAAATGGTACTTTAGGACTCTGGTCCCTGCAGTAATAAGGGACATTAGACCCTGGGCGGTTGCTGCTATTTCAATGAAGACTCTGAAGATAGCAGGGCCACCTTCCTTCAGCATCTGGACCCTGACATTACCAGCATTGGAGAGCTGCGCCCTTTCCAGTGCAAGCTTCAACTCCACCATTCTCATGTAGTCTGTATCCCTATTAGCCCAGGGACGATTCACAAATGCTTGAGCAGTAATCTGTGACATTCCATTGGGGATGGGGGGGGGGGGGAGATTTCAGGACTGTAAACTGCAGTTTATTGCATGTTTTACACACCATATGCAGCAAACAATGCACACCCCTGAAACAAAACAGGGCTAAGAAAAATTCCCTTTTTGGGAAGTTATGGAATGTTTAGAATCGAAGTGGAAAACTTCCCTGGCTGCTGCTTAAAAATACAGCCATAGCCCTTTAAAACTGCTTCTGTCCTGCAGGAAGGTTTCTATAGGAACTCTGTGTTACCCAGTGGCATTCACTCTCCAGGGCTAGGAGCAATTTTAAAGGGTTAGGCTTGTAAAAAGCTAAACTCAGGCACTTCTCACCCTCTCTCGCTGCTGAAGTTATGATACTGTTCTAAGCAGACTTAGTCCATGTAACTCCTATTGTTAATGGAGAAACTTGTAAGAGGTTGACACACACAGAAACTGCCATTGTCCAGGCCAGTCAGGCTGAAATAGCCCACCACCATCATCGTAGCCCGCCACCAAAGCTGACTCCACCCATGTCAGCTGATGTACTAGAAAGTCCTGTGGGTAACCATTACAGGGGCAATGACTGTCTAGCTTTTACTTTGCAGCATGTTCTACTCCAGCAACAGTCTTCCTCGAAAGGACCATCCATAGTTTTGCTCAACCCAGCCACATACAAATAACTGTCTGGAAGGTAAGAAGCACTTATGGGCTGTGAAATGTTTGGTTAATCCCAGGGTTAGAGATGGAAGAGCCCTAACTGATCTAATCCATTCCCTTCCAGCCCAGGCATTATCTAAACAGGAGTGGAGAAATCCACAGCATGGTATTTTTATGATACATGCCAGAGTCAGCTCGACCATAGAACTTCCTGCTCTGAGAGCACAGCCCCTGCCACTGGAGCAAGAGAGGGATTCGCTGTTCGAGCAGGTCCTAGGACAAGTGAGCAGTTACGATTCCATATACTAGCCAGTTGGTAGCAACAGCAGTCCTGCTGGAAAGTGACTTACATGCCCTGGTCAGCTAATTTTTTAAATGAGGAATTAATGTTGTTAGAATGAATGTTTGATATCTGTCAGATTGGATTGCTGGCCTTTTCCCTCCACTAGGCTATTGAGAAAGAGATAGGGATTACGGACAGCTCAGTTAACTGTAGGGATGAAACCAAAGAACTTGTGTTGTTGGAATTAGAAGGTTCCATAACTTGGGTGAAAGGAAAATGTCTGCTACTTAGCCTCAATGTAAGTGAAAAGTAGGGTGGTGACCATATCTTAGCTAACCATAGGCAAATTGTGTCTAGAAGGGGCAGTGATATACATACATGTCTAGTTGTGCCAGTTTTAATCAACAGTTGCGTTGATATACTTCCCAGTTTATTCAGGGGAGGAAGGCTACTGGGCTCAGAAAAGTTTCTGCAGCTGCAGATTTTAGTGACTTGAAACATGTTTAGTTTTTTTAATTCAAATTATAAGGTGCAGCCTTTAGCAGTAGTCCCTTGAGTGCTGGTTACAGATAAAAAAATTTCAAGGGAAGCCATTTCTTAAGAGCCAGTTCTACTTTCGATTTTCAGTCTCTTCCCCTCTCCCCCCCCCCCCATGCTTTCAAAAACATTAAGGGGCAGGAAATTCAGTTCAGTTACATAAATGCAAAATAACCTAAGGTCTGTATTTGCACCAGAGTTTAGTACACAGCACTTTAGCTTGTATCTTTATACAAACACCTCAACCCTTACAGGAGGGCATCTTCCTTACTATCACTTTTGCCAGCCCTTGTTTCCTCTACAATTGCCCCTCCCTTAAACATGGCTCTTGCACATACTGCCAGATGATGTGAGCCTGCTTCGAACTGACTTTTAGAAGTCTATTTCAGATGTGAGTGGGTTTGCTCTCAAAGGCCTGTTACTAGTTAATCCTTTCAAACTGGCAGCTGGATACTGTTGCAATGGTTAATATGTTACTGTACCTACTCACTCATTGTTGCACTTTTCAGAAAGGAAAGCAACAAAATTGTCTTGAGGGTTTTTATTTTGTAGAAAAAATGCAATTTAAGCTAAGTTCAGAAAGAAATGGAAAAAATATCAGCCATTTAAAATTGCTGCAAAGAACAAACCCTCAGTGTTTTGTTATAAATTCCACCTGCATGCATCTTTAAGAGCAGGCTTCAAGGTTTTTTTAGGATAGAAGAGCCCTGTTTCTGACAAAGTCCACGCTGCAGGGGTTCTGGAATGCTGGTTAAATAGTGCAACTGCTTTGAACCTTAGAATGAAACAGATGCTGGTTCTTTGTAAATATTTAAGTGAGTCAAACAAAAGAAAACTTGAATTCAGTTTCCTATTTATAGTATTTTCTAGCTTGAGTACCCAACAAGGCTGTTTTTGAATGTGAGATTAATAAAACAGTATTACTCCAGTTGACAGTTAAGTGACAGACACTTAATTATTACATGTTAAGGTAAAAACTATTTGAACTTAAAGGTGGTTCTGTATATTTTCTAGTTTATTTTGTATCAGTCTTGTCTGTGGTAGCTAAAGCATGATAGGCTTACAAGCTTAATTACTTTTTAAAAGGTTAATCTACTTTATGCAGTATGTCCGTTCAGTTTCAATGTACAAAGCAAATTGAAAAGGCTTTGTTGACTCAGCTAAGTGTTCATGTAGCACAAGAATATGCTTGACTTTTAAACCAAGGAAGCTATAAAGTACAGTTTCAGTTTTAATTAAATCCATGCAGTTTTCAGTGTCACAGGCTGTTTACACTTTTGTATATGCAAAGTGATTTGAAGAGTACCAGACTTGCAGTCTATTTGCTACTAAATACAGTAGCTATTTTACATTTCATTAACAATCCAATAAATCTCATTAAATTCTCTTCACTTTGTAGTGTGTTCATGATACAAACCTAAATCTTAACTTCCAGGATTTCACTCATCAAAAATGCATCCCTCCTATACAACAACCTGCTAAGACCAGTCTAGTGGAGAAGGTGGTGAAATCCAGGTAACACTTATAGGACTAATGGTGTTCTTGTACCTAGCAGCACAGTAGTTTGCAGTGAGACAAGCTTTCAATTCTTGGAGGCTCTCACAGCTCCACCAGGTAAGGCAGCAAGTGATTTTTTTTTTTTTTTTTGCTCACAATGAAGGTCTCTCTTCCTCTTAGAGATTTGGCAGCAAGAGCGGGTTGTGTTTCAAACTACTTTCCAGGACACTTGAGGCTTTGCCTTCAGAAGAAACACATGACTTGCTGTAGAGGAAAGTGTCTAGAAAGAAATGTAAATCCAATCTTCTTCATCCTACTTAATATGAAGCTGCAGTCCACTATAGATGGTAAGAAACGTTAAAATTCCCTTTTGTACTGATAGCATTAAAGAAGCTAGTCTGCAAATTTTGGTGCAACACTCAGAGATAAGCAGCAGAAATGAATTTAAACTACAATTCACTTCTGCTGCAGCAGCTCCAACTACAGCTGACCCTGTACTTTGAAACAAAGTTGGAAGCTATCTCCTTAAAAAAAATCTGAATGCATACCACACAAAGCAGTCTGCTTCTTTGACAAAAGTGGAAGTGAGTTGAGTAATTGCAATCAAGTGACTGGTCCAGAACAGACAACCAAACCATTTGGTGTAATGGCTGTCTCTGACCAGAAACAAAGTCAAGTGATTTAGCTGTGTGGAAAAAAGCTATCCCAGCTCTTTTTAGGAAGGTGATACACCAAAACAGTAGTGAGTTTAAAAGTAGCTTTTGAGTAATACCAGACCAGAAGTTATCCAAGGCAACTATATACAGATCGAATGCCCTGCAGCAATTTAACTGGCAGGCTATATGTTCAAGAACGTAACATCTGGGCTGTTACTCACCCATCCTAATGATTCTGAGACCAAGCAATTATTTTTTCAATAATTTTTTAATCAAAGTTAGCCTGGGTTATTCACTAAGCATTTTGAGGTCTCACACTGTAGTGGAAAATATCACATCCAATGCAGAGCCAACAGCCACCTCTGTTCTTTGGCTAAAGAAAAATAGTCGCATTGTGCCTCAGTACTGAATATTGGTCTAGCTACATACCAATAGCTGGGAGAACTGTTTAGCTTTCAACCTGTTTGTGCTGATAAGATGTCTTAGCAGGATTCAATGCTACCTAGATTTGAACAAGTAGTTAGAGACTTACATGGAAAAGCTGTTAAGTCTGTTTTTAAAACCTGTGTAACTTTTTTTAGTAGAAAAATAACTTTAGGGGGTGCAAAATAGTAGATCAGGTGTTTGAGCTAGTGTCCAACAATGCTAGCAAACAACCCTGTAAATGTGGTCAAATTTCAGGATCTATGAAAGCACTTTACCTTGAAGATTATTATTCTTTCACTGTAGAATGATATTCTTTCCAACTTGCTAGCTTCACATATCCTGTGTACTATAAATTCCTGTATAAGTGACACTGTCATAACATCAAAATCACTTGCAGCTGATTTTCTCCATCCTGCAAGTTTTAGACCTCTCAGAATGTAACTAGTTTAAATATTAAAGAAACCCAACTTCACTGGGAATCATTAGAAACTAAACAGATGGAGTGACCCAGGTATTTAGATGCTTAAAGCATTTGTATACAAATGATTGTATACTTATGCTTTAAATAAATATCTAGTGACTTCAAAGTATCATTGAATTAACTTCTATACAATAAATAAAAATATTGCATTTCTATCGGCCTGGTTTTGGGAGTTGATTTGGAATGTGATTTTGAAAGTTATAAGTCCACCATTAAACAGTTAAGGCTTCAAGCTCTTTAGATTTCAGCATTTTCTTTGCCGCAATAATTGTATTCTTCATCAGCATAGCAACTGTCATGGGCCCAACTCCCCCAGGGACTGGAGTGATGTAACTGGCTTTCTTCTTTACTCCTGCAGGAAGGAAAGTTAGAATTAAGAATGGCGCATCACACTTTAAAAACAGGCTTTCAAAACCTGTGTCCTATTGAGAAGCTGCACTAACAAGCAGAAATCTTGACAAGTCATAACAGGCTACATTGAAATGAAAAATGCAAAAGTCTGTTAACAACTAATGTGTAATCTAGTTCTTAGTGAACTAGGCTTGAATGTCAGAGTAATTCAAAACCAGCAAAGACCATCTGTAAAAGTCCCATGCACAGTTTTGTGTAGATCTAAGAGGAGTTTAAACAGTCTGAACATGTGCTGTCTCTTGCCTTTTCTGGGATGGGGCACTGGCAGTATTAAGCCTTAATACTTAAACCTAACATTACATACAACTCTTCAAAAGACAGTTTGATTACATGATCAAAGCATGTAATAAGGTGTCTAAACTCAAAGGCACAGCAAGTCATCAGAAGGTGGCAATCCTGCATACTATCAGGTGAAGCATTGAGAAAGGTTTCTGTGTGCAGCTGTGAAAATGGAGTTAGATCAAGTGACTTAAAACTGCAGATGTTTATGGCATGTCAATTGCCCTGTGGTCCATGGTATAACAGGAAGCACTGTTCCCAAAATATTTCTCAAGTATGGTATGAGATCAAATTCACGATCTGCCTGACAATGTAGGAAAGAGAACTTCTCAATGTTAGTCTAAATCAGTTCAGTCATATAAGTGGGGTTTCTCTGCTCTTCTAAATACTCAAGACATTTAATACTCTTAAAGCAGTAGATACAAAAAACAGCCTCTGTACCTTCAAAATCCACATCTCCAACTAGTTTTGACTTTGCAGTAACAGGATCTTGCACTCTGTTTATCCCAACATCAATAACTGCTGCTCCTTCTTTAATCATATCAGCTGTGATCAGATTAGGAATACCTGAAATTTAAAAACCACCAACCAATTACACCATGTTGAGTTGCTACTGAATAAAATTCACAGCTGTAAAACTAGTCAATAAGCCCACTGTAAAGAGACAGAAAAGCAGATTCTCAAAGCTAAAATGTAAGTATGTCCATCCAAGCCATCATGCATTACCACCAAAAGCATTTTACAAGATATTTTGTTATTCTACTCCATTTTATGGATTATGATCAACAGCTTGATTTGTTTTAAAGTCCCTTATTATGTCCAAGTTTACAGAATTATGGGTAAGTAATTTTCAAGAGAAAAAACGTAAGTAGTAGGAAAAAGTTAAATTTACTCCAAAAGAGCTATCAAGTAGCTTAGAACCAAAATATTTTATTTTTTAAAAATTAAGCATTTCCAAGAACTCAATTTCAATTAAGTTTACGTAACCAGTTCTTCTGTAGTGGTACATGTTTGCCTTGCGTTAGTACAAGAGTGTGCCAAAGTCACCAAGTGAATGTAATAACACTACATCAAGGGGAAGAAGTGAAATTATTGGGAAAATTCTCAGTTTTAGTGACAGAAGGCAGGCCTGCAAGAGCATGTAGAGTCCATAGCTATCAGTACCAGAAATGTGGGTAAATAGCAACTGATGGGGTGGGGCCATGCTTATCAGGTTCTACCAGACATTTAGGATGGCCAGTTACAAATTTATGCAACTCAAAAGTCACAAGTATCCCTAAGAAGAAATGGTTCATTCTTTAGTGACTGCAATTTAGTTTCAGTAACATTGCCATTGAATGACCTCTACACTGCATTTGATTTTCCTGATGTCACATTACAGATCTACATTAAAAATGCGTGTGTCTTAAAATTTACTGTTTCACTCCTTGTGTGCTTCCACCTTCAGCACAATCACCTTTTTCAGTCCCTTCACTATTCTGTTCTGTGATTTTTAGCTCACTCAACCCTTTCTTCCTCCTCCTCCAGTGTCCTCATGGCTCCCACGCACTCATGCCAAAGTTTTGCTGATGGCCCCATACTTTGAGTGGGCTGCCACCGCATGTATGGTTCCATGGCTAAGCAGAGACCCACTAAAGCTCCTCTGCACATGTACTGTTCATGACTGCAGTAGACAAAGGAGACAAGATGAGCAGGGGCACGGGTCCCACAATCTGAGCTATTCCTGGATCGAACCAGATGGCATAACCTACTGCATGATACATCACGGATCATTAGCATTGCAGCTCAACTTGACCCTCCAGCATCAGCCTCTCATGGGCTATAGTAAAATAGGTCCCTAGCCTTAAGGATTTTCAAATACAATTTCACAATGTGATTGTGCTGCCCTTTTACTCAGATACAGCTGGGAACAGGCAAGTCAATGATTCTTCCACATTCATTTAAAAATTAACAAGCTGGGTTGGCTCCAACAGCTCTGTTATATAGGAGAGCAGAAAGGGGTGCCCAAACTGCTGCAACTCAAGCCAGCAGTCATCTGGAGTCCCTCACTCAAACAACTCCCTCTGGCTGCTCCTTGCAGCAGCATGGAGTGGCTGTGCAAGTGCCATCCAGCCTCACAGAGCAGAGACTGCACATGCGACATGGGGACACTGCACCAAGACCTGAAGGCATCCTCAGTACACTGATTCCTATATAAAGCAGCATCATTACAGCAAGTTTCTCCCTTGTGGGAATCTTGCCCTTTAGTGCAAAGTGTTTAATGGTCTTACCTGCAGCTGCTACCACAATATCAGCCAAAATCGTGTGTTGCTTGAGCTGTTCCTTAGGAGTGTAGCGATGTGATATTGTTACTGTTGCATCACCTGCAAGATTAGTCATAATGAGCATTTACTCCGGTTTTGACATGAAAAATTCTAGCTTTTCACTCTGAAGAGTCCCCCACTGATTTACAATCTGCCAAGATCATAAGTTCAGTGTGTGAATCACAACCACTGCTTTTCCCATATTGTTAACTGGGCTGGGGACAAGGTCCTCTTACTGAACCACTGATAGAAAGGGGGGAAATCACTTCACATCAATAAACTTGAGTGCCATGTATTTACTCAAGGACAATGCAGTTAATGTGTTTACCCTTACAAGTGCCATGAGATCTTTAGCCACAAATTGGCATGGCCTGCAGTACATACCACCACCCTTACTACAGTGATGAGCAGTGATCCAGTAATCAATCAGTATTACGTTCTACAGCACTCATTCTTTTCTGTGTCTCCCCTCTTAGTGACCCATTGTGACTAGCCTGCAAACTCTCACAAGAACAGAGCTGTTACCTCCAGGGCGCTCATGTCTGCCATCGGTATGCAGCAACATTGCAATGGGCATTCCAACGTTCTTTGATCTGCCAGCCACTACTACATTCTTCCCCAGGGTTGGGATTCCTATGGGATTGGAAAAGAAGTTAAAACTCACTCAACTTTAAACTGCAGTGGAGATGAAAAGCACTTAAAATGTTGCTCTTATGACCCTTACCAGTTCTCTTGATGATTTCCCACACACCCCAAGGTGTAGCTGGCAGCATTGAATATTGGTCCAGACACATGCGCCCCACATTCACCACGTGAAAGCCATCAACATCTTTTTCTGGGATCACAGCATTGCAGATCTTTCGCTCATCAATATGCTCTGAAAAAAGTGTCAACATTAGGGTCCAACCAACTCCTTTTAATCAGCTGAAGAAAATGTAATTAGCTGAGAATGATCACTTTAGCCTCTACTGACTTATACTGTACGTTCTTCCACACATCCCCAGGTAGTAGAAAACCATGAGCCTATTCTAAAGCATTATGGCAAACTTGAGGCTACCCCATGTAACCCAACTACCAGATATTCTGTGTAAATATTTCTATTGCAATCTCAAGTGGCTATATTAGCCCTACAGATATGAATTTGACAGGCTTTCCATAGATCCTTGAATACAAGCAGGGAATTAACCATAGGGACTTCAAATTTACCCTGTGCATTCAATATCTGTTGCAATGAATGTGAAAATATCCCTTTAAATTTGGAGATGGTATTTTTAGACCACCTAGATTGCAGTTGTGTATACAATGCAGTCCCTACAAGCAGCCACTACTCCAGAAAGGTGAAAACATATCTAACCTACACCCATGTCAACTGTATGCACACATTCAACTGCTACTACAAAGGAAGTCAATAAACCAACTTTTCTTCATTCAACAGCATCATGGCAGAATGCCATTTCCTTCATATGCTTCACACACAAGAGCCACGGAAGCAGCAATGTCACAGCAGGTTCAGGGCAGAGCCAGACTGTAATTTGATCCCGCACCGTATACAAGACATTTGAAAGTTTTCTAGGTAAAGGTGCAAACACAGCGAGCTTGTGGGGAGGGAGGGGGAGAGAGGAAAAAGTGTTGACTGGAGAACACTCTGCCCTCGATTTGGTAGGTCTTCGCTAGACCCACTAAATCGACACCCACTGCATGGATCTCCCAGTAGTGAAGACAAGCCCAGTAAGAGCTCCTCAAAATCCCACCAACTCACCAGGTAAGGGAAGCTGCACTAATAGGCCATCCACATTGGTGTCATCATTTAGCTTGCTAATCAAATCAAGCAGCTCCTCTTCAGTGATGGAGGCTGGCTTCAGGATTGTTTCACTGCTGATTCCTAGAGAGTCATTTTAAACACCACATTATTAGAGAGGATCAAATGTAGATTAAGTCTGGAAACAAACATTCTTAATTCATGCTGATTTTTACACTACAGAAATCATCTCTATTGACCAGTTTAAAAGTCTCAATCTTCCATTAAGAGATATTATATACCATGGACTTAAATATCTTATATTCAAATAGCAAGATGCAAACCACAATGCTCCTTCTTGGTCTATGACTCAGATGAAGATGAAGTATTGCATTCAGGGCTGTACCTCAATGTTAGATGAAAGCAGACAGACCACACTGGAAGATGTAGTGGGTTCACTAGGGCCACTACACTAAGCTAAGTGGATAAAAGTCTACATGGGCAGCAAGCTGAAAATTGTGTATCCTCATCCAGCATATGAGAAGCCCAACTTAAATTGGGGTCTTAAATTAGTTAAAGATACTCATCGTTAAGTGTCCTATTAGGGCACAAAGACAGGAGTGCAAGAACCTACCTACATCAGCCGCTGCTTTGGTTTTGTTAAGTACATAGGAGTGACTTGCAGGATTTTCTCCAACTAGAACCACACTGAGATGGGGTCTCTTGTTACCAGCTGCTACCCATTGTTCAACCTCATGTCGGGCTTCCTGTCTGATCTGCTGAGCCAGCTTTCTTCCAGAAATTATGACTGCATCATTTCTGAAAAAAAATAAGAAAATGTTATCTAAGCAGGGAACCCTTTTTAAAAACATTCACTCCATATTGAGTTTTCTACCCAAGCTTCACCCCAACGTTTTAGTCAAGAAAAGAATCTAATGTAGGTCATTACAGAAGTTGCTGTTGAACTGAGTTAGACCTATGCACAAATATTATATTCCATACTTAACATTTGTATAAAACCCATTTCAAGTGGCCAATACAAGAATCAATTCTGCTTAGCTAGATATCCTGTTTACTAGCAGCAAAGTTGGAAGAGGATAGATTTTTCTGAGGAAAATCAAATGATGCATACCCAAGCCAATAAATTAAATTCCATTCCGCAATTTTGCTCTGAGAAGCAATGAAATTTGAAGACAATTCCTAGGCCAGTTTGTTTTCTATTTGCTGACAGTTCATGTAATATGAGAAAGTTCATGGATTGCTCTCTCCGGGAAAGCCATGCTCCGGTCATGCTTTTGCCCAGTGTACATTTTATATTCTAAGTTAGCAATCAAGCAAATAAAATTCATATAGCTAAATAATCCTCTTCCCCTCCCCGAACACAAAGGACTTAATTTCACTTTAGCAGAGTTTTCACTATAACCAAAATTCTTTGAAACAAAATGTGGGACTTTCAATTTGCTTCACTATAAATGGAATTTCACTACAGCCAAGTTCTACTTAATCATTTTTAAATTCTTCAATTTAACACTTTAAAAGATTTAAGTGGATAATTTGCACAAGCTAAAATTGAAGTCCATATTAATTCCCTGTCAAAAACCACAGCACATTTAGAATAATGCAACTATGCAAGTTTATCTTGTTTGCCCTTTACTCAGATTTCATATTCCTTTACTAACCACTTTCCACTGAAGTTTATCTTTTTACCAGAATAATGTCTTAGATACATATTATCTTAGAATTTGTTGCCAACAAATATTCTTAGGCTTGTTTTTAATTATCTTAATATGCAAGTACTGTTGCAAAAACTAATATCAATGTCATGAGTACAGCTTTAAAAACAGGCTACTGACATTTGATCAATATATGAAATTTTGCTGAAGCAGAGAGAATAAAATACAAGTGTTTATCTTTGACATTTGAGTCATATTAAAAAAGCCCCCTACATACATTCCTGGTCTATATTGGTATCAGGAATACATAACTATTGCCAATGCATTCCAGGAAACTGGATAACCACACAGTAGGGAAAGCTGACAGAAATACTACTAGCCAAAGGGGTTACACAGCTGCCAATTTACATTAACTGAAAGGCTACACACCAACTTCCTTTACATCTGAACTTCAGGAAATGTATTAGTAACTGCTTTTTATTCAAACTGTGATATTCTTACCAAGAGCAAAACTTACAAAATATCAGTTTTGTTCCTTGTAGACATTATTATGGCCAGCAGCAGGAACAAGAGGGGGTGATACTGAGTTTTTCATTCAGTGGCAACTATAATTAGGGCCCTACCAAATTCACCTCCATTATGGTCAATTTCACAGCCATAGGATTTGAAAAATTGGTAAAGTTCACATTTTCAGGTGTTGTAACCGTGGGAGGGGTAATGGGATTGCCACCCTCACTTCTGTGCTGCCTTCAGAGTTTGACAGAGTGGGGGTGAGGGTGTGGAGCTATCTGCAGCCGGGAGAGATACCCAAGAGCAGCCCTGCATGGAAAGAGCAAGAGCTGTCCTGCCCCAGCCAAACCTGGACTACAGCTAGGAGTCCCCTTTTCTGGGGCGCTCCCAGCAGCACAGGGAAGATCGGACAACTCCACAAGTCTCCGGCTGCAGGAACCTCTGGGGCTGCTGCCCAGTCCCAGAGCGTCCTGCAGCAGGGGGAGGCACCCGGAGGTGGGTCTAGTCTCCCCCTGCCCTTCCCCCCTCCCAGCAGCTGTGCAGGGGATGGAGAAGTCCTGTCATGCCCAGCCGGAGCTAGGAGCCCTCTTTGCTTGGGCACTCCTAGGAACAAGGGGACATCGGATTCATGGAGAAGGACTTATTTCACGGTCTGTGATGTGTTTTTCACAGCCATGAAATTGGTAGGGCCCTAACTACAACTCTTGGCCAGCGCTCGTGAAGCAACGCGAACACTGCTTGATGCACAGGCCGTGGGGAGGGATCCAAACAGGAAATTTGTCCAAATTGTGTAAACTCTACAAGTCATTCTGACTGGTCTAATACATCAGCATCACATGCAAATGACTACCAGGGAAAGCATGATGCATAATACTGTGGTCAAATACTGGTCTCCACCACAGCTGGGCAAAAAATCCACAAAGGAAAAATTTATCAAGCCTCTTACAAGACAAATTCAAATTCAAGCTTCAGATACTATTTTAAACTAGCTTTAAGCTAAATCATTTTAAACATTGTTTTAAGAGAACCAATTAAATTTGCTATTTTCAAGAACTGCTCTAGGCTACTTTCCAAAATTATTCACCTTGTAGCTCTAAATTTAGCCAAGTACTTTACATTCAGATAGCCAAAATAGTCCACAAATTTGATTTCTAGGGCTGCTCTCTTACCATCTAGGAAGGAAAGTCATTGCTCAAATAGATTAGGCTAGCATTGTCAAAAAGGGGGAAATCTAAAAAGGATCTCCTAATTTGCATTACTGATTGTCTGATATCAAACTTTCCCCTTTCAACAGAAGTTGTAAGAGCACTTCAAACATGCATTAAGACTAACACACACACACCCCAGATAATATATTCCATTTTTCTAGATTGCTGAACAAAGTTTTAAGTGACTTTCCCCTCAAGTTCATACTGCAAGTCCTGCCCTCCACTCCCCTTGTTTTAACCAAATGACAACCCAGTCTCCTTTGAGGGCACAATCCCAGGCCTGGAGCTTTAGCCATGGGTCCGTCTCTTTCATTAGGGCCCCAATGAGAGAAAGTAGGCTAGAGGAACCATCACACAGATTGTGTCTGGTTGAAGGGAGTTCAAGGCAGAAATTGATGCCTACACAAATGTAACCCCAAGGAGATTACCTAGATTCCTGGGGCTCTGTGTGCTGGTTGATCAAGGAGAGGCATGCTGTCCCTGGTAGGGAGGGGGAGCCAGTCTGCTCTGCAACCAACAGAGAGTGAGAAACTCTTCCCAGGGAGTTCAGGAGAGGGAGAAGCCATTTTGGAGCAATCTGGACTAGCCACCCAGGGAAAGAGCAGGAGCGGCTGTGTGGGGAGCTAGTGAGTCCCCCAGGCCTGCATGCAGGGTTCCCCCTGAGAACTGGCCTCTGGGGACCTGAAAGCAAGATCCCTTAGCTTGAGCCTTTCCAGCTCCCTAGGTGAGATCAGTCACCACATGGCCAGCTCTGCTCTGGCTGCTAGTCCAAGTCTGCTGCCTGCTGAGTGTATGTGAGCACTAGGGTGGGAGACTAAAGTTTGGATTTTAGTATAGTTTTGTAATCTGCACCTTGAGCCCTTTGTGGTAAGGGGAAATCCTGGCACCAGAAGCAGCCTGGCTCCTGCAAGAATAGGACGCCTGCCAGCAGTATCATCAGCCCTCTGTAGTGACTGAGGAGTCCAGAGCCATCTCTGAATCCGAGGATCATTCACAGTTGTTTGTGAGTGCACTCTCTTTTAGTTAGCTAGTCAGGGAAATTGTTTGGGAGACCCCTTACTCCCTGAACTGCATCCTTTAACCAGGGGGTAAGGATTTGGGGATTTTGTTAACCTGCTGCCTATTAAATCTGTGGAGGGACTTATCACCTTATCCCACTTGAGAGTCTCTTGGGCTGTACTGAACCTAGTCAGCCACATTGTTCACTGCTGCACAGAAGTTATCATGGTTACAGGTCATCAAGGGCATCTATAAAGTACATGTACCAACAGGACACTAATTTGATATTTGCAGTATCAGATCACATGATGGGAAATTCATAGGTATTACCAGCATGGGCACCAGTAACCCTGAGAATAGTGTTTTACCCGGTTATATTTGTCTTCTGATTAATATAATTACTGTGTTAAATATACTGTATGTTTGTGTTATTTCTTGGAAGTCTCCAACTATCTGGCACGTAAGTGGGGGTTACCCTGGGATTAGAATCCCGCCCCCCAGCTGCCCTGGTGACCCTGACAAGGGAAGCAAGTGGGGTGGAGGCACCGCTAAATAAATTCATATGGGAAGAAAAAAGCTGTACCCTGCTGAGTGGCAGGATCCAGAAGAACCGAAGCATGTCCATCAAAACCCATAAGGAGATTAGCTCTAAAGGAGGTAACTGGGTGGATGGGGGCACTACACGAAGTAGCTTTGGGTGTGAACATTTCTGTAGGACAATCTGTGCTCTAACACACTGCTGCCTCAGACGCATTGTTTGGAAATTTTAAGTGTTTCTCCTTAGATTCTTTGGGGCACAAACCTCATTTAAATAATTGGATTATCCATCTGTCCAGTAAATTTATTGTGAAATTAAGTTATCCCTAGCTGACAATCCCAAAAAGCGATCGCCTAAGGTAGTCAGATAATTATATTTGGTAGTACCTAAAAAACTGAGATTATTCCCGCTAATGGGGAAATGAGCCTACTGGCACCATTTCAAATGCTAAATGTTTTAACCGCAGAGCTAAACGCTGATTAATATCACACGAACAGTAAGTCACTAAATGAGTTTTGGGAAGTGCAGCAAGCTGTCTTCTACTATAAACAGAGTTAGAAGTTCATAAAAGAATCTAAGTTTCAGCCAGAGCTGCAATGTATCCCTTGGCAGAGAGTCTACAGGAATGCCAAGGTTTTGCCTTGGCAACAGCTTTTCATTACATAACTCCTTGACTAGACATTAGACTTGAGCAGAAGGGGGAGGGCAGGGTATAGGTAAAAGGTGCACAGGAGTGCCAGCCCTCCCCACCCCCCTAAAAAAAAATTTAACCCTGATCTAATTGCAGTTACATAGATTGACATCAGTGGAATAATGTTCAGATTCACATTATAAGACCAGAACATAGCTCCATATCTATTGGAAGGAGCATTAACTTCCCTCCCCAATGCCCCTCCAAGAGGGTCAAGCCCTGAGATATATCAAAGAGACTAAGGGTGAAGAAAAGTTGGAAGTACTTCTTTAAAAGTCTGAAAAACACAAATTAGGCACTTTGCATCTTGAGCAAGCCAGAAACAATTTTAATACACCTGAGACAACACCATCTCACTGGAAAGCAGTTTTGCCAAGTTACAGCACATAGTCACAATTTTCTGTGTGAGTTCCTGAAAGGGAAGGAGCAGTGGAAAAGTCTCAAAGCTAGACTGAGGCAAGTACTGTAGCATAATGTATTTCCTGAGTGATAATGGAAACCACAGAAAAAGAAAGGAGGACAAAAACACATTTCTTGCTACTGGGAAATGAAGGAACATTCAGAGCTGGGAAACAGGTATTTTGAGGAGTAAGAAATTTTTGGCTCCCCCTCACATACCAATAATTAATACATACCATTTTACTTAAAATATACAATTCATTCACACTTGCAAAATGCTACTTTCCTAACAAGTGATTTTTTGACAACCAAGTTAAGATTTCTCATCAGAGTGAGAGCAGGTGAAATTTGTATGTCTGTGCATGTAAATTTTCATGGGTATACGAATTCATTCTAACAACTCTGTAGGGTGGACAATTAAAACTATATCATGAATTAGGTTCTCAGATTTGCAAACAGATTTGAATTATCTAAAGAGCCTCCCTTTCTGGTAGAATAATCTTTGGTCTGAAACAAAAGTGCTTATGATGATTTGTAAGGAGAATTCTCCCCACTCCTTTTAGATTTTTCCTTGGCACTAAATTACTCTTCATCCCCTCCACATATAATTACATTTAACTCAATTACACCTGTGCCCCCACCACCACACCAGGAGAGTTACAAGGTAGTGGTGGATCCAATTACAAAGGGAGACCAGAAGGGCAGCTGGTGCTTTGCAGGCAGCAAGGTCAGGGTGTGCCCTGGATCTTGAGTATTAGAAGCAGCTGTTCCATGCAAGCAGGGAATAGGATTTCATCAGCCTGCAGATCTGCTAGCTGCCACTGGGAGTATTCAACCAAAGCAAACTGGCTAACAGAGCAGAAGGTCCCATTCATTTCAGCAATACTGTACTTTATGGGCAACACAAGTGTACAACAGCAAACCCTGGGTTTCAATTTGGGTAAATACAAGTCCCAGCCTGACAAAGATTCACAATGTTTGGGGTTTAACATCCCCCCTCCCATGCATCTAGGTTCCTCGACACAGCTTTCCAGTGTTTGGGATTTCATCGCCACTGTACCCACTATCTGTCCAAAATGGGGGTTGCAATCCCCCATAGTAACTGCATAGTTTAGACTTCTCAGTGTGTTTAGACTTTGCTCCCTGATGCATTCAGCATCTATCCTGGACAGGGCATCAGTATTTGTGGTTAGATCCCCAATATATCCACCATCTGCCTAGGATGGGGATGCCCAATTTGGTTTTGCCCCTGGCTGGGTGGCTCCATGGTCTCTCCACCCAGAGAGAGTTTTTCCTCATTGCTTTTTCAATGGAAAATTGTATCATTTCTCAGACACCAAAGAGATCGCTCCTCCACCTCACCCCCATCTGCCCCTCAGCACTCTGGCTGCACAGTAGCACCTCTCTGGGGTTTACATTGCCAGTTACCCATCTAATTCAGAGTCCCCAAGCCTACATTACATGATCCCCAAGCAGGCCCCTCTCTTCACTTCAGAGGACCCCCCCCTCTCCCCCCCCCGCAAAGAGACCTCCCCCCCACCCCCCCCCCAGGGGCCCCCCCCTTTGTCCCCTCCGCAAAGACACCAACCCCGTCCCCCAATGAGCCCCCTTCTCGCCCCCCCCCGGGACATTTCCCCAACTCCGCCCCAGGGGACCCCCCCTTTCGTCCCCCCGCAGAGACACCAACTCCGCCCCCCCAAGGAGCCCCCTGCTCGCCCCCCAGGGACGTTTCCCCAACTCCGCGCTCCCCCCCGGGACGTTTCCCAGCCCTTCCCTCCCTTCGGACGTCTATCCCCCTTCCCAGCCTCCCCTGCTACCTGGGCGCGGTGAGGTGCAGCCGACGGGAGCTCAGGGCACAGCAGCAGGCTCGGGGAGCTCGGCCCGCCCGGGCCAGGGCTCGGAGCAGCAGGCTCGGGGACAGCGCGATGACCACCATGGCTCAGCTGAGGAGAGACAGGCACATAGGTCACACGCAGCCGTTTGTTCGCGCGGGGAACCAACTGCCCTGACAACCCCCCCCCTTATATAGCTTCGCCAGACCCACCCCTATTGGCTGCAACAGCGCCTATCATATTGCGCGGAACATACCGGCCCCACGCTGATTGGTGGTCCATCGGGTGACGCAGAGATGAGGGGAAACAAGGACAGGGAGCGGGGAAATAACGTAACTGGACCATGATTGGTTGCGATAGTGATAACGTAAAGGAAACTGGATAAAGGGATCTGATTGGTGAACACAAGGAAGGGGCAGGATTGAACACTGGTATCGGTTTGTGATTGGGTCAAATAAAGGGACGCCCTTGGGCCTGGCTATGTACGATTAGTGACAGCTGAGCGAAGGGCGGGACAAAACACTGGTGCTGGTTTTTCATTGGTGAAAAAGGGAGCAAAGGGCGTGGCTACTGGGCCATAGATGGGTGTGTCTTGCTAGTTGGCTGGCTGTAACTGAGTCTGAGTATTGCATAAGCCAGAGGCGGCCGCTATGGGGCGGAAGGACGATGCTTAGATGCCTGTCTCTGAGCTCAGATGGGGGTGAATCAGGCGCTGCAGGCTGGCTCTTGCAGAGAGAGGATAGCTAGCTAGTGGCTGTACAGCCTATGCCATTACTACAGAAGAGGGAGCACCTGGCCACAGCTAATACCTTCTGCTCAGAATAGGAAAAGGAAACATTGAGCAAGGGCAACAGGACAAACCCCAGCCCTTCTTGTGAAACATCCCATATAGGGGAACGTCAATCACACCATGAAGAACAGAAGTACTTGTCAAGTATCAGAGTGGTAGCCGTGTTAGTCTGGATCTGTGAAAAGCAACGAAGAGTCCTGTGGCACCTTAAAGACTAACAGATGTATTGGAGCATAAGCTTTCGTGGGTGAATGCCCACATGCGTCTCACGAAGTGGGCATTCACCCACGAAAGCTTATGCTCAAATACATCTGTTAGTCTTTAAGGTGCCACAGGACTCTTTGTTGCTTTTCAGGAGTACTTGTGGCACCTCGCTTTCGTGGGCTACAGGCCACTTCTTTGGATGCATGCAGTGGAAAATACAGTAGGAAGACACACACACTCACTCTCTCTCTCTCTGAAACAATGGGTGTTACCATAAACACTATAAGGCAAGTGATCAGTTAAGGTGAGCTATTAGCAGGAGAGAAAAAGAACTGTTTGTAGTGGTAATGAAAATGACCCATTTCCAGCAATTGACAAGAAGATATGAGGAACTGTGGGGGGGGGAGGGGGGAAGCATGGGGAAATAGTTGCTGCCCCCTGTATTCGAAAGATAGGCATGCAGAGCAGGCTGGAACTTTGCTACATCAGGCTGGCTTAGATTTTTGTCTGAAAAGAGCAAACAACATACAAATCAATCAATCTATCTAGATCAAATGTTCAAACGCGCCTGCTGAGTTCGAGTGCATCAGTTTTTGAATGGAGACACCTCATCCAAAAAAATCAGTGAATACTTTTGAAGATTACATGAGTCTGATGAAGTGGGCATTCACCCATGAAAGCTTATGCTCCAATACATCTGTTAGTCTTAAAGGTGCCACAGGACCCTCTGTTGCTTTTTACAGATCCAGACTAACACGGCTACCCCTCTGATACTTGACTTTTGAAGATGTGGCTGCTATTGGGAGAGGATGATGAGCTCGGGCAGTCGAACCTCAAACCATTTTTACTTGTGGTTTCCATTCAAGCAAGATTGGAAGTCTTGGTCTTATTACAATTGCCATGCTTAGACCGCTAAGCGGTGCCTTCTGCACATAGCTAGGGTCTACAGTTTTATATACATAGCTACAGGGATAAATTGCTCATACACACTGGGGGAGAGCAGTGGTAGCAGCACCTTTGTCAGGCTTCACCCTGGGAAGAAAAGCAGCTGTTGCTTACCTCTCTTTCAGATTAAATTAACTGTACTGACCTACCCAGTTTTGCTAAATTGGTGAAACCCCCCCGCCCCCATGCCTGACCCAAAGGGGCAGGTATCTCAGTGGCGGGCTGATGCAGGCATGGGACCGAACTGCTAACGGTATCGGGGTCCCCCGGCCTGAGGGAAGGGAAACCAGAGGCACCCACTGGGGAGAAGGGCCCGGGGGTGTCTGTACCTCTAATGCCCCATCCCCCTCTCACCTTGTCCTCCCTCCTGCTTCCCTCCCCCGGCCCGCCAACCCCTTCTCTCCGCCCCGCCCCTCTCCTTGCCCGGGGGAAGGGACGGGGTAGCGCTCTCCTCTCGCGAGATCCTGCGCGGCCCCGCCCGGCCCGGCTCTCGCGGAGGGGAGTCAGTCGGCGGCTCGATCTCGCTGCGCAGCTCAGGGCCGGACGCAGCCAGCGGCGCCTCCCCTCCCCCCGCCGGGACCCCCCCTCCCCCTTCCGCGGCCTGAAGATGAGTTTCCTCTTGTGAGTGGCTGGGGGCCCGGCGGGGTGGGGGGCTGCTCGCTAGGCGGGGCGGGGGGGACACCCGTGAAGAGGTTGGGGGGGAGGAGAATTGGGGGTGATCGGGGGGGCGGGATCTGTAGCCCGTGGGGTGGGGAGGGATCGGGGGGGGTGAGGGGAGGGGAGGGATCCGTGGGGGGTGTGGTGGGATCGGTGGCCCTTGGCATGGGGGAGAGGCACGGGGGGGGATTGGTGGCTCTCGGCCTGTGGGGAGGGGAGGGGAGGTTATAGATTCATAGATTCTAGGACTGGAAGGGACCTCGAGAGGTCATCGAGTCCAGTCCCCTGCCCTCATTGCAGACCCTGGATGTGGAGCAGGTGCTATGTGTGAGCGGGGAGGGATGAGAGCAGGATTGCAGCATCCAACCCAAAACCCGGGTGGAAGGAATAGGGCTGTGACCTTTGGCACCCGGTATATGTCCTCTACAATCCAGGTTTGGCCCTGCTGCTCTAGGGGAGATGCTGGTGCAGACCCCGGTCATCGGAGGGACCTATGGAGCTTAGTGCATGAGCCTCTCCTGCATGAGCTAAAGGCCAACTGGCTGTTAGCTAAGACTGTAGAGCAAACTCATTCATCTCTCTAAGTGGTCTCAGTGCCACTTGATGGGACATAGCACCACACTGTGTGTGGGTTACACTGGCATGGTTTGAAAGCTTGATGTGCTCAAGGCAGAGGCCTCTGTCATGTGCAGGATGAACTCCACTGAGTCCAGAATCTGCACAGTTAGCATCTCGCTGTTGACTCAGGCTGTACCAGGCAGCCAGTATTGACACGCATATGAGCCAAACGAGCTTGATTTACCAATGTATTGCTGTCAAGTATCAGAGGGGTAGCCGTGTTAGTCTGGATCTGTAAAAAGCAACAAAGAGTCCTGTGGCACCTTATAGACTAACAGACGTATTAGAGCATAAGCTTTCGTGGGTGAATACCCACTTCGTCAGACGCACGTATGTATTGCTGGTAATACCAAAGCACGTGCACCAAACTAGTGTGTTTATTTCCACCAAAGGGTTAACAGTAAAACTTCGGGCCTGATTCTCCTGTCACTTGCACTGGTGTAAATCACTGGTGTAAGCAAGAGAAGAATTAGCCCCCTGTTCGTGGTCAACAAAGGCAAGTGGCTATTGCTGTTTAAGGATATCTGGATTCACCACTTTACATTCTGATAACCTGATTTTTCTGGCTACTTGTGTACATGGCCCCCTAAGTTGCCATGTATTATTATTACTGCTACTCGTTGTTTGTATTGTAATGGCAGCTTTGAGGCCCCGCTCAGGATCTGGACTCCATTGTGATAGGCGCTATTTGTCAGAAGAACCTGGTTTTATAATTAAATACAAATATATTTTTTCCTTGTGTTCTTTCTGCTCACAGAGAGTCTGATTCTGCAACTCTTACTTGGGTTAACTAATGTGCACAAGTAGATTCATTGATTTCAGTGGGACTGTTCTCATAAGTACTATTCAATATGAGAAAAGCTCCCAGTATCCAGCCCAAAAGTGTAATTGGCTGGTAGTCTGGATCATCCTATGTATGTCCAGGAAAATATAGGTTTTAACAATGAATTACTGCCATTTCTGCTGAACAGCATGCTGGTCTTTTGAAGGTGATGTTCATAATTGTTTAAAAATAGGCTTGAAAGGAGGGGTAACTATGCTGGTAGTTAGGGTGATCACTATAGCCTTTAATCCTAGGTAAAGGATTCCTGTATGATTATTGTTTTTTGCAGTATGGTTTGTAACGACATTTGTATTTTTTGCATATATTCAATGAGGTGTGTTTCTATAGATAATTATAGAAAATAGTTATTTGGGTTTATCTCTCCATCAGCAAATCTGTCATGCTGGTGAACATTGTATCACATGAAACAGTTGCTATTAGAGGACTGGCTAAAATGGGTCAGGGGAACCCAGGTAGCCAGGACTCTTAGGTTCTAATTCTGACTTTGACCACTGATTTGACATATGACCTTGGACATGCATTAACCTATCTGTTCCTCAGTTTCCCTATTTTTAAAATGGGAAGGATATTTACCTGCCTCACAAGGTGTTGTGAGATTAAATTGTTGGTAACGGACTTGGCTGAAAGGTACTATAAAAGTAAAAAAAAAAAAAAAAAATTGCTATGCAAAATATTCAGTCATACTTTAAACACATTGCCAATGAGTTGACTGATGTAAATAATTGCATGGGGCAACATCCTATAATCCTCACTCACATGAGTAGTCTGACTGAACTATTTTCATGTCTAAGGACTACATTCATAAGCATTTCATGGTCAGGCCCCAAACTTGAAATGAAATCTAATTGGTTAAATATCAACCATATTCTGTTCAGTGTTTCTTACAGTAATTCATGTCATGTGGTGGTATGGTATGGTCTTGTCATGAAAACTTATCAGCCCAGGCACAAAATCTGCTCACCCTGCTCTTTTACCAGAAAGGTAATAATGAAAAACATAATGTCATTTGCCAGGAGCAAGCAGAATTCAGCAAGGCTAGTATAGTACACAGATAAAAATTCCGTTAGATGTTTAATAAAATATGAGAATACATAGTCATTGGAATTAAAAGTTCCAGTTTGAAATGTAGAACTACTATTGACAACATAATTGAAAATCCATTTCTGTTCTGTCAGTGGCAGTCGGTCCTCTAAAACATTCAAACCCAAGAAGAATATTCCTGAAGGCTCCCATCAGTACGAGCTCTTGAAACATGCAGAAGCAACCTTGGGAAGTGGTAACCTTAGACAAGCAGTTATGTTGCCAGAAGGAGAGGACCTCAATGAATGGATTGCAGTTAACAGTAAGTCCTTAGAAAAAATAACTGGCCTACATACTTGAGAAAACTGGGTGTGTATTTTAAAGCATCTTTTCACACTTACAGATATTGAATGGATACTCCATTTTTAGATTTATTGACTGTCAGTGGGATTTTGGCTCCTAAGTGCCTAAATCCCTTCTGAAAAATGTGAATTATGCTCCTAAATCAGTTAGGCATTGCGAGGCTGAGTGCAGCAACACCTACATACCTGAAGAATCTGAGCCTAATTCTTTTGAGGGGAGAGGGATATTTCCAAACCAGTACTTCTCTGTTCATGTTATTTTTGCTTTTTGTTTTATTATATTGGATTATTAAGCAAAGAGTAACTATCACAGGCTTCAAAAAGAAAGTTAGTGGTGCCTAGAACATGTGTCAAGTTAATCACATTCTCGCAGTTTAACTCTTGGTTTATGCTCAGATGACATTCTGTCAGGCAGGAATATGTGTGATGGAAGCTTGTAGACACTCTCCATATTTTCCAATACATGCACCATAGAAGCATAGTATCTTTTGTACATAATATGAACACTGGATCAATTTTGATAATTGAAAACTATTAATAAATGTGGATTGATTTTTATTTAATTGCAGTTTAAGTAAGTTTGTTGTTCAACTACAATAAAACTCCTATCTTGACTAATTCACTGGCAACACGAGTGTCAATTCCTAGCTGGACAACAATGAAACAATTTAAACTAGACTTCCCCTTTTTAAAAGGGTTTCCAGGTATAGTCTAATCTATACTAATATATATTCTAAGAAATTTAAGTGGCTGTTCTCAAGCTAAACAAGAAAAATGATATACAGGCTACCTTTGGTCTGAAAGTGTCTGTCTTAAATTGTAAGAAGCACATTGTAATACCCTTGTTTTATTAGTGGAGTAATAATTAATGCAAGGATTGAGATTTTTTTTGGTTAGAAAAATATTACTGATCCTGAAAATGTTTGCACTGGTCTTCAAACTAAAGACTTTGAAAGTCATTTCGGCATGATTTTAGTGTGTGATATTTTACCACTACACTTACAGATTAATGCTGATGCCCTGTATTGTTTGGAAGCTGGGGAGTCTGTTTTCAGATGTTAAGACATTGGTTTTCAGCACTCTAAGGTTTTGAGCTTGGCAGCCACTACATGGCTTCCCAGAAGATTGAATTCAGCCAAGAGAAATTGCATACTAGGGTTAAAAATATTTTAGTGAAATAGGATTATGGGTTCCAATTAAAAAAAAAAAACTATCAGATCAAAACGGCTAGAAAATAGAAATCTTCACTCTGAGAAGGTTGTTACTGGCAGTGTGGTGCAATGCAGAATGAAAACCACTTTTCTCTGAAAATGATGTGGTGTGTTCACACTAGTGACGATGGTATTTCCATCTGACCAGATAATCCACCAGAGAAGCTAACATCAACAAATGTCTTTAAATCCCATGTACACTTAAAGTTGATGTGTTGTCTTTGCAGCTGTGGATTTCTTCAATCAGATCAATATGTTATATGGGACCATCACAGAATTCTGCACGGAAGCAAGCTGTCCAGTGATGTCTGCTGGACCAAGGTAGGAAACTCATTGCAGTATACCAGACATAATATATAAACGGGTAGGTCACAAATATAAATAAATATGCAACATTAATGGAAAAAGAACAGATAATCATTTGGTGTTTTATAGTCTTATTGTCATGCTCCCATGAATTATTTCCTATCCCCCCACATACAGCATTGCAAAATTGACGGTGCATTTTGGGGAACTTTGCATTCCTGTGAGGTTATCAGGTACTGGCGCTGTCAGAGGGAGGATGTTGGACTTAGAGATATTATTGGTCCAATCTGGTGTCTTTAATACTGTATATTTACACAGGAGTGAAGGATGGGTCACAACATTATGTCTATTGGTCTGAAGATCACATAGATTCCTGTCATATTCATGATCCAAATATATTGATTCAGTGAAACCTTTTTTTCAAGAAAACATTTTGTTTTAAAGCACCTTAGTTACGTTACAGAACTGCATATTAATTTATTGATCAAGAATCTTTTTTTAGATTATTCACGTGTGCGAAGAATTTACTCAGACCACTTATGCTGATTTTCAAAACTAAAAAAAATTGTTTTCTCTTCATTAACACCCACCCACAGCACCTAGGCTCTGTACTTAGGTGTAGAAAAAGTCATAAATTCTTTCCAGTGACCTCACCCAGCAGAGATGGATGGCTGGAAATAGGGGAAGCTGAATGGTCATGATTATACTGGTTCAAAACAGGAAGGAGAGCCTCACAGGAACTCCAGACTTCTTTCAGAAGAATACAAAACATCTATGAGAAACTCAGCAATATAATAGACTACTTGCTTTGTTGTCACAAACATTAATATATCGAGCCCAATGCTGAATATCTCATAAAAGCCCTTTGATTTATTTGGACTTTTGTAGTAACATGCTCCATATTTTTTTTTTTTAAATGTGGTGTAGGTTGTGTTCTCCATGCCAAGTATACACAGTATTCTGAATTCTTGCAGCTGTAAAGGACTCTTGTTTTGTAGCTTCACACATGTCCACAAAAACTTTCCATGCACTCATAAAGCATTGTGTTTTTTAGCAGCACAAGATCAGATGTATTATCTACTGGGGCAACCTAATAGTGCCAGTTGTTCTGTGGAAAGGGCCTAGTCATCTCAAAGGAAGGCTCATGTATATCTTGTGGTGGGAAGGGATATGCTCATGTGGCAAAGTGTTGGAGGCAGTAGGTCTGATGTCTTGGGGGGTAGAGGGCAGTACATGATGGGTTTGAATGCACATGGGAGTTGTCTCATATTCAGATGTGTCTAATATGGCAGGTAGCACATATAAAGCATCTCTTTCAGGGCAGAAAGAAACACAAGTTTCACTACAGTTTTTTTTCTTCCAGCAGTTTTATTAGATTAGAGCATAGTGGCATATGCCACAGCTAGGTATTCTGATTGTGGCATTTCTTCCTGAGGTGTAGAAGATTTTTGTTTACTATAGTCAGCAAAGACTAATGAAAGTTTACAACTGTGACTCCGTAAAAAGGAGTTCGGCTGACATGCAGTATCCATTATGTTCAATGTAAAACCCTGTCCTATGATTTTATTTTACTTGTTAACCGGTAGTATCTAGGCTTGAAAGTTTTAGGTTAGAAAGTTCCTGTTTCTATATTTGGTGTGATTTCCTTTCAACACTTCCTGTTTGAACTGGAACATTTGATGTCTGCTTTTAGGTTGTGACGGTTGGGGTTTGTTAGCGAGAGAGAAACTTCATATGAGTAAAGTATGCAGTTCTTCCAAGTTTGCTGTGTGACACTGCAGAACTCCGATTGCTTTCTTGGAGACCTACTGTCAATTCCTACATAAAAGTTTGGGTGGTCCTTTGAAATTACTTAGATCACAAAATCCTGTGCATCAGCCTCAGACTTAGGATTTCAGATGTACTTTTGCAGATGTACAGTCTTGCTGATGTCTTCAGAGCTTGAATTGCCATTGCTCTCCTTACTGAAAGCCAATGGAGGGGCATATGATTCATGCTCAGCAAAAGGATGTTAGCAGCAATAGATACTGCATATAATTCCTCAAACTAGTTTCCTCAACATTCCCTGAAAACAGTTTTTAAAATTTGACTCTAGTTGTCTGCTTTAACTTTTTAAAGGAACTTTTTTTTTATATATATATATATATATATTTAAAATATATATATATGAGGTCACTTTCTTCAGGATCGAAATTACTAAATTTCACTCATTACAAAGTAACTGACGATCTGAATTAAAACACTTCTGTTGTGGTAGCACCAAAGGTCCCAGTCTAGATTTGGACTCTTGTGTGAGGCATTGTACAAACACAGATAAAGGAACAGTCTCTGCTCTAATGAGCTTACACCCGAAGGCTCTGATTCCTCAAACAATTAGTCATGTGTTCAACTTTAAGCATTAGTCATCCTGTTGACTTCAAGCGGTTCTACAGAGTTCTGCTGTACGGTGTTCGGTGCAGGATCACATCTTTTAAATAATATCTTTTAACAAATGATCCTAAAGCATTTGGCAAAACAACATTCATTTTCCTGCAAATGCTTTTCCTGAATAGTAGCCCACTTGACTTTAATGGAATTAGTCATACTTTATACTTGCATGTATAAAGGTTTCAGTATTCAGCCCTAGGTATATTGTAATAAGACTTTAAAAAAAAAATTCCATCATAAATGTTTATAGAGTACCAGTTCCCTTGTGAATTGTATAGGTCCTTGCAAGCCTTCAAGTGAGCCAAATTCTCACTGTAGTCTATGGGATTCCCAAGCACAAAGCGCTTGTACAATCAGACCCCAAATAGATGTTTTTATAATACGGGCTAAATCCTAATGAGCTATACTCATGACTCCGTTTTTTCCTTCCATCTCTAGCATTCAACAGTTGTGGTCAGATTCTGCTTGGTAACTGCAGGATAACATGCCAAACTTCTAACTTCTTTCCTTCTCCTACAACCAGTAATCATATGTAGATGGTTTGGTCAGCTCATCTTCTTGCTCTGGCTCATCGTGGATGCCCATTTAATGAGGAATATAGTACATATAATACAGTGCCTTCCAATTGTGATTTTTACATGTATCTTTAGTTCCTCCCCAAATGCCTTTTTGACTAAAATTTTCATCTTTTTTCCAGTCCCAAATGATTTTTTTGCACGTAATTTGGGGTTGGGTAGAAGGAATGGTAAAAGGGAACTTGGAAGACAATCCCCTAGGCTGAGCATGAGAACACTGATGAAAACTACAATTAAGGCATTTTTCAAATGTGCTTTTTTAGCATGTTGGAATAACTCGAATGGTTTTGGTTTAAAATTTAACACATCTCTCAGCCACAGAAAAGATTCACTCTTCATTTTGCCAAGTTTTGGAAAAATGTAAGAAATAAAGAAGCTTGTATAAATAGCACATGCATAGTATTTTCCTTCCCGATTTAAGGGCACACATAGCGCAGTTATGGGTACATACCATTTTTGGATATTCACATACAGACTTTGATCCTCCAGACCCTTCTGCATCCTGGCAGCTGTCTGTACTGAACCAGTCCTTCTGGTTGCCTTCTTCCCTTCCCTCCCACCAATGGCGGGCCAGGTTCAGAGTTGGTGATGTGAGTTTATTGATAATGTTTGAGATCATTGACTTACATGCTGAATGGGCAGAAGGAATGGGTGTATTAGGAAAAGCAACCAGCAGAATGCTTTATATTAGACAGTCTTACACACTCCCCTCCTAGCTTCTCAATGCATAAATCCCACCAACATAACTTTTCATTATCTCTGAATTTTGCCTAGTATTAGAGGGGGCCTGGAAGGTGGGATATGGCACTTAAAATTTTAAGCTTCCTGTGCTATGGGTTATTTATCCCAGAATGCATTGTGTCCAGGGTGCACGCTTTGAAATGAAAAGCACTATGGCTCATTAGAAAGGCTGCCAGGACAGCTGGGTCTCAGTGCCTCTAATTTCACACTTCATGCACTGCCTGGTGCACAGCATACTCTGAAGTACACTCCCACAGAGTGTAGGAAACATAAGTTGCATAAACACTGTAATAAACTCACTAGCATTCTCCCTTTAGTGATTTTTGTTTAATTTTATTACAAAATTAAGCTTGTTCTGTGGCACGGTTAAGCGTTTAAAATGTCAGAAACCAGGAGCATAAGAACATGAAAATGGTCACACTGAGTCAGACCAATGGTTCATCTAGCCCAGTATCCTGTCTCTGACAGTGGCTAGGGCCAGGTGCTTCACAGAGAATGAACAGAACAGGGCAGTTTTGACTGATCCATTCCAATCCCAGCTTCTAGCAGTTGGAGGCTTAGAGACATGTGGAGCATGGGGTTGCATCCCTGACCAACTTGGCTAACCATTGATGGACCTATCATCCATGAACTCATCTAATCCTTTTTTGAACCCAGTTATGCTGTTGGCCTTCACAGCGTCTCATCGTAACAAGTTCCACAGATTGACTGTACATTTTGTGAAGAAGTAATTCCTTATGTTTGTGTTAAATGTGCTGCTTATTCATTTCATTGGGTGACTCTTGGTTTTTGTGTTATGTGACAGAGTAAATAACACTTCCCTATTCGCTTTCTCGACACCACTCATTATTTTGTAGATCCCAATCCTTTCTATTTTCCTCACTAGGATTCAACTTCCAATTTTTAAAAGGCCTCTAATTGCCTCTTTTACTCTGTAGTTTAGCTTAGCCATAGTGGCATTTTTTTTGGTCCTCTCACTGTTTTCTTTTATTTGAGGTATACATTTAGTTTGAGCCTCTATTATGGTATTTTTAAAGAATCTCCATGCAGTTTGCAGGCATTTCCCCCCTGTGACTGCTCCTTTTAATTAGCTTCCTCATTTTTGTGTAGTTCCCCTTTTTGAAGTTAAATGCTGGTGTGGTGGGTTTCTCTGGCCTCTTTATCCCCTCAAGGATGTTAAATTTAATTACATTAAAGATCAAAAATATAGGGCCAGATCCTCATCTGACATAAATTTGATGTAGATTCATTGACTTCAGTGGAGCTATGCCAGTTCACACCAGATGAGGATCTGGCCCATGATTTCCATGTCAAATGTGTCACATTGCACATTTAAGACATTAAAGTTAATGCTACACACAGAATCATAAAATACTACATATTCGCAAGGTACCCTGGTTACATTTAAAGTTGGGACTCTGTCTTTGACTCTGATGTTACTGCATATAAAATGTCAACTATAATGCATTATTCATTGTTACATATACTTTTACCATAACACAGGAATGATAGATTCAAGCCCAAAGAAGCCATTATGGAATATTAAAGGCAATGCTATATCAAATGGTTCAAATAGCAACTGGGAACAGGGACTGCTGGCTTCTGTCCCCAGCTCTGACTTGTGGGGCAGGCTATTTAATTTCTCTGTGTATCAGTTTACTCCAGCCTTTTAAAAATCTTTACCTTCCCAATAGATTATAAAGAAAGAGAACCATCTTTATTGCGTTGCAGTGGCTTCTGGCCCAGACCCTTCACTCCAGGGCAAGCAGGACAAGGGAGAAGCAGTTCACTTAAACTTTGGAAGGGGAAAATGGGACCTCTCTAGTACATCTCCTCATGACTGTTCAAGGAGCATTATTAATTGGCTCTAAAGGGAGCTGTGGTCAGCTCTCCTCAATTGCACGATCGCCATGTTGTACACTTCGTGGAAACAATAGGAAGTGGAGACTAAACCATAAAGAAAAGAGACTAACCCAATTGTGTGTAAAAATGACATGGAATCTGGTTTAAGCCGGAACCCAAAATTCTAGTTTCCTGGTTAGGTTCTGATAGAGCCCCTTTTTAAATCATTCTTCAGCTAAAAAAATTTGTTTGCACTACCATTGTTTAACAAGTAAAACAGGGAGAGCCAGATAAAGAAGTGTCTGGAAAAGTAAAATTGTTTCTCTTTGTTTAAAGAAACCTTGGTTTTTTCCATAGGTATGAATACCACTGGGCAGATGGTACCAATATAAAGAAACCAATTAAATGTTCAGCTCCGAAGTACATTGATTATTTGATGACATGGGTTCAGGACCAGCTGGATGATGAAACCCTCTTTCCTTCAAAGATTGGTAAGTGAAATCATGACAGTCATGCACTAGGCAGGGTAATACTGTGGTGGTGAGGACTGTAAAAGTACTTAGCTGCATTTGAGAGAAGCTATAGTGACAGTAACTGGTTGTTGGAGTATTTCCCTTGTTATATCCTATTTTTAACTGGATAATACTGGTATAAAAATTCATCTAGTCTGAAGTTTAGAATCCAGGCTTTCTCTTTTCAAATCATGTCATCCAGTCCTTCCTGTGTGGATATGTACCATGGGTAGAGCTGCAGATTTGTCACAGCATTTAAAAAAAAAATCAGAGTAGTTACGGTACATTTAGTAAAAGTCGGGTTTTGTGACAAATGAGGAGGTGGGGTGGAGATGTGCAGGCGCTGGAGATCAAGCCCGCCCCGTGCTCACCCTGTAGGGGTAGCTCTTGTCCTTTGGGATTGGACCCAGTTCCCACTCCAGGAGTTGCAACCTGGTGCATGGAGTCATAGCACTGCTCAGTTTTGGTCTGGGTGCCCCATCATGATGATGATGCAGGAGCAGCTGGGCCAAACCTGAGAACCATTGCAACACCATGCACCAGGTCACAACACCACTAACTCAAATTTGGCCTGGCCACCCACTCGTCGTGGTGGAGGGGCAGCTGGGCCAAACCTGAGCAGCACTGTGACCCCGTGTGCCAGGTTGCAGTGCCCAGAGCTGGAAATCAGGCCCAGCCCCATGGGACAGGAGCTATAGCAGTCGCTGCTGCAGGGTGAGTTTATTGAAATCCTGGACACACAGACAGGTCATGGACACATGGGAAAGTCTTGGTATCTGTGACCTTTTTCCCCACTGTGACAAACTTGCTGCCCTGATAGTGGGGTAGATTCTGATCCCATAATCATTAGAACAGTGGTGGGAAAAGTGCAGCTAGCAGGCCACACGCGGCCCGTCAGGGTAATCTGCCGGGAACGGCAAACTGGGAGCTGTGGATGGACAATGTAAACAAACTGTTTCACGGCCTGCTAATGGATTACCCTGATGGGCCGCAGGTTGCCCACCACTGCACTAGAGCTAGAATTTAACATCATCCCTAGTAAACTCTCACCTGAAATCTGTGTCTTTACCGAAGCTACTGTATGTCAGGTTCACATCTCCAAATAAGCAGAGAAATCTTAGCTCAAAATTTCTAAGAGATAGAAATCTCCCATGGTGAAGATTAGGTGGTATAATGTGGCCAAGAAAGTAAACTCCAGTAAGAACAAATTGTCCTTTATAACTCAAAACTCTTTTCAAATGAGATTTGTTGCCAGGTGTTTGTCCTTAGCCTGGACTTTATTTTGAAATTTTTTTAAAATAAGCAAGAGTTCTTAATGTTCTTTGCAGTGCATCCTAAAAGCTCTCTTATTGGTAGACATGATGTTGTGTAGAGTAGTTAAAAGGTATCATTTAAAAATGTAATATTTCAAACACTCAAAGATCAATTAGGTGCCCAACCCTCACTGAAAATTAATGCTGCTTCATAAATTATACAGTACATGCCTTGCAATCTGTGGTTTACCTCAACTAGCTACATCTGGGTAAAAACGACTTGTGGATTGTCTCCAGTAGGATTTTGCATCAAGAAAGCTAACAGCATAAAAATGCATCTTTTTTGCAGGGAAGACTTAGACTCAGTATACAAGTAAAGAGAGAAACTTGAAAGTGTTTCCTGCTCTGGATGGGAGAGGGGAAAAACAAACTATGGACCACCACTGTTTAAAATGCTTAACTTTTCCTTGTAAATCAAATCTCTCACTGAATTTAATTCAATGTGCGGATTTTGGGTGTAGCTAAAAAGCAGTAAACATTTCAGTATCTTATGATCCCCTATTTTGCTGTCTACTAATACTTGTTTGTTGAAGGTAAGTATAGAGTGACTTAACTATTCTGTTTAAGTCACTTAGTTGGTTTTTTTTTTAATCAATCAATTTAAATGAGGTTGTGGCTTTGTAAATCTAATTTGAAAATGTGTGCTTTTGCAAATTTAAGTTAAAATGTATAATGAACTACGTTATAATTTGTTTTTATATGTAATTACTGGTAGGGGATCTTGTTTGAATTTTATAAAACTGTTAGTCAAAAAATCAAAATTTTGATAGTTAATCCCCTGATCCTGCAGACGTGTACCATAGTACCATGAATAGCTGCACTGACTTCAGTGGGATTACGCATGGTTTGTGTTAAGATGGTGCATAAGTGTCTGCAGCATTAGGGAATAAATTAGTAGTATTTTTATTTAAAATTCCTCTGGATGGTATAAAATCTTTGTGACTTGAAAACAAAATTGCTTTTTTAGAGTTTAAGAGTTATTTAGACTTTCAAATATGTTAACACACTTAGGATGATCGTTTTTGGGATACTGGCCAGAATTTTAAAGTCCATAATTAAGCTTCTACGGGTGAGATTTTTGAAAGCACCTAAGTGACTAAAGAGTACTAGTCCCATTGATTTGAAACCCTTATGGAGTATAGCTAAGGCCCCGATCCTGCAGACACTTACACATGTGCTTTACTTCACTTCCATAAGTAGTCCTGTTAATTCCAATGGAACTGCCCATAGTAGTACAGATAAGCTTGTATGTAAATGTTTGCGGGATCGGGGCCTAAGAAGCTCCCCAAAAGGGAGTTAATTCTCTTTTACAGATTAGGGTGATAACTTAAATGACTTGCCCTGTGCTGTCACACAGGAAGTCCATATCAAAATAAGAATTAGAATACAGATGTTAGATTATTAGACTTGGCCTCTATGGCCAATGGGATTCCCATCTCTCTTCAGCCAAGCACTTTCGCCCATGATTGATTTCAGGGAGACTGTTTGCATGTTTAAAGTTAGACGTATGCATAAGTGCCTTGCTGAATCAGGGCCTATATGCACAGAGGGTCTGGTTTTTTATAAAGGTGCTGAGTTCCCTTAGTTCTTGTTGACTTCAAAGAGAACTGTGGATGCTCAGTAGTTTGTGGAAATGGGATGTGAGTGATGCTTTGAATAAGTGATTATTTGCTCCAAGTCTCAGTTTCTTACATAATTTATTAAAAGTGTATTGACTAGATTTTTACAACTGAATAGAATAAGTTTTGTGCCCTTACTGAAGCTGAGGTTTCGTTGTTTCTAATTAAGTCTAGTGCCCTTTGGCAGAAAATTTTCATTCTGTAGCTGGGCTTTCTGCTTTCATATATTAAACTGGATTAAGAAATGTTTTGCATATGTTTGCACATTTCAGGTGTCCCTTTTCCTAAGAACTTCATGTCTGTGGCAAAGACTATACTGAAGCGTCTGTTTAGGGTCTATGCCCATATTTACCACCAGCACTTTGACTCTGTGATGCAGCTCCAGGAGGAGGCCCATCTCAACACCTCCTTTAAGCACTTTATCTTCTTTGTACAGGTAAGCTTTAAATTACTAGCTATTCGTCCTAAAGTGACTCCTTCTACAGACACATTTAAAGGGGCACTATCAAGTTAAATCTGATCCAGAACGTAGGTTTTATATAAAACAGATTTACAGAATCTACAAGACTAATACAAATGTTTCCATAAATGTTGATTTTTCCCCAATAAGTCTGGGATCACTGGGAAAATTCCAGAAGACTGGAAGAAAGCTAAGGGGCCAATATTTAATAAGGGTAAACAGGATCACCTGGCTAATTAGAGGCCTGTCAGTCTGACATCAATCCCAGGCAAAATAATGGAGCATCCGATACAGGACTCCATTAATAAAGAATTAAATGAAGGTAATATAATTAATACCAATCAACAGGGGTTTATGGAAAGCAAATAGTGTCATACTGACTTTTTTTATGAAATGACATGTTTGGTTTATACAGACAATAGCGTTGACACAGTATACACCTCTACCCCGATATAACGCTGTCCTCAGGAGCCAAAAAATTTTACCGCGTTATAGGTGACACCACGTTGTATTGAACTTGCTTTGATCCGCCGGAGCACGCAGCCCCGCCCCTCCGGAGCGCTGCTTTACCGCGTTATATCTGAATTCGTGTTATATCGGGTCGTGTTATATCGGGGTAGAGGTGTACTTAGACTTCTGTAAGGCATCTGACTCAGTACCTAAAAAGATATAAAATTAACATGGCACACACAAAGTGGATTAAAAACTGCCAAACATAATTGTAAATGGGGACTCCTCATTGAACAGGTGTGTTTCTAGTGGGGTGCTGCAGGGATCTGTTCTTGGCCCTACACTATTTAACATTTTTATGAATGATCTGGAAGAAAACAAAATCATCACTGACAAAGGTTGCATATGACATAAAAATTGGGACAGTGGTAAATGATGAAGAGGACAGGTCACTAATACTGAGCGATCTGGATCGGTTGGTAAGCTGGGCGCAAGCAAACCGTATGCATTTTAATATGGCCACATGTAAATGTATACATCTTGTCTTACTTAGATGATAGGGGGCTCTATTCTGGGAAACTGACTGAAATAGATTGGGGAGTTGTGGTGGATAATCAGCTGAACACATGCTCCTAGTGTGATGCTATAGCCCAAAGGGCTAATGCAATCCCTGGATGCATAAACGGGGATCTCAAGTAGAAACACAGATTTTTACCTTCCTATTTGGCACTGGTGCAATGCTGCTGGAAAACTGTGTCCAGTTTTGGAATCACAATTAAAGAAGGATGTTGATAAATTGGAGAGTTCAAAAAAGAGCTGTGAGAATGATTAAAAGGTTAGAAAACATGACTTATAGTGATAGACTCAAGGAGCTTCAATCTATTTAGTTTAACAAAGAGAAGGTTAAGAGGTGACTTGATTATAATTGATAAGTACTTACACTGGGAACAAATATTTAATAATGGGCTCTTCCATCTAGCAGAGAAAGGTATAACACGATCCAATGGCAGAAAGTTGAAGCTAACATTTTTAACAGTGAGAATAATTAACCATTGGGACAATTTACCAAGGGTTGTGGTGAATTCTACATCACTGACCATTTTTAAATCAAGCTTGGATCTTTTTCTAAAAGATAAGCGTTAGAAATTATTTGGGGGAGGTTGAATGGCTTGTGTTCTACAGGAGGTCAGACTAGCTGATTACAATGGTTCTTCTGGCCTTGGAATCCTATGAAATCTATGAAAGTTAGATAATGTTTCCAATGGACACGTAAGAGAGAAGCTTCTGCTGCCAATATTAGATGGCTAGCTGAGTGTAATTAAAAAGGTAATCGATTGAGATGGCACTTGACAAAACCACGTCAAGTTTTGCTCTTGTAGTTAAAGCTGAAGGCATTAGAGATATGGGTCACGTATCTGGTTCTGCTGCCGATTCACCACATACTGTTTATTTACTTTCTCAGTCTCCTTGTGTCCTCATTTCCCAATCTGTGAAACGGGGATAAGACTAGACCTGGTCAAAAAATCCTATTTTATTTCTCTGGTAAACGTTAAACAAAACAATTGCACTTAAAAAACAATTACCAAAGTTTTGAATTAAAAATATCAAAACAAAACCAACTTTTTGTTTAATTTCAAATCAAAATTTGTATTTAACAATTTTCTCTGAAAAATTTAAAATTTAGTCAGTGTAGTTGTTTTCACAGACCTTCAGTTTTGTTGGGGGAGAACTTAGTCTAGCTCTAGAGAATATCAACCAGACTGGGCTTTGAGAGGATTAATTAGCATTTATCAAATAAACTAAGTATTTTTAAATCACTTGTATCAAGCTGTTTGTTGTAAAATGCTGGAATTCTTTATTTTGCCTTAGTTTTGAATTAAATGGATGTTGCGTGTCACTTATTCTGTCTACTGCAATTTTTATTTAAATTTATCCTTTTTCATGTTTCTCTCTCCCCCTGCAGGAGTTCAACTTGATTGACAGGCGTGAGTTGGCTCCTCTTCAGGAACTAATTGAAAAGCTAGGATCCAAAGACAGATAAATTTTCCCTGGAAGAATTCTTTCTGCTTTCAAACATGGTTCCTCTTTCTTGCTTCATATACCAGCTGCAGCTATTTCTTTACCACTTTGTCTTCAGTGGCACAAACCCTGAGTAACCAGGTACCACAGCTAGCGGGTCTAAAACAGAGGCTTTCCAGTCTAGCACAGTTACTGCCCTTCTTCCATCTTAGTAGCTGGTGTGGGGGCTTCATTGCAAAGAAGTACCAGGTCAAATTTCATGTAAAATCCAAGGTCTGCAATTCAGCAAAAGTGTCTTCAGAGCAAAGTAGCTATGAATTCTAAGAGCTACTTTATCAGATCTTTTACTTGGAAAGGTGGGGTTCATGATTGCATTAATCCCTGCAATGTCATGATTTTCTAACTGAACCATATTTTGTCAATCTATATAAATTAGTGAAATTTTGCATAATTTTCAATGCAGAACTACATCATTATAGTTTGCATTAGCAGTTCCAGAATTAACTTTCTGCTCTAGAAATTGGATGGATAAGTATTTTGAGACCTCAACTCAGCTTGCAGTTTTGGGCATATGAGGTTTTGTGCACAACCCCCTAAATTTGTATGCATGGATAGGGGAGATGTTTACCTAATGTTCAAGTGCACCTTCAGGAGTTTGGATGCATAATATTTACAGGACATTTGTGGAAAAATTTGGCCACATAACACTTAATTTTTCAAACACTTCCACAAATGTGGCTGTTGTAATTTATCTGACATGAAACAACAGATGGTAAGAATTCTGTAGATACTATATTTGGCTAGAAATTGTTTGCAAAACTGCAAATGCAAATATTTTGGTTTGGGTTTTATTCCATCCAGCGTTTAGTTGCTCAACAAAGTTCCATTTTAAAGCTCTGTTTGCTAGTATAAAAATTGTTGAATACTTCTGATAAGTGCATTACGTTATGAACTTTGATATTCCACTGTTTTCTATGTAGGAAATAGAACTATTTTTGCAAATTTTATGATGGATGCAATTTACACTTAAAACACACTGCATTTTTATCTCGTAGAACTAGACTGTTAATAGGTATAGGTTGGTATATGTAGCTTCAGCAACCAAAGCAATTTAAAAAACAATCTGGTATTCAGTTGGTTATGACTTTGAATTGCACACATATATATATATATGTATGTATGTGTGCCCCCTGTGGATTTTTGTTTGTGTACACCATTTCAAATTCATGTGTGTCTGTGGATTTTAAAAAAAGGAAAAAGGTAACTTAATTCACTTAAACTCATTGTATGGCTTTCAAAACCTTTTTTTAAAAATGCTGGATCAAACATAGGAGGAAAAACTACTGGTGTATTCCTTATGAATGCTTTTATTTTATTTTTTTTTTAGAGTAGTTTGTTTTAAGTTTGTATCTAGATGCACTTTGAATTTGCCTTAGAGCCTTAAGTAAAATAGTAGACTAGCCATGAATTGCATGGACATGAAGTTATGATCCAAAAGTGACTAAGATAAAGCAAAATAGAGCCCATCTAAAAAAACCCAGATGAAAAACTTAAGACTGGCACAAAAGCGTAAGTGTGGAAGCTTAATTACAAGAGAAACAATCTGCATGTACCCCACTGTGAACTGCAGAGGTTTCTTTTTTTAAATAAGTGTCACCATTATCTAATGGGGTTAGTACTGTATTTTGACAAATTAAAACAGTTGCGCCAGCACCATCTGATTGTGAAAAATCTGAACTGCAGATACCTAGTTTCTTTGCTGGACTGTGAGACATCATGAGTATCATTAACGGTGTTTTGCTTAAAAAAACATTCCATTCTAAAGGCCTGATCCTGAGTTGTTTTGATGTTACTTGTGGCATGTGTCATTCCAGGAGAGAAACCTGTGGCTGACAGGTCTCAAGAGCTTGGAGGTCCTTTTGTTTTAATACAGTATTGATTTACATTATTAAATACTAGTCTCTTAGAACCCAAGTTAACTTGTAGTGCAGACTTTGCAATTCAGAGATGAAGGGGTCCTAGCTAGGACAGGTGACATGTTCCACCCATAAGAAGTGGAATTTTGTGTTGAAACCTCTATTTCTTTTCAGGTAGCTTTGGCTTTTAATTTTCCTTCCTGGTTTAGGGGGCAGCCAGCGTTTTTCTTTTTAAATAATCTAGTCCCCTATGCTTCTTCCGCCCAACCTACTACATGGTGCATGGGAGAAACACCAGAAAAAGCTGGGCTGGAGCTGTGCAGAGGGGAAAGCCAGCACCCTGGGGATGGTCCATTCCCCCGCCACACCTCACCAACTTTGCTCTTTCTGCACAGCCACTTTTTTTTTTCTCTTTGCAAGCCTGTTACCTGTGAACTGCAGTTCAAATGTGTAAAATTAATGGTGCTTAAAGCACCAGTAAATCCACTGCACGCTGTGTAATTCTCCCCACTCTCAGGGATTGTGAAGCTCCTGAATGGGCAAGCAGTCATGGCACTCTGCCTATTGGTCCAGGAGAGCACTGAGGGAGAGTCCCACATGACTGCCTAGGGATCTGCGGGGTTGAAATCCTGCATAAATATGGATCCTGTGCCACTTCTGCCTTTGCTGGCCCCTCTGCCCCTACTGGAACCCTATAGAAGAGTGTGTGAGATGATTCCTTTCCATATGGCTTTTGCTTACCCATACCACTGTTCACCCTACATGTCAAAGCAACTAGTTTATACTGGGATATTTCAAAAATATGTAGCTTTTTTACAAGATGACTTTATTTTCAATCTCAAATGTCTAAAATCCAAACTTTGTAAATCCAGTGACCCACTGAATTATCTCTGTAAAATACATATATAGCCTGTTCCCAAGATGAAGCCATTTTTGCCACATTTCAGCTGATTTGTTTGTCATCCTATCTTTGAGTCCCTGAGTGAACAGGCCAATGCCATAAAGTAAAACATTGCCAAAACTATTTTCTATCAGTATTTTTCACAACTTGTATTCTTGCTTAGCCATTATTTATCTGCTATCACACTGCACACACATTGACCAAGCAGTGCTGACTAAGAACAAAACATGCTGAACAAACTAGTGCTCACTTTGAACATCATAATTAACTTCTGAAAAGTACAGTAGTCATTAACTTTGAAGTGTGGACATGGGCTAGAGGACAAAAGTAAAATTGTATGGTCTCCTATACACTTTGGCTGTGATTTCAAACTGACTCAGTTTACAAAATTGAAAGTCGTTTTTTCCAACTCATTCTGGGGTCTGAAAGATCAAGACAGATGCTTTGTTCAAAGGCAGGAATGTTTTTATAGAAGACTGATTGGACTACAGTGGTTGAAATGGCTTTGAAGGAATTCACTTTTTAATCTGCCAGTCCCTTTTGTTGTTGTTGTTAGAATCAGTCAGATTCAAAAACCATTCAGGCTCGGTTTACCTAGGGTCCAGTGAGCTCTGATTGAAGTTAATGAGAATGGACAGCATGCAGCACACTGCAGCATCTGGCCTTTACATGTAAGGGAAAACTGGCTAAAAGCTTTTTTGAAATCATTCTGCTTCACCAACCCAAAATGGACAGATAGTAGCTACTTAAGTTTACAGCATTTGTCAAAAATTGTACAAGTAACCTTAGTTTAAAACCACACTGTTCTAGGGTTAGCCTGAGATGTTTTTATGTAAGTTGCTCATATTTAAAACCTCATAATAGGACTGTGAATAAAACTTGTGGTTTTTGCTTGGCATCTGTAATGAGTAAGCTTTTGCCCTGGCCTTGCACAAATGCAACTTTTTCGATAATTTAGTTTTACCTTAAGTGCTTATGTATTTGTTCTGAGCTTTCTTGCAATGAATAGATTTCAGTATAGGCGATTACTCAACCTTTTCCTCCATTATAAAGAAACATTGCTGTGATCATTGAGAAAGGTAGGTAAGGCTTCATTTGTTTTAAGTCAAAAGAACTTTTTCTAGTTAGCTTTAAGCTGTATTTTGTTCCTAGCTCAAATCTCTGCCCTCTTCCAAGGCAGGCACTGGTCACGCCAGGGATGAGGGGCAGATTAGTGGATGGATCTCACTTGAAACTCAGCAAGCATCCAATTAATACTGAATATCCAGTAATCTGCTTCAGCTAACTCCTGACAAAACTATTGGGTTTCTCCGTTCAGATTCTAGATATTTTTCTGAATTGCACTGTTAATTTAAGAATTCAGGAGGGAAATTAATCATTTAGAGGGGTAGGCTGTTCCATTTGTTAAAGGAAGAATTGACAGTGTTTGAGAAATCCTGTACTCGATTGACTTTTTGAAGTTTTTTATATTTATATCAATACACACACTTCCTCAGGATGGACTAGGGTTGCAAGGTTCTTTCATGCAGCTGTTTCAAGTAGGCAGAAATGTTTGTTCAGACAATGTTGATACATCTTAACTTGCATTGCAGGTGAGTGGTGCTGTGACTCAAAACTGGTTACAGTATTTGGACCTCTTGCTACTTTCAGTGTTAGGGACAAACTTTAACTACAACTCAATACTGCTGCTGTACCTTGTATGTTTTCCTGCATGTTTCCTTCAACTTGACTAAACAGTTACTCCATGGCAAAAAAAACTGTTTGCATAAATTAACATTAGTGAATTTAATATGAAAATTTTATAGTATTTTTACATTAATAGTTATAAGAAGTTTTTACTTACCTGGGGCTTTTCTGGGTTACTTTTAGGTAAATTTATTGTACTTTTTACAAAATATTTTGTATCTACTTTTGTAACTTCCATTCAATCAAATAATAAAGCATGTGGTATTCAAATGATTTTCTGGTTTAAACAGGTGAAAACACTGGGGCTATTAGGGATTTTAACCTACTGGCTTATACCAGTTATAACAAGCACAAATGATGGTCAGTCTCTGCAGTGTGGCGATAGCTTTGTATAGTGTTTGCTCATTGCTTTTTCTTTATACTGTAACAATGATGTCCTCTGTTTGCAGTTGTCACCTCCACCATTAAATGTTCAGGGAAGGGAAGTGTAATGGGAATTCAATGTCTGTTCATTTTGGAAAGCTGATGGAACACTTCATACTAATATTTTATGTTGCATCTCCTTTCTAGTAGTATGAAGAAGTGAGGCACCTTTTCAGAAACACCTTAAACAATAGATCGTGCTTTATTCCCCCCCAAAAAAGTCACTTTCAGGGAAAGGGTAAAATTTTCAAAAGGCATTTGCTTAAGGAAATAGTAATGGAAATTCCTGCAGCTATAGAAACTTACAACTGAAGTTGTTGTCTTCTCTTCTGAATGATGAGCTCCCCCTCTGATTGCAGCAACACTGAGTGGGAAAACCAGGACCCTAGCTACAGGCACTTTGCTCTACTTAAACTTAAATTGTTTGGACTGTGTTTACAGCAGGCTTATCAGTCTGCTTCTGGCTCCTAGTAACATATTTTAAGGACAGGCACAAGATTTAGCAGAGTTCTAGTCCTGGCTTTACCCTATGCTTCCTGCATGAGATTGGGCAACTTAATCTTTTCTGTTTCCCAAATATGTAAAGTGATCATAGAGGGGTTGGTAATACCTGTGAAGCAGTGTCTATTCTCCCAGGAAATGTGCTACAGGTGTGCAAAGTACTTCAGTTCGTATTTACTGCAGTGGAAAACTTGTTTTTTTTCCATTGTATAAACCTAAACTGCTGCAGAAGAGCTGAACTATCACTGTAGAGGCTCTTAGAAGTGTTTTTGATGGGATATTTTTCATAATTGTTGCAGGAGGTGTCTGAGTTAGGCCTACCTCAGGCTCATCAAACAAAATGTAATGACTGCAACAATAGACATGTGGGCACCAGAGTTCTGATGAAAGTTGCATAGAAAAAAAGCCCCACAGCCCCTATAAACAAGTTCTTTGCATCAATAACTTTAGGGCAGTAACTAATGAGATATTTCCAGTTACTCGCTATTAGCTACAGCTCCCCTCAACCACTACTTCCATAAAGCATTACGAGACAGCACCCTGCACAGCAATAATCATCCAGGTAGGCCCTAAAATTTCATTAGAAACAACCTGAGTGAGGTAATATTTTTAACAGAAGTTGGTCCAGTAAAAAAGATAAGATATTACTGGGCCAGCATGGCTATACCACTCCCAAACTAAAGTGTGTATAATGATTAAGATTATTAGATGTTAGAATAGCTACTTAAAACAATAGTCATCTTATGCATTTCAGAATTTACGCTCCCAAGACACATTATGTATCTAGTCATGTTTGTTTCATGAATCAAGAAGCACTCACCTGCAAACATGCTATCAGTTAAGTAGAGAGGTTCTAGTGCAACACCTCAGTCTTGGCAGGTAGGGCATAATTGAGATCTCTTGCCAGTTAATGTCCACTAAACCAGCAGCATGTTTTGCAGCAGTTGCAACATAAACAGTAGATGCAATACTTTGCACCTCTACATCCCTATCTGATAACAGGTGGCTGTAGCAGAGGAAGAAGCTGGACTCCAGTCTTCTAAAATATGGCCAAGCAGGGGTACTTTAGTGCTCCTCTAGTCAGTATTCTACTTACCATATGGATTGTTAATAAAAAAAAAAAGCATCAAGGTGCTAGGATTTGGCTTACCTAACTCCAGTTACTATTCCTCCATGCTTACCAAGCACCTCAGTCACTGACTAATATGCTTACCAGAAAAGTCATTGCCCACCCCCGAAATATCAATAGACAATTACTTATAATGCAATAAAACTTTAATATAACTTATTATTTTAATAGCTAACTATTAACTGGCTGAGGTACAATTAAATCTGGCATGAGAAAGCTTGAACTTAAGGCACAGACATGCCCAACTAAAAGTTGACTAGCCGATCCTTATCAAAGAAACATTGACACTTCACAGGAGTTTGAGTAAAATAAGCACTTTCACAGATGCCATGAAAAAAAGGTGATCCTCATAATTCAGACTCAGAGCATCATGCCTTGAGTTTTGCCCAACAGGAAACCTGAGCTCCTTATCCTTTCAAGGACATCACACTGAAGTAATGTAACTTAAAGCCTTTCATTTATTAAGAAACAGTCTTAATTTCATATTCAGTAGCTGTGCCAGACAGCTCAGGATTATCCTGCAAGCTTCTCTTACAAAGCCATGTTTGAAGTAAGATGATTGACTGAGAACTCTACAGCCTCTGAAGTAATTTCTTTGTAAGCTGCAGTTTCCTCACTGCCCTGGTTTCCTCTGAGCTACACCAGAACACTAGTCAAGTAGACAGCAAAAACATGCATTATTATTTTGGGGTTTTTTGTTCATGATCTCTTTGTAGAATCACCACTGCTGGGGTCCTTTTCCACTAGATGTTAGTAATGAAAGATACTTTGGAAGCCAATACTTCTCTCTGCAACATGCTCCACAAACCATGGCATTCCAGTTCCATCCTTGACTTACAGTGATTAGTTTTTTGATAAAGTAACCAACTAAGATTTGGCATCAGGTACTTTATGAAAGAATAAGAAAGGATAAGTTAAAATTAAATAAACATGAAATAGGATCTCTCTTTAAATAGCTTCTGAAATACTTACAGTCCTTGTTTTAACACCATTAAATATTGATTTAAAGATAAGTCCATAATCCAAAAATACAAACTTCCTGTTTTGTCTCATGCCCATAGGTGTCCTATCTCCACACAGGTTTCTAACAATGCTGCCTGGTTCATCTTCAGTGCTTTGGAATAGATGTGAATATCCGTAGTCCATGCATTGCTTTAATTTCTTCACTTAGTGCCTAAAATAAGAAATTAAATAAGTCTTTGAACAAAACTACAAAAAAGCAACTCAACTGAGCACAATAGAACAGAAGTCTGTGGTAGAGGCAGATGGCCCACAATACCATTATAAAGATAATGGCAGAACAGCAGTTGTTCCTTATGCAAGCAGTGATTTTGGACCCTGGTCTGTTACTTGGTACTGGGCAGGAGGAGAGACACTTCCTCACTTGAAACTGAATGGGCCAAATTAACAGCATGATTAAGATGAATAGTTCCTTGATGTAGCCAGCTTGTTTTTATTCCTTAATGGGGATAGGGGGGAAATCTCAGGCTCCTAGAACGATCCAGTACATTGTGAATTCGTTGCAATTCCTCTTAAAGAATGTCACAAAAAACTCAACCACATGCTGTAGTTAACCCAGTTTGCTTGGTCTCCATAAATTAGCCAATTAGATGTGGAGCCTCCAACTATTTTGCATTGCTCCCTATTCCAGAAAAGGGGGATTGATAATGGCAAAAGAGCCTTTCACTGCCAGCCAGGTTATCACTTCAGCTAAAACCCAGGTTTGTGGTGTTTTGGTAGTCTGTCTAGTGGTCCTAGCCCTGATGCCAGACAAGAGTTCACAAGAAATGACACTAATTCACTACAGTAAGATTTCAGAAATTGAGTTACTTTGAAGAAATTGCTTCAAGTTAAAGAAATGAGAGTTGTAGGAAGTACATCCATTAGCTAGAAATTTTATAAAGAATAATTATCTCTTTCTTTTCTTCAAATTAACTGGTTTCATTTCAACAGAATTCTAGATAGCATGAAACTATGCTTATAGACTTCCAGTTCCTATGCCTCTTTGAAGTGTTACTAGGTCAGTCTAAATCCGAGGAACGTTCTGGGGGGCGCAGCTGGGGCCCAGGTCGAGGCCCAGGCCACCCAGCTCCGTTCCTGGCCTCGGCTGCCAGCCTCAGCCCCCGGCCTCGGCTCCCTTACTCCTATCAGCGTCCCCACTCTAGCGGGGTGGGGGCACAGTTGGGGTAAAGGGGGGTATGAGGTAAAGAGTTTGGGGACCACTGGTCTAAATATCTTTGTAAGAAAACCCAGGGCAACTCTCAGAGTAAAGGATATGGTGCTAAGAATGTTCTTTCCAATCAACCTAGGCTAATGCAAGTGGAACACATGCAATCCAAGTCTAAGGTTATATCAATTAAAATCTTTCTGCATATACCACACAAGTCTCCAATGTAAGCTTTTTGAATTCAGTATATTCAGCACCTTACATTCAGTTGTAAGCTTTTCAGGACAAAGAATAGTCCTATGAGTAGAGTCCTCATCACTTAATTGGGCACTATAATTATTAATGAACATTTAGACTTTGAGACATTTAAGTTTTGTAATGGGACAAATCAGGAAGGTTGCAGGGGTGGTATTTTTAAGGTCCACATCCTCCCAAGCCCCAACTTCTTACTTTACCACTAGCCATCTATTAGTTTTGCTAGGGTGCCAGCAGGCTTGTTGAAACTTATTTCCAGCTGCCCTCTCCCTGATACTCATGCAAGGAGACTATAGCAGTGTATAAGACCCCTTGCAAAGCAGAACCGTTTGGGAGGTACAAGGAGATAAAACTGGGAGCAACTTAAGAAAGGGAAACTGTCAGGATGCTTTTCCTGATACGGAAAGCCACATCACTTGGGTCATTTTGAACTAGACTGCAGACAATCTCATAGGGAAGAATCCTGCAGTAGTAAGGGGATGGGTAAAATGATCCAACAGGTCTTTATCTCCTCTAGCTTTTCTATGCTTGATCAGGTGGTTTCTCCCCACACAGAATAACCCTCAGAAATCTGTGTTATTGATGGTGTGGCAAGGTCAGCATTCAGCACCTAATCCTTGAGCTCCTAAATCTGCTCTACTTACATTGAAATTAATTGAGTTATGGGGTCTCCACACCCCGTTGTACCAAGCCCTGAAACTGTTAGCTATACCTAGGAGAACACCTTTGGCAGTGGTTTTGGCCAGGTAATGGCAAATAGTCCTGGACATACCTTGAAATAATCCCCCCACCTCATCAGCACATATTTAGTTTTTGTAGGAAAGTTCCCACACTCCAAAAGGTGGAATTAATACACTACTGGTTATAACAAAGGAATATGATTGCCCTTCCAGATCCCACAATACTACTTACCTGATTAACCATTTGATGTTGCTGGACAGTTCTCTTTTCTTTAAATTCTTCAGATTCTATATGAATTTCATACATTGCTCCACAGCCTCCTTTAAAACAAAATTACATTGATTATATCAGTGTCTTAGTCATTACAATTCTATGCAGTATACAGATTGATTATAGTTTAAGGGGCATTGGCAGGAAAAGTCATTTAAACAGATTTCCTTATCCAAATTACTAGCATATGCTGCATGTTTGAAAGCTGTAAAGTCTTTCTTAAAACAAACCCCATAAATTGTGATAAGTATTTAAGCTTATACAATTAAGTCAGGCTGATCAGTTTCACCTCCCTTATTGCTAAACCAAAGGGAGATCTTAGATGGGAGTGAAGTTCTAGGGTGGAGCTCTGAATATGGAAAAGGTTAAGAATCACTGGACTAGGCAATGTTACACACACACAAACTACATTAAAAGAATATTAAGGTTGCAAAGTTGGGAAATGCCAGATTGAAGACTGCCTCTGCAACCTGAATTCACCCCGTTTGTGCATATACATTGTGATACAGTCTTTAATTACAAAATTACAGGATCACATTCTGTTTTTTCCACAAAACCCATGTCTCACTCAGCACTTAGACTGGGCAATGCTCACTGTGTGAGAAGCTATTCAATATTTTTTGTTATCTTTGTAATTCAGTGTGTGGCTACAGGCCTTATTTTACTACACACTACTCAAACCCACACAAACACTAATGAATTTGTTTTCACAACACCCCTGAGAGATGAGGGAGTTTTCTTTTAAAGAAGTGGAACTGAAGCACAGAGATTAAAGGTCAAAAGTATCCACTAATTTGGGTGCTCAAATTGAGATGTGTAGGACCGACTTTTTGAGAGTATTTAGCATTACACCGCATCGTGTATGTTCTAAGCACAGCTCCCATTGACTTCAATTGCCGCTGCGAGTGCTCAGCACGTCTGAAAACTGGACCACAATATCTCAAGTAGGGCATCAAAGAACACACCATTCATGACCGCCTCTGAAAAGTTGTTTTAAGTGACTTGCCCAGCATCATATAGAAACTCTGTATGTGGCAGAGGCAAATTCCAGGGCAGCATTCAACTACCTTACCCATGAGACCTCCTTTCTCTTCCTGCAATCCCCTACCTCATTCCCTAAACACCTTCCAACTTCTGCAATATTTGAGGCAGAGCTCCTACAGACAATAGCCTCCTTCCCTACATAACCCTGATTCATTGCCAGGGCATATCCCGCCTGTGCACTAAATGAGGGAGGGGTCCTGGGGGGAAAAAAAAAACTATGGTCACACAAGGAGGCTGAATCAAGGTTTCACAGGCAACCTTAACTCTGGCTTTTACACACACACACAACACACACTGAGGCTGGATTTTTCTTGGTTTTTGAAAAAGCAAACTGAAAAAAAGAAACAGAAATTCCATCATATTGACAGCCACATGGTTTGAAACTTTAGCTCCATCACACAGACCTCTGCCGCCTGAGCTAACAGAGTAACTCATAGCAATAGTAGGTTGCCATCCTCTACATGAATCAGCACTTGAGGGAGATGAGACAGTTTGCCAGTGGGGTTCACTTTACTGATAGCAAAGGAATGGTGAAATTCAGGAATCTTGGGTTTCATTCCAAGCTCTAGAGGAAAGTGTTCTGATGGGCAGTGTGGATGGGTGGTGGTTCAGGCTAGCCACCTGAGGGCCAAGCCTGCCTGACCATCTGGGTCTGAGCTCGGGTGGCTAGCCCGAGCAGCCGCCCATGCCACAACGTCCACACTGCTATTTTTACCATGCTAGTTCAAGCAGAGCTAGGATGAGTCTGTCTACCCAGGCTGGGAATCTCACCTCCCAGCAGCAGCACAGACATAGTCTGAGGCATAAATGACATGACTTGCTCATGGACACAAAATGGGTCTGTGACAGAGTTGGGAACTGGACTCAGATCTCCTGTCTTGCAGCCCTGTACTCTAACCACAAGACCATTCTTCCATTATATTTAAGTTCCCGCAGACAACAATTTTGTCTCCTTATTTATCAACTATCTATAAATAATAGCCACAATTTGTTACCTGGGTTGCTAGCAGTGGGGGGCAAGGATTTTTTCAACTCTAAAAAATGATGTTAAATTTAGCAGAGGCAAAGACAGTCATGTTTAGAAGTCAGTGTAGACAAGGCCTATATTATAAAACTATGATGGAGACTCCCTTGAGAAGATAGGTACAGAGGAGAGAAGGGTTTATAGCAGTTTATAAGACAGTTCCCAGAAAACAAAAATCCCTGTTCTCAATGCTCTGGAAAAGCACATCAGACCACACAGCTGAGACTTGAACCTGGAAGCTCATGGTCCCTACATGGAAGCCATCGGGTAAGCTGACACGTTGTCCAGACCAGATCATGGGAGCTGAGCTACGTTTGTAACCGCTGAAGTTGTCTTTGCATCCCTCCCAAACCATAAAAGAGATTCCGCCGGCACGATTCTACTTACCTGATATATCCACTACTTTGATGGCCGAAGCCCGAGGGAATTTTTCTTTGAGGACTTGCACCACCCTGGCTTCCCCATCAGTCTGCGAAGCAAATGTTCTCCGTGTGTGGCACAGGAGAAGGAACTAGCAGGAAGAAGAAACATAGAAAAGGGACAAGAACGTTACAAATAAAACTGCAGGCAGGTGGGGAGGGGCAAGAATGGTTTGTGCTGCAGAAGCGACTTCAGGCTGGAGGCCTGGCTGGGCGAGGCATTGTAAGACCTGAGGAGTCCTGGCTCCCATGGCCCCGACGAGGGGTCAGCAACAGCAGAATCGGGGGGGCGACAACACAGGGACAGAGCCCCTGACACTACCCATGGCTTAATACACGGACTGTACAAGTGCCACGGCCCAGAGCCCCCCAG